ACGACGACATTAGTGAGTGTCGAACCACAACGTACAGTGCCATACTTGTTTCAAGTATCGTGTACCCAAAGACTTTTTTCTCCCGCTACAGAATATGGTAGAATCAATGAGGATGCTACTTTACAACTGTACGTGGAACAGGAAAACTGCACTGTGCAGAAGTGCGGCTTATTCGTTAATAAGAGGGACGGATTTCTAGCAGCATTCCCTGATTGATTACTTGGAACAAATGGCCTCATTGACGTAAAGTGTCCCCGTTACAAAAGATTCTTGAAGCATACTTAAACCGCAAAGGAGTATGAGGCGAAAAATAATAAAAAGGAGCCTGGTGTGAAAGGTCCAAATCACCCACCATGGCTTCTACTATCAAATACAAGGGCAGTTACACAATACACAAAGAGAGTTTTGTGATTTAGTTATATTTACACACAAGGACGTTGATATCCAACGTATACAGAGAGATGACACCTTCTGGTCAACCAACATAGAGCCTTTTCTACTCAAGTTTTACATGCCCTTACAAAAATCTGTAGTTAAATTCTTTTGAATTTTTGTTGAAAATTTTCTGGAGTCCTATTGAATTTCTTTTTAAACTTTTTTGATGTTTTTTAGACTTTCTTTTGACAACTTATTTAACTCCTAGTTAAAATTGGCCACTTAAATTTTTTAGAATTCCTTCTTACATACATTCTTTTGAATTCCTTCTTACATACATTCTTTTGAATTTCTTCTTACATAAATTTTGTTGAATTCCTTTTGACAAAACCGCAGATTAACGTCTAAAAAAAACACTAAATTTTTTAATATATTTTCTAATTTCGTTAGGAAATGGTGTCTTTTTGATACATACACCCACAAATAAGCAATGTAAACAAACACAAACACCATGAAGCACTCAACACCACAAACACAGGTCTGTTGACAGCACCAGAGCCTTATATAGCCTACATATTGAAGGTAATCATTTGGCCGGTGACCACCTCAGCACTTACTAAGTTTCCAAGTCTCCGGTCTCCTTATCGAAAGTCTGTCAAAGGAAAGACAGTGTTTCGAAGATCGTGGACTCTATCTCTTACTAAAAAGCATTGATACAACTAGTAATAATTTCTTGTAGTCGCTAAAACAACATCCACAAAAACGGCTGATAGAACAAATGTTTATCGCTTCTCTGCATAGCTCCACTCGGGACGAAGCCAGTCAAGGCGGTAGCTCCACTTTAATATAGCTATTTTGCTCTTCTTTACTAGTTGAATAGGGTCAATAATGCAACGATTGTCATTTACAAAGTGAGAACGGCAGGGCGTGTTTCTCGAACGCCTGCCCTCCAGCACGCGCCCATTGCCTTCCTTCGTGCTTTGACTGCGCAGTTGAGCTCGAGGGGCGCGATACGTCGAAGAGTTGTCAAGGATAGAAGGCTCGCGCTGGAGGCAGGAGAACGGAAGCTCCTCCCTATGGTTCTAAGCTTGTCAGAGACTATTAAGAAACTTAGTGACTTTTGACATTTAGTCAAGATGTATTATGTTCAATAAAAAGTCAACAGAAAGTCTGTAGCTTTTCTTTTGACACTGGCTACAGAAAGTCAATTGAATAATTTAAGCACGAAGTAAATAGAACGTCTGCAGTATTTCTGATAACACTTTCAACAGGAAGTCAACAGAAAAAAGATCCAACGTAGAGTTAATAGAAAGTCAATAGAAAATCATAAAAAAGTTTCAACACAAAATCAACAAATTTTTTGTTGACCATGTCAACAGGAGGTCAGTCGAAATAAAGTAATCAAAGTGAACAAGAAGTCAACACATTTTCAATAAAAAGAAAAAAAAAATATCCGTCATATCGGACCCCGCACACGACCGCAGACCAAATAAAATAATAAAAAAAATGTCTCTTTTTATAAAATATTATAAAGAAATAATGTCAATAGGTTTTATTTTTATTTTTTAGAAAATAACCTACCAAAACGTTGTTACAACTTCTTTTTATTTTTTTATAAATACGTCTACAAAACAAAATCAATTGTTTTCCCTTTTGAATTTTTTTAGAAAATAATCTACAGAAAAACGTCTTTACAAGTTCTTTTTAATTTTTTTATAAATAAGTCTACAAAACAAAATCTATTGTTTTTCCTTTTGAATTTTTTTAGAAAATATCCTATAGAAAAACGTCTTTACAAGTTCTTTTTAATTTTTTTATAAATAAGTCTACAAAAAAATTCAATATTTTTTCTTTTGAAAGTTTTTTGACATTAGTCAAAACAAAGTGCGTTTCTAAAGAAATTCAGTAGGATCCCGGAAAGTCAATAAGAAGTCTAAAAAAATTAAAAAGAATGTTGAGACCCGTTTTTGTAAGGGTGGAAGGCCCGACTTCCGCTGAAACTCCTTACGTAGACGAGTTGTCCGACCGAATAAACTGCAATTACTCCCGATCTGGGAATCTCTCGATCTTCGTTTGTAAGCCATAGTATCATGAGATCGAGGGGTGTGGCTCTTCGTCCACCGAATATTTCTTCGGCGGGTGTTTTTACCGTGTAAGAGGAGACCGTCGCGTGCTGCTGGAACAACAACCTGGCGATTCTTCACTGAACTGCTTCTTCCGTAAGCTTCGAAAGGGCTTTTTTTTTTGTTTCGCACACCATCTGTTCTGCATGCCCGTTAGTTGCAGGATGGTATAGTGCACTAATGTGATGCCTGATGCCGGTTTTTTTCTTCAAAAACTTGTTTATTTTGTTTGAAGCAAGATTTGGCGCGTTATCAGAGAAAAGTATTTTCGGTAGGGCAAAAGTAGGTAAAAGAGACCGTAGAACGTCAATGACATGTTTGGACGTCGTGGCAGGCATCGTGTAAACTTCGAGCCACTTAGAGTACGCATCGACCATGACTCCGCAGGTGTGGATACGTTTCGCCACCCACCGACTGAATAGTGGATCGTTTTCAGTTACTGTTCATGATGGCGTTGGACTCAAGGAAGACTTCGAGTCTTTCCAGAAAGTTAGCCTAGGTGCCAGGACTTTTGTCGAAAGCGGTAAGCGTTTGAAACGTCGACAACGTCGGTAGCCACATGTTGTGCTTGACACTGGACACTTACCATTCGCCGAGACGAAACTTGCTTGTTCGTCTGCCACGAGTCGTCCGATATCAGGATATCACCGCAACACCATCTCCCGACAAAAACGCATGTCCATAGTTAGCAATCACGTGAATTTATAAATTCCCGAACGCTCATAACTTGCCGTCGCTAAACGCCATTCATTCATAGCGTCATCATTGCAAATAAACGCCTCCCTATTTCTTCTGATGGTTTTCATCATATTCCTCCTAAGCTGTACTTACAACATTATGTGTGTCGGTACTTCCGAACATATTGCAACGGCGTTTGTCTTCTGAAAACCCCCCCCCCCCCCCCCCCCCCCCCCCGCTGTAATCTAACAACCTTTACAACATCTTCCGAATCCCATGAAACACAATATATCGTGACGTTATTTTAGTCGTCATTAAAATGGTGAGGTAAGTACCGTAAATCGCGAAGCCGCTCACTAGACGTCCGCTTCCACGGTGTCTTGGAAGATTGAGTCTACTGAGCGTGCATTCCAACAGAAGAAATTTTCATTGATAGAATATTGACACGTCAATCAACATTTGATTCCTTCTTGGTAAGATTCATTGCGAAAGCCCGTTACAACCGCCGAACCGCATCTTCCTATATCAGAGAACAATTTATACCCAGCCTGACATTCTCGGATACATCCGTTTGATGGGCCACGCTAGGGTGCCTTCATGTGCGCTTTGCTTAGGGTGGTGGCATTTCGCCATTTTGTCCCACACGTTTATTTTTCTTTTTTGTTTAGAAGCGCGTGCAAGAGCGTGTCCCTGCACGCGTTTGTGGCGCTGACTGCGCTATGGCGACATTTTGTTTTCGTCGATTTCTTTGTATTTTCCCCGTGAGCGCGTGCTGTCGGCATCGGGTACTACAAAGGGTGGCATCACCCTAAACAGAAAGACAATGGCTACGTTTCCATGGATGCGACCATGGCGCATCGAATCGAGATGTGACCAGTCACGCGCCCACGATCCTCCTTTCCCTTCCCCATCTACCCAATCATAGGCGGTTAATCTCGATTCGATTCGCTACGATCGCATCCATGTAAACGTAGCCATTGAGGCACCCTAGGCCACGCTACTTGAGCTAGCTGAGCACAGCTGGCAGCGGCGCGAGCAAGGCCACGAGGGGAACGTGATGGTGCTCGAGCCGTCCCACTGTTAACCAATGTTTCGGCCACCCCACTAAAGCCCCTCGATATGTTTTCGTTTGTCGTGCAAGTAGCGTCAAATGCGCGAGTGCACGAGACCCGCATCTCGAGCGGCCCTTGGAAGCGAATGGCGGCGCAGCACTGAAATGAGCGGTCCTAGGAAGCGAATGGCGGCGGAGCAGCCGCTCGTGGCACGTGTCTCGCGCGGTTCCACAACAATGGTTGGCGGTACTTGTAAAAAACACCCTTATCAAGGGGCTTTACACCCCACGGGTACGTGTCGCCATCTATTGGTTGAACTAACGCCTTGTTCAAGATGGCTGCCGTGGGACCGCAGCCTTAAAGGTGCAAACAAAACGAAAGGAAAAAAATAAAAGCGAATCTGACGATATGAGTTTGTGATTCGCAGAGTCAGGCGCCCTTAGCGGCGGCCCTGCTACTCCCCTTCCCCCGGTCCGGAGCCTTCACGTGACCGACTAGTTGAAACGGCTGCCGCTAGGATAGTGCGGCTCCGCGAAAGCCGGGCGTTCGAGTGGCGGCGATAGGTTTGGGGCGCACTGTACAAGATAAAATACGACTGCAACTACGATTCTCAGTTGTGCAATATTTCCTCCCTCGTTTCAGGCCGGTAGCCAGGGGAAGGGGGGCATTGCCCCCCCCCCCCCTTTCCCGAAATTTTTCATTTTGCTGGGGCCTCCTCTCCTTCTCCCCCTCATACAGAATTTTATCTCGGTTCCCCCCCTCCCTCTACGACAGAGCTTTCGATAAAAGGCTAACACTATCCACCAACAAAACTAACGGGACATAATCGCGCGACTTCAGCTTTCCTTTGAGGAGACGAGGGGAACCGTGAAGGCTCAACAACGCCTGGAGGAATACCGGAATTATCAACATAGCCGCCCGACGGGACATCGAGGGGGCGGTGTGTGTCACGTGAAGGCTATCTGCCTCTCTATAGCTAGACGTTCTGATAAGAACGTCTAGCTACTGTCATTTCCGAGAAATCGCCAAACGAGAGCAAGCAACAACCTATCTTCCGTCGACTTCTGCTGCTTTCTTTTTGTGACGAGAAACGAAAAGGTATTTGCTTTAAATCCAATTTCTGTATCTTGCGTTAGTTTACGTCATGGCCGATCAGCACACAAATAGTTAACTCGACTTGTCGGTTAAGCTTTCCTTTAAACTGTAAGCAGACACCACCCCATAAAGTCGCTGATGCACAATGGCCATCTTGTTCAACATCAGAGGCATTAGAGCAGGGATCAAGAACCGGTCAGGCTCACTTCTCGTATACACGGTGTAGCGGATGTGCGGAGAACCATGGCTACACCCTTTCGGCGCCCTTATTTCGTGTATTACACCCTTTTTAATCGTAAAATATGGTTCTGCTGCATAAAAACCCCTTTATTTTTTAAGGTGTAAAAAAGGTATGAAAGGAGTTCTACGGTGAAGTGAGGCGAATGCTTTTAATTTTTTAAGGTTGTTCACCGCGCTGTCACCAGCTTCAAACAGCTTGGTTGTTTAATCGGCTGTACCAGATTATTGTCCGTGACAATGCTTTTTTACTTGGGTATGCATTCCTTGAACTTTGATATATATATTTATTACGTAATCACGTGAAATATTGACGAGAACAAAGAAACCTGTAACCTTCGTAATTGCGGAGGTAGTGCCATGCGAATTTTTGTTTTTAAATGACGAGTATAATATAAGGCGGCGGAGCAGTTAACCGGGATGTGATTCCTCTCTTGTGTGTGATTCATTTCCTCTGTATTTGCTGTTTATGTGCATGTAATGCTCGTTGCTTGTAAATGTGTTGCTGGTAAAAAAAAAAAAAAAAAAAAAAAAAATATATATATATATATATATATATATATATATATATATATATATTCCCGAGTTGCTGTTAAGATTGGCAGAATCTTATTTTAGGGTGTTCACCAGCACCCTAAAGGCGTTGCTTTAACACCCTTTGGGTGTTAGTCTGATATACAACCTGATTTTCACCCTTAAGGTCGAAACAAAGTAACTTCCCTTCTCATGACAGCGCATATTCCCACATCTTTAAAAAAAAAAAATAATTGAAAACTCAAAACACACAGACACGCGCACACGCACACACGCACACACGCGCGCGCGCGCACACACACTCACACGTACGTACGTTTGTCAGCTTGTCCTCTCAGGATTTTTCAAGATTAAAACTTAAGTCGTCAGGTCGATCGCTTGTTTCCCCAAGCCCGTTTCCGGACGACCCAAACGATTTGCCAACTGCAACCCGCGGGCAGGATCAGGCATGAAACCTGGGTGTGGTCTGGTATGGTGACCTGGGGGCAGAAGGCCGGATGCAATTTAGACCACGGCGGAATCAGGGTCACAGCCGGATTAACCCAGGCCACGGTCAGATGAACTCAATTCTAAGTACAGCTCCCGAAGGGTGCAAAACTGTTCTGAAATGATTGCCGAGCTACGGGAAAGGCACTCTTCATATATTTTCATAAACAGCTACAACAAAGCATATACCGGATGCTTACCGGACATGGGCCAAACTTTTCCTGCGAAAACTTGGTATTGCACAGAAAACCAATTGGTGTCGCACTAGTCGATGCCAGGGGGCCAGTATGAGTAAAAATAAACATAGAGTTAGCTAGAAACTTGTGAAGAAAGGTAAGAAAACACAGGCGAGCTGGTGAATAATATCCATAGTAACCCTGAGATGTCTCAGGGTTACTATGGAACTTGCTGGGCATCATCGAAACCACTAAATCAGCAAATTTTAGAAAGACCATGAGCGCGTGGGGTGCGTGGTGGTGAGCAAAAGTTACAGCTCGTGATACGTGCGCAAGGCTGGCGGGGCAAAAATGCGGGTGCGTCAAAGTTGGATGAATTTTCGAGACCCAGAAAAACAAAGCACACGCTTTAACTGTCTAAACTTGACTGATTTACTGGTATTCGGAAAAGCACAGCAAGTTTCGAACTGGAGCCGTAAATATACTTTTATCGTGTTAAAAGATAATTATGCAACTATTTTTTTTAAGTTAATTATCCTAAACGCTATATATATATTTGCAATCACACTTGTCCATAACACGGGAGCGCGCGGCTTTCTTCTGCGAGCTCTCGACTGGTGGCATTCGCGGCAACTAATCTAATCACGTGGGGCAACATGGAACATCCCGCTCGAAGGGTGTCCTGCCCCTGTCCTGCCACCTCTCACGGAAAGTTGACTCTGTGATTCCCCATAACTTATGGGGAATCAGAAAGTCAACTTTCCGTGAGAGGTGGGGGCCGGTCAGGATGGTGACGACCGATGATGATGTTCGCCCGATGCAAGTCCCCCGGGAAGTCGAATAAGAAAAAAAAAAAAAAAAAACTAAAAGTTGTTCGATTCCGCTGGACACATTACGACGTTGGTAGGTTTATAATGGCCAGTGTGGCCCCGTTTATTTCAAAACAAAACGACAACAAGTCAACAGTAATTTACATGACAAAACTCCCAAAATTAAAACCCCATACTTTAGTCCCCAGTCTCAAGAGCCGAATTCCCCGATCTCAAAAGCCGAATCCCCGAGAATCCCCTCGGCAGCCCTTTCCTAGACTCGTAGGGGCCTCCTTTCCCTTCAGAGACGGACCAATCCCTTCAAATTTGCCCGTTGTCACGTGGTACACTCTTACCCAATGATCAGCGAGCTGTCAACGTGGCCCCCCTCCGACACCTCAACGGTCAAACCCCAATTCTTTGTAGAGTCAATATATGCTTTCTTCGCCGTCTGACTGGCGCCACCAAGTTAAGTTATTGCGTCGATTAAAAGCGAAGTTTCTACACTAAGCGGCGAAATACGCCGGACACAAGCACACCCGCTTAAAAGCCACGAGTGCGGAGAGAAGCTCAAGACAGGGGTGTTCCGGCGCCCCAAACTGAAACCCAATCCGTTTGCTGCTCGAACCCCCACCCCCCCCCCCCCCCCCCCCCCCCCCCCCCCCGCGCGTGGGGGCGGAAGACGCCCAAAAATGCACACATAAACATAGGCAGATAAAAAAAAAATGCCGACACAACTGTAGAAAGATAGACTTTTCTAAAACAAATTTTACTTATTTCTAACAAAAATTCTTCGTTACTTAACACACAGCATTGCATTTTCTTGATGGTGGTGGCATTGTTAATAAACCCTCGTTCTTCTTTTCTCTCTCTCTCTCTCTCTCTATTGATAAGGCTTTTTGACGTTTGCGAAGAGTGTGATAGCAGCCTCCCGCGTTCGACGGCCCCCGATAAAGCGGACAGGACACCCCTCGAGCGGGCTGTTCCGTGTTCCCCCACGTGACTAGATTGGTTGCCGCGAATGCCACCAGTCGAGCGCTTGCCGGAGCGAGCCGCGCGCGCCCAGGTTATGAAGAAGTACGAGTTCCAATCTATTTCTGTGCTTTGTGCAGTTTTTGACACGAAAATTTTGGCCGATGCACGAAGGGGGTGGGGGTGTCTATAAAACGTGACTCTTTTTGCAAGCCCCATAGAGTCAGCAGGGAGCAAATTAGATAGAATCTAACAACGCACTAAAACAGAATGCATTTCAAGAGTTGTTTGTTTGTAATACTGAAAAAAATGTGTTGGATGAAGAGCCAGGAGCAGAGCTTATTTTAAATATGCTTAGCGCATCCATTACGTCTGGGCGCAAATGACTTTTTTAACGTATTATAAATAATCTACATAAGTAGGAAATGTCTCAAAATGAAATCCTGGTCTCTGGACTCAATAACGTCGTCAGTGAAACGAGTCATCAAGCGGGGTCATTCGTTTCGTGAAATTTGTGTACTCTTTCTGTAGTGTTTGGATAATGTGATATTAGTTAAATCTTTAGTCGAACCGTGCCTGGCTACGTGTGACTTGAAACAATTTCAGCGTGCTCTTTGCTGGGGCAGAGCCAGACTCTCGTCATGAGAAGACCCTTTAACTAGACCAGACCAGATCCTTCCTGCCCTCCGCACATACGGCGGATGCGAGAACACATCCTCCCTGGAGTTGCAGGGAGGATGTGTTCTCGAAACCCCTACACTACCCCAGGGAGGGAGGGGAAGGGGAGGGGGGGGGGGGGGGGGTAACGTAGGGGTTTTGTTGACAAAAGAAAATGCCCAAGAAAGCGATCAACCTCAGCCCCCCCCCCCCCCCCCCCCCCCCTCCCCGTCCCGTTTCGACGCCAACAACGGACGTCACTGCTACAGACCACGCACGTGTTCTCGCTCAAACTCCCATGCAATATGCCGCCGTAGAGGTTTCCATGCGCCCGAGAAAAGTTTGGCCTCCCTGGGTACTTGCACCAGTTTACAGCCATTGATTGCTTTGAACCGCCAGGGCGTAGCCAGGGGGCTTCTTACCCCCCCCCCCCCCCCCCCGAAATCCAGCCGACCCTATAATATACACATGCATTTTGACCCCCCCCCCCCCTTCATGGACATCCCAGCCACCTCAGCCCCATCCCCCCCCCCCCCCCCCCCCCCCCCCCCCCCCGAACCGCAAAAAAAAAATTACTGGCTACGCTGGCCGTGTGGCTTTGTGTTCTTTCGCTCGTTGAATGTGACACACGCAGCCACAAGTCTACAACATGGCGATCTCTCACACAGGTCAAACATGGGTGCCGGAAGTGGAGGAAACATCTTGTGGTCAATCTTCTGGCTGCTGTTGCTGGTCTTCTTGTCGCTGTTGGTTGCTGGCATCTGCGCCTTCATCTACATTATTGTATCGATATTCACACCGTGCATCAGACCTTTGGACCCCCTGGCCGAATTTCTCATGAGGGGGGTGAACTTCCCCCACACCTGCTCCCAAAATATGGTCCACGGAAGCTCTCTGTAACTGCGAACCTTGGCCGTCTCTTCCTCTCGGACATAGCGGCTGAAGAGCTCAGAATCCGGCGCATATCAGTGGGCTACAGTAAATTCCCGCCTTTATAATGTGGACACACTAATTCGAGTATTTGGCAGTACGCAAAACAAAAGACTTTCATCAGGCTGCCCCGTCTACATCCCCCCCCCCCCCTTTTTTGTGTGTTCTTTTTGCGTAAAAGGGTTATTTTATTTAACACAAAAAAATGTTTCTGGACTGCCTAAATAAAGCACCTTCGTAATAAAGTGCATTTTCGCCGAAACATAATTAGTTGCCGCAATAATGAGTCATTCCTCTCTCCACTTCTCTCTCCCTCCCTCAAACTTTCGCAGCGCACAAGGCGCGCGACGTGGCGGTATGCGCGATCTTCGAAGCGTCTCTTCTTCGTCAGTGGGAGGACTCCGAGGTCGCTGTGACGCTGACCCCGAAATAGGAGCCACTTAGCGCGCGCGAGCAAGCGAAATCGCTTCGAACTAAACATGCGCGTATCACCAGGTAAATACTGAGTTAACGATATTTTTCTCGGTGAAAGCACATCATGTGACATACATGGCTTATCGAGGAAAAAAAAAAAAAAAAACGCTCCGGGAATTTAGTGTTTCTTTAAAGCCCTACATTCAACCTCAATATGAAAGTCAGATCATTTTAACTAATCTCGCTCACAGGTGAAGGAAGAGGAACACTGTCAGTACCTTGGCACTGAAAAATGTACTCCTAAATTAAACAAAAAAAAAAAAAAAAAAAAGGCTAAAAGTTTGCTCCGCATATACTTTGAATGGATAGACTCGGGGGTTTCCCCAGGAATTGAAATTAGGGGGCGGGGCATTAAGAATAGAGGAGTCGTTGCGAATTAAGGGGGTGTCTTCAAAAAACCAAGGGGGGGGGGGGTGCACCCCCCCCCCCTTGTTTTTCTTGTAGGGAAATCACTGGATATGGAAATCACTGGACTCATGAACACAGAAGGGGACGAGTCTCGGGTTTTTATTACAATGAATCACCACCAGCTTGCTTGTTTTTTTTTTGTTTTTTTAAGTATTGTTGCTGGATAGACTGTTCTCGATGTACATACTCATGTGTCCCGTACCCGTCGCAACAAATTAAATACAAACTTAATTGGTCAATTCATCGATCTTACGCATCAAGTCTGATTCCATAACGTTCCACCGGCCATGAAAAGAATTTGCCAACATCGCTAATGAATTTGTTAATGCATCAGCATTATCTCCGTTTCACACTTAGCGTGCAACGCTGTCAAAGCTATTGGCCTTAGCGCGTGGCTTCATCTATGGTTTTGTTTGCGCGAGAACGCGTGCAAATGATCGAGATCAAGCCTCATGCTCGTGCCAGTAGCTTTGACAGCGTTGCACACTATGAAACAGAGTATAGTACCACGGCCACTCGATCCTCCCTGTTGGTGCGGCCTGCCGATGTCTTTCCGAAAACAAAAGAGCGCGCGTGAGAGGAGAACTTCTCCCATTTTCCGTGGGGGCGCTGCACATCGGTGAGCGGTCTTGTGAGCTGAAAGTACTCTGTTTCACCTTATGTTGTACCGCAGGAAAGGCTGTAAGCGCGAGCTCCTTGCTCTGGGGCAGATCTCGGCGGCACAAGCTCTCGTGCAGTAAGGGCAGCTGTCAACGCTATGAGCTCGCGCTTCCAGCCTTCGCTGCGGTACAGAAGGCGCCCAACGCGCTCTTGCTCCGCTACCCAGATAAAATATCTGCCTGTGATTGGCTTCGCCGATACCGAGGCGCTGCCGCGGTTGCAGAAGGCAGCAAAACTCGGTTTCCCCCCGACCTATGTACCGCTGTGCTCGTCGAAAATATCGTAGTGTCACTCTGCGCTCGCGTGCGTGGTTTGTGTTGGCATTTTGGAAGCTGCCGGAAATGTAATTGCGCGTTCTAGTTCTGAGTGCCAGACGGCGATAAAATGTGCCAACTCCACTCGTGAAGCAGGAAATCCTGCAGTTGATGAAGTACAATGAAGTCTCTACCGAACTTGAGTTCGCACCGCTGACTTACATGGCTGGCTACTTGGCCTTCGTTTGCGAGCAAAAGGTGACCATTTTTATTTGTAGAAATTGTCGTAATTTCAAAGTAATTAGTTGAAACATTCAACCTAGCAAAGCAATAATAATTTCTCAGTGAAAGCAAGGAAGGCTAATGCGTAGAACCCGCTAAACTTTGCAGGTGACGTGTCCTGAATGCAAGCGCAACTTAAGGGAAATGCATCACATGACGGAGCATATCAGTCCATGTTTAGCCTTGACCAAGGAGGACTCAGCTATCCACGACCTGAAGCTGTCTTGCTGTGCAAGCTCGTCTGCACCTTTGTCGAGAGGGCTCTACAGTCGGCAGAGATTCGTGGTTGTGGAAGGACTTGCAAGGTCCTCTCGAGCGCTGTGCTTCCACACCTTATGGACTGCCCGCTGATGTGGTGTGTTAACTGCCGAGATCCCTACCACAGCGAAGAGCTCTGCGAGCTCTTTCTCAGAAAACTCCTCAGACCTTTTTTGGCAAACTGGGCTGGTGACCTAAACAGCCCACCAGAGAATATATTGAGGCTTTCGCGGAAGTCTCTTTCCTGAAAGGTACTCCGCTTGTAAACTATATGACTCCCTTGGTCTGTTTTTTTTTTGTGAACAATGAAGTTTATATTGCTGAAGTTATGCACGCGGAATCCGATTTTATATTGTCCTTCACAGATGAATAAATGACACAGCTCGCTTGTGCTCGAGCGTCGGTTAAAACCAGAAATCCTACGGCCTAGCTATATCCAACTATAACTCCTATATTACAGTGGTAATAGAAACGGGGCAACACTTACGGGAACAAGAAAACGACAATTCGCTCATACTGCCAGCAGAATGGAGCTTTAACGCGCAGCCTGCAGCTAAGTGAGCTTTTCGCAGAAAGAATAATGTGCTTTTAATCTACACAGATTTGTCACATGATTCATGCAATCTTGCATTCGTTTCAATTGAGACTTGCGGCTTCACAAAAAAAAAAAAAAAAAAAAAAAAAAATCTAAATAGTCACACCGGGCCGGGCCGGGCGTACTGCTCCTCTCTCACTATATTTCGCCTTACCTTAGCATGGACTAACCGCGAACGCTGTGCTAGCGCGAGCGGCTAGCCTTTACTGCCTTGACTGGAGCACTCGCTGCACGAGCGCTCATGCAGCCGCCGAGGCTTCCTTCGAAGCAACTATCTCGCGCTTTTACCACGCGCGGCTAACAAGTACATACTAACGTGAAACGAAGTATTAGCCCCGAGAAGTTCGCGTGGCGCCTCCTTACGGCAAACCAGGGTGACGTCACGGCGAGGAGAGGATTTTTCCCCGACTCGCGCCGCTCGCCCTGTGGAGGCTGTGATGACGCTAGCTGTCGGCGCGCTTGTTGCTATTTAATTTTTCTTTTGGCGCGTTTTTCGTAGGAAGTGTAAATTTTTTTATGTGCCTTTATTGAGGTATGGCCTGTAGCTACAGGCGAAACTTCAACCAACATTTTAAGCATGGTTGACAGGGCAGGCAACGCATGAATCGGAGAGGTATATGAAAATAAAGAAATATGGCCGCAATTGCAGGAGCATCACTATAGATTTACATCTCGCCGATAACGAGCGCCACGGCTGGCGCTGTGGGGTACAGTAGAACTATCGCTCCCACCGGCGGAGTGAGGCATACGGCAGGCCGCTCCCAAGGGGAGTCCTAATCGAGTGGCCGTGATAGTACCCACATGACGGGTCCATATCACAAGAGCGAATGACATTTTAGCGAACGGCGACATTTGAGCGAATGGTCGTTTTAGCGAATAACGGGGGCGCGCGTTAACCCATCCGTCGCGCTGCGCTTTACGCCGCTTCGCGGCGACAGTCTGCGGCAACTCATTACAAAAATGTGAACCCATTTGGCCCACCCGAAAACGCCGCTTCGCGGCGTCCGACTATTCGCTAAAGTGTCGTTCGATGAAACGTGGGCGTTCGCTAAAACGTCATTCGATCAAGTGAGTGCCTCCCCCACATGACAGGGAAGAGCTGACAGCGTCCGTCTGGACAAAACAGCGGAAATGGAAGCGCGTCGCGTAGAGGAAAGTAGTAAAGGACAAAGGCGAGAGAGAAGTGACGTCACACGGCGGGAGTCAATGCGGGAGCGGATGCTGGGGCGAGTCTGAACTTGCAGGTGTGCGGAGCGCCTATGCCTTGGTTGTCGCTACAAAATGGAGCGTGAACCAAGTACTAGCGCTAGTACAAGTTGGCGGCTAAAGGAAGCGTGTTGTGAACGAGCGAGACGGGCTGCCGAAAGCAGCATCCGGCAGCGGATACCGCAGGCATTTCCCAAGGGTCATGCTAATGCACTCCCTAAGAATCTACCGATAAACGTTCATTTTTTTTTTTTTTTTTTTTTTTTTTTAAGAAACCTCCTGCACGCTAGGTCATGCTGATGGGGGTTCCGTGTTCAGATAAACTTGATAAAATCCGGAAAAAAAAAACAAAAAAACACTGGCCGGTAAAATTTTCGTCAATTTGGATTTATCCGAAAAAATCAAAATTCCAAAACTACAAAGGCAAAAAAAAATAAAAAGTAGCATACGGAAAGTTTGGTCATAGCACAGGGTCAGTGGCCCAATGGAAGGGCCACTTCAGTTTCTTTTTAAAATTCAGGGCTATTGACCACAGGGGGTTTACCGTCTATCCAGTCAAGGTTGTTCAGGACAACCTTGACTGGATCACGACAAAAACCACTGCCCTGGTATCGGCCATGATATTGGTGTTTCTTAGGGGAGGAAAAGTCTGTGTTTTTATTACTGGGAAAAAAATGAACCCATAAAAGTCATAAGACAGCTGGAGCTTCTGTGCTTTCCATCGACTACCTAGAGGTGTTTGTGTAGTTTTGAAGTGTCGACGTTTATTCAAGCAACACTTGTTTGCAAGTTTGGTCGTGGGACAGTTAATATTTTCAGTGGCAAGGGCGCCAATACCAAATCCAGCTAAAGAAACACCATTCGATAAGTGAATTGAGGGCGCTGTGGTTTGGACATCATTTATTTTTATTTAAAATTTTATAAAATTTGTACCACCACGATGGTGCGCTTTTCACGCTGTCCGATTGGTTCCATCAGCTCGTAGCGTCGGCTATGTCTGGACTGGAGCTAAAACGAAGAATATCATAGATCCCTTCTGCCAAAGTCTGCCTTATCTAAGGTTGGAGTGCACCGCATACATAGTGCAACACTTCGCTCGTTTAATTTATTTATGCACCGTGACCTTCACCACCTGCCAGCTACACCCCAGTGTGCACAGCCACATTAGATTTACGAGTGCAGCCCATCTTATAAGTTAAAACACGCGCCACAAATATACACTGCCCCGCACTTTTCTGCACTGTGCCACTTTTCTACAGTTAAATCAAATGAGCCTACAGCTAGCACAAACTAAAGTCACTGGATCCATATCTTCCCGCATGGTCGCCATTTTGGATCATGAAATGAGCAATTTTCTCCTTGACCTCTTCTTGGTGAGGCGATCTAAATTCGCTGGCGATGGGCTTTACAGACAAGTTTCTTGTATACCGAGATGTTGCTACCCACACACCGGCGAAACAAGCGTACATCTTCCTACCACCACCATATGCGGTGTCCGTGCTTGGAGGTATTGAAAAATAATTTTCCCGTTTGGAAATATGCAAGAATAATATCATGGTAAGAGATCCGTGGCGATGGGCATGATTGATGAGGTGATTGCATTCAGTGCCACACGCTTACATTGGCGAGGAACGCTTTCAGTACGATGATACACCATGGTGATCTTGGTGCGACTGGATTAGAACGACCCTGTTGAAGCTTTGAAGGGGGCTAAAATGGCGATTGCCATAGCAACGGAGACCGATTAGTCAATCGCCTGTGAGGTTTTTGGTCGTCTGTATGTGAGATTTGTTTGTGTTCGGATAGCAGGCAGGGAAGACAATGGCGCTATTTTCCCAGGATCCAGAGACTTTAGCACAACAGGCAATCGCTGTTGTTTTTTGTTAAAAAAAAAGCTGTAGAATGGTTCCCCGAGAAATGGCTCCAATGTTCTGTGGTACCAGATCTTCGCGCTCCAAATCTGCGACCGTGCCTCTATGGTTCCGTCGTCGAACTGCCAGGCTTTGTGAGTATAAAGGAGGCTATGGTACTACCCATAGTACTACAAAGAACGTCATCACCCTAAGCAAAGCGCACATGAAGACACCCTAGATTATATAGTGTTAAAAACTACGTTGAATCCCAACGGTCAGAACCAGATGCCAAAGTTTCAGTACTAATCGATATTTTATTCAAAGTTATGATTTTCTAAAAATTTCAATGGGAAAATGGGGCAAATTTTCGCCAGTTTTCGTTAGCTGGCGCCATAGAGCTCCACGTGTTTGAGAACTCCGTCGGCCGCAATTTTCCCATTGAAAATTTGAGTTAGTACGGAAACTGGCATCTGGTGGCATTCTACATTTGGGCGGAGAGTGAGCATTCGGCGACGCTGTTTATTTTTGCACTGAAAAATTCAATTTTTTTGGGACACTTTTTTTCTGAAAGTACTACTTCAAGTAAGTTTACAAAGAAGTACATTCTCCGAGTATGTACTTGTATTTTATTTAGGAAGCATTTTTTCTGGTACTTACCGAGAAAAATACAGCTCCTGACTTCAAAATACATTCTCCAAATTTGGCCGTGTCAACTTTGTACTACAATATCCTTTGTCAAACCTAAAGAAATACTGGAAGGGATATTCTACTCCGACCAGACGACGCATTGCTCCGCTTGTAGGAGGGAGGGAGGGAGGAGGAGGAGGAGGCTTTCCCGCAGCCCCCCCCCCCCCCCCCCCCCCCCATTTCAAACTCTCGCTACTTCTCATTCGGTCAGCGCAAGTGAGGAAATCAAAAATATTAGGAAAGGACCCTCCTCTATAGGAGGATTGAATTCGGAAGCTACGGGTCCAACGTCGTGATATCTCCTATCCAATATTCGCCGCCATTTCCGGAAATACCTGATGCACCCCCGATTACCTCTAAAGCAACCCATACCGAAAAAAAAAAAAAAAAAGTTATACAGGAATAAAAGGGCATCATCAGAGATTGTGTTAGGAAGTCTTGTAATTTACTTTAAGTACATTGCATACTGTGTACTTACTACTTTACCTGAACTACATAACCTCTAATTTACTTTGTCCTATACTTTGATTACCTTGTTAGATGTATAGGGTGTCCCAAGTCGCCAAACTCAATCTAAAATGGACTGTAAATATTGACGCCTGCACGTAGCAATCTAAACTTTTTGTCAGAGATATATTTCACAAGTCTTTTTTTTTTTCTTTTTGTAAAATGAGAAAGCGTAGCTCCCTTTCTGTAAAATATAGGGCCAAGAAACTTGCCAGTGTGAACAGTTGGCGGCAACGCAGACGACGAAGTTGAGTTGCGGGAAGCTTTGGCGCGCATATTGATAGATGGCGTCGGGAGCAACGTCGGAAGGTGCAGCCGACCAGAGAAAGCAGACCAAATCCGTTGGCAGCAAAAGCGCAGTCGTTATGGGGCACCCTATACTTTACCCCAAAGAAATATTAGACTTAACACAACACCGAGACTGCAGGTAAGCAAAAATGACATACACAGAAAGCCTAAAATAAAATTATTTTCTGGTTTTTGATTTGTTAGATTTCTGGCCTGCTAAACCCGTTGAGATAAAAAACGAAACTCCAAGATACTTTCTGTGCGTGTCGCCTTTGCTTACCTGCAGTCACGCGTTGCATTATGTCCAAGCAACTATAATGTCTGCGCTAACAGCGTCACACACAGTAGATCATTAAAACCTAAAATGATCAACCCATGGCAATACTGCTGGAATGCCCGCAAAGAGAACATATATTTCAATCAATGCTTACAACAAATTGAACGGTACAAAAAAATGTTAACATGATATCCTCTGGATTATAAGTTTGCTCCCGTTGAGATTAAAAAACGAAACACTGTCAACAGCATGCAGCCTCTTTCACCCAGCCACCCTCTCGGATCGAAGCTGCCGTTCAAACTCCAACTGGGATGCGAGGCTCATTGACGAGAGCCATAAGACAGGAACAGCCGATACAAGATGGAGGCCGCGGCTGCCACACCAACTGGAATGAGCCAGCTCATCCACGAGCTGCGCAGACAGACGGAGAGCACACACCTCAGTTACAGAAGTGCGACCGACTCGCTCACCCCTCAGCACCCACACACACTCTGCAAGACCTTCGGCTGAATTACGTGCAACAATGCTTCCAAGCACAAACCACCCGTGACAAATGGCCAGAAATCTTGAACAGTTTAAATGGTGTACCTTTAATCAGCCCTTTATAAGAGACATCTTCCAGGAGTCTTGAAGGTCTGCAAAACCTAATTCCCCTCTTTGGTCACATTGGTAAAGCTGCATCAAAATAATACAACTGACAAAATATTACCAAATTCGTTTTTGCAATCTGATCTGCAATGCAACCTTGTATGTGCATTATACGTAGAAACTAATGTTTTTGTTTCTTTTCTTTTTTAGTTCTATTACTTTTTTTTTTTTCGGTGGATGTGATTATTTTATTTGAGGCCATGTGGCCTTCGTCTTCCTTCCTTTTTGTGAGTGCAAGCCAATTACTAACTAATTAAACCTAAAAAATAATTACAAGCATTAAAAAGTATATTCTTACTTTTCATACCGGTATAACATTAAAACAATAAAGTAAAAGGCATGCAGACATGCAAGCAAGTGAAATATCAAGTCTCCACCCAGCTGCAGTGCATTTCACTTTTTATCTATGTGCATTGCAATTACTTATCCTGATTATAATAAACACATGTGTATTTGCTCAAAATTTCATAGGTAATATTCACCCATTCTTTTTTGTAAATAACCCTCAGCTTTAAAACTGCCTTCTCAAGGTTTGTAGTTGAAACAAGCTAACGATGCAAAATGCTGCACTAGTGAACTTTGGATAAACTTCAAAAACTGCACTAAACAAGTAGTGTTTATGCCCACCTCAACCACAGGGAAGCTTGGAAGGGCTGAGAAAATATGGAGCTTTTGCCTGGTGCCCTCTACAGTATGTGGAGGGGATAAAAATTATAAAAATATCCCAAACCCACATTCCTTTCTTTGAAGACTAGGGACCTTGCCAGACAAAACCCAATCACAAAAGGCACACAGCTTTTACCAGAAGGACAAGACTACCCACTAACCCCAGGAGTCTATGTAAATGTTAAACCCTGTAGTAGCTTAGAAGAGGGCAAACCAAAACACAGGCTGAAAACTTGATTAAGAAGTGGTCGCGAGTCAACAATAATAACACCCCGTCAGCAAACGCCTACTGAGCCAGATAGCTCAAAGATAATCACCTTTTTCGGTAAAAACCGAAAATAAGCTTCAACTAGCGACAAAGTAACAATGCAATGTACATGCAGAAAAGGAACATCACCATGATAAGATTTCAAGAGAACTTCCTACCTTTCATTAGAGCCTGGGGTCGTCCACTGGGTCTTTTTCTGTAGTGGGAAAGCAAATATAAAAACTACATCCTCTTTCTCTAACTTGACTGCCTAATTTCTGAACACCACAACTACACTAATAACCCCCCCCCCCCCCCCCCCCCCCGCATAAACATAAAAAAAAAGAAAAAGAAGAGGAAGGAAAGCAACTCACTTTGACTTGTTCAATTTTCTGCTGGTCTTCCTACAAGGAAAAAAATGCACCTTAAAACAAGTTTTCTCCATCAAGAGGTTGTGAAAAGCAAACTGCTGGAGACTGAGTCACACAAAGGGCAACTCTGAAGACCTTGCCAAAGGCACTTATTGTTATCAGTTTGACAAATAATATTTCCCAAGTGTGGTCACGAGCCCATTGTTACACATCAATGTGGATCAAGGACTTCGAGTGAATGCATTTGACTTCACAGGGCAGCAAAAGGAGCTGGAATTTAAGAAGCAAGAAGGGGAGCCTGCGACTCCTTGCTACAGGAACTCTAGGCTAAAAATATTGTACGGTCACACTGCGAATATTCTAGAATGTTACGCATACCTCACAAAGGTCTCCAATCTTGTATTGCTTCATGAGCTCCCTGGCATCCGTGGAATGTCCAACATCTTCAAATGCTTCAGTGGCATGCTTACCTGAAACAAAAAAAAAAACAATCTATTTGGTGACAATATTTAGGTGCTAGCATAGGAAGCATGCACCTTTATAAACTAAAAGGGGAAACATAGCTGCACGTATACAATTATGAAAGTAGCAAATTGCACTGGGTCAAAGAAGAAATAGAGGAAAAATGTTTTAGCATGCTATTTGTGAAATTCTGTTCAATACTATCACTACCACCTAAAAAAGCGGTACCTTTCCTCTAATGTCATCAAAAGTAGATCCCCACACTGCCACCTAACTTGTGCCCATGCCGCTGTAAGCACCTCCCTGACACTTTGGCAATGTCTGGCAACGAGCACATTGATAGTGCACGCCGACACAAATATAGCGCAAGGCTTTATCGTGCACTCTCGCCTAGCTTTAGCATGTGTGCCATTTCAGGTGGGTAGGAGATTCACAAGTGATGACGTCAGAGCAGGCCTGGTTTTCTAGGTGATCACGATCAAATATGGTTGCATTTACGAAAACAAGACCATTGTGAGAAAACATTTCGTACCAGCTTGTTCCAGAAGTACTTCTTCACCACCAGGGTGCTAAAATAAAAGTGAAGCATAGTTAATTCAACAAGACCATTTATGAAATGACAACCTTACAATAAGTAAAAGAGAGATTATTGTCTTGACACATCCCATTGTTCGAAGACAAAGGTGCTGGAGAGTTCAGCAAAGCGAAACAGACATTAGGCCTGCGAATACAATGTTATTTAAAGTATACCGGGCAAGTTCGACCAAGGGACAAAGCTTAGTGCTTGCCGCGATGACCCTTCCCACGCGAACCCTGTACGGGAGACAACGGAGTGCTTTCATCAGCTCCATTCATATTCGAAGAAAATGTCGCACAGCATGTCAGGCTAAAGTTCAAAGTCCTGTATCACCTACAAAACAGGCGGCTGAATTAAAGACCACCGAACTAGCTCGTAATAGAAGGCTCTAAAGTTATGTACAACCACAAGAGCTGATAAGGGGATTACACACTTTGCACCCTGCACATCTAGGTTCCAAATATGGATGCACTCAAAACTACAGCAATATTCAGAGTATACACCCAGCTCATACATAATGGAGGTTCCACATTCGTTTCCAAAGTTTTTTTGTTTTTTTTTTTAATTCAAGGGTGTTTTATGAGGGTTTTATTTTTTCCCAGATTTAGGGTCTTCTAGGGGTATATTTTCAGTGTCGGCAAGAAACTGGCATTTAACGGAGCTTTATGGCGAAGAAAATGAGACGACGGTGGGACTCCCCAACCTACAAGAAATATCGGTGGGATTCAACACTTGGAAAACGTCACGATACTGATAAGAAAGGGAAACGTCGCAAGAGTGTGGCTTCCAAAGAAAAATACAACAAATGCAGCTTGACGAATAGTTCAGTACGAGCTCTGTTCCGCGTCAAGAAAAGTTCTTCCAATAAAGATTTTTTTTTTATTAAGCAAAATGCTGGGTAGGGTAGGGTAGGGTAGGGTAGGTTAGGTTAGGTTAGTAACCCCGAGCTAACCAGCTCGGGGGTTACTTTTGGGGGGGTTTATCGATGTATGCCGAAAGCATGGAACCCTAAACATAATGCATGCCCATGTTCTATGTTTCTCTAAATTTTACAGCAAAATTACATTGTTTTTTTCAAAAACTTGCTACAGTTGATAAAGGGAGGGAGAACAGGCATGTGGATTCTAAAGTAATTTTCATTTTTTGCTTATTTGAAGGCTCATACCAGGACTGTATTTTGACAATAGGGTACTGTGTATGAGATCAGAGGCACAATCAGGATTGGAAATTCGACGAAGGAGCGTGGGCAGGGTAGCACTGAGAGTGCATAGGAACACACAAAATGGAGTGCAGGGGGACATGGGCTGGTCATCCCTTCAGAACAGAGAGGCCATCAGTAAATGGAAATTTGATGAAAGGTCTAGTGAAATGGATGATACCCAGTGGGCACGGAAAGTATTAGAGTATTTATAGATGAAAAGTGTTAACACAAAATGGACAAAACAAACCTGAAAGCTGACAATTAAATACCTGCACACGGGGTGGCTGAGCAGACCAGTTCAGTGAAAAAGGGCAGAAAAAAAAATGTGGGAGGGAAGGCAAAAAAAAAAATTGCTTTAACAATGTACAGGCCACAAAAAAGAAAAAGGTGTTTGATAATTCACGTAGAAGTTCTTTGCTGTTCAAGGCAATAATGGGAGTGTTAGAAGTCCCCAATTGAACATGGCCAACAAGACATGTCAGATCACGATTCTTATTCCCTGTCCTCTTCCCTTCGTCCCCTCAAGCTGATGAACAGAAGTGAGGAAGAGAGAAGCGAGGTCAATTCCTCTCATTCTCAACTGTTCCAGGAGGATCGCGACGTCATAGTCCTCACTTGATCGCGCCCTTCTCTTTCAAAAATATGGTTATCCATTTGAGATATTGTTGTACGAGCGAGGTCTTGGAGTTTGTAGCGTCCCGTTAAACGCTTCTGCGGCCTTATATTGCGAAATCCAAATTTCGGTTACGCATCCCTTAAAGACAAAGACGTATAGGGCTAAATTTCAAGAGATCGACACATTATGTGCCGTATGCCATAGTGAGAGCTAGACACTAGAACGTTTGGTTTTGAATTGCACAGGGCTTCGCCTTACCCTCCCTGAAGGGGTAACAGATTTGGCAGGGGCGCTGGGTTTTGGTGGCAAAGGTGGAAGAATGGAAAGGATTAAAGCCACAGAAAGGAGTTTAGAAGATTGGTGGAAATTATCCGGGAAATTTGAAGGAAATGGAACTAACTAGCACAGCTGGGGACAGGCAGGAAGGAGGAAAATTGGGACTCTGTCCTGCGTGGCTCCGGCCCAAAGTCTCAACTCTGTCTCCCAGTGGGCCCGGTGTTGAGGAGACTCCGACTAGGTTTGACCAGAGAAAAATTGGCGACTCCCTTGTCGAGGGTGATGTTTCTAGTTTTCTTTTCTTTTTTACCTAATCCCACAAATGTTATCCTGGCAATATCCCATACTGCCTGGTGATAGAAAAATTCAAAGGAGGAGCGAATTGGCTTAGAAGGGTGTGGGGATGAGTCATACCTTTGGTTTCTAGACTAAGTGGCACAAGGTACTGCCCGTTATAAAGGGTACAGGCATTAGCATCAATCCATCCATCCAGCTGCATCTACCAGTTACACACTTGCACAGTACTCAGTGAAACTAATGAACCAACGTCGCACTTGGCCTCGCATACCTGTTGCACCATCTGCTAGGAGAAGTCGTGGTATCTGGTGTTGCAAGTCGCACATGCCCACAGCTGAGCCAAGCACTCTGCGGCTGTTTGTGGTCGATGCACAGCCCCTGATAACTGATCGATGTATGCCATAAACATGCAACACAACCAAGTTTTTTTGTTTTTTTCTTTTCCGATCGCATTACAGCTTTTTTTTTTTTTTTTTTCAAGGTATGAGCTGTGAAAAATGTAACCACCACCAGAAGTTATCTCTGTATTCTTTTTTCAGACTGATTGAAATGTCTTCCTTTTTCTATGTTTTCTTTTTTTTATATTTGGAGCAACATAACCTTATACAAAATAATGACATTGAGTGGCAATACATTGCGAGAGGAGTGTAACACGATGATTAAAAAAAGCGGTAAAGCTTGAGATTCACGCCTTGCAGTAATCACCTGTCGGACAGGGGTTGCCCCTCGAGCGCGAACAGCCGCCGGCTGCTTGGCTCAGCTATGCGCATGTGCGACACTAAATCCCACTGCCTCTCCCAGCATATGTTGCAGACGGTACGCGAGGTCACGCGCTCCGCTGATCCATCTCGTTTCATTGAGCACTGTACAGACGATCGGGACACTTGACGATTAAACCATCCCTTTATGGTGAGGTGCTTCATAGGCACCCCTCTATGATCACTACCCAAGACGTCGGACCAAGATTTGCCCCAGTGGTTAGAATTCTGGCAATCTATATTCAGCCACAAACAATAAGTGTGACGGTACACGTAAGGGGCAGACTGGCATTACCCTTACTTTAATCAATAAAAGCAAAAAAAATAAAAATAAAAACTTCATAACGAGCTCTTGGCCTATCCTCGAGGGTAGCGGGCAACAATCTTGGTTGCGTACATCACAAAATATATTTTTCTGTGGGGCGGATAGAATAGAATAGAATGAAGTCAAACTAGAGGCAGTCTTTTATGAGACATAATAGTTTGGCTTTTTTTTTCAGAGAGCCTGAAAGATCTAGCTGCAGACAGAAGGTACGGCTCCAATAAAGCGGACCTCCATCATCACTTCAGGTCTCATTTTGCATGTATGAGGCGACCTAGGTAAAAGAAGGAGAAAAAGTCGATAGACCTGCTAACAGTACTGATTTTCTCAAGGAGACTTGTATTGGCAGAAAACGCGCACTTGTGTGCACGACCGCTCTCACAGGACCTTGCAGGAGAACACGGATAAGATATACACCCCGTGCACGTGCCCGAAGCAACGGGCCGTTCGAGGGGGATAAACCTTGAGCGCCAGAGTGGCTAGAAACGAGACAGGCATGTGCATCTCCAGCCATGCTACAGGTCATTCGGCAGGTATTGCTGCGGCCCGTGAAGATGTTCTTTCTTTTTTCGGACACATGCAAGAAGTTTTGCGTTATGCCCTAATCGCTTATCTTCTCAACAGACGCCTTCCGTGGTCCTCCACCCTCCACTCCACTCCACCCCCCCCCCCCCCCCCCCCCTTCTCACAACGCACAAAAGCAGGATTACGACACCACGAAGAGAGATTGGAGACCCCTCCGCCTCTTGTTCTCCTTAACACGAAAAATTGCCCTCCCGTGACGAGGTCACGATTCACTCAATTGTACGCTGTCCTGTTCGACCGCTACGACAACTACACCCTGTTAATACGTGTCCTGTAGCAAATAACAATAAAGTAAAAAAAAAATCAAACTCTCAACCGCAAAAAACGTGCATGTGGTTTTCCGCAGCAGAGACAGGCAGCTGCACGCACACGCACGCACTCTTTTTTGTATTTTATGATCCGGTCCGATCAAAGCCCGAGACATAAACGGAAGTGACTAGTTACATCTCGAAGCACTCCATTCGAAAAATTCGTATCGCCACTGCCAACGCACTTGGAAATCCCGGTCGTCTTCAAAGGCCTAAATGCGAATTTCCGTCTACGGTCTCAAGGACAAACTCATAGCAGTCACTTACCTCTTCCATAAACTTCGTGACGTCGTAGACTGCATTGTGGATTAGTAACCATGCCGAGTTCTTCTCGTTGTGCTTTTCGATTTCGGCTAAAGTAAAAGTTTTCGACCCTTCAGCCATCGCGCCCGAGAAAATGACTCGCAAACTAGCGACCCTACCAAGGTGGCGAACGAACGGGAAATGCTGCGATTAAAAATCCCAGCTTCGCCAGCTTTGCCACATGTGCCTCAAGAGCCGCGCTCTCTCGCGAGCAACGTAGACATGCAGAAAAGCTGAAAAGTATTTCAGCTAAAACGTTTAAAAGGCTATCTTATAATAAAAGTATTCAGCTTGTTTTCGAGTGAAAATTAAAATACTCGACCTTGTTTTCTTAGTTTTTTTTTTTTTTTTTAATTATTTAGTCATAGGAGAAAACTGGGTTGGCGGCTAGACATAACTTGTTGCGTGATTGGCTGAGGCCCGCAATCCCGGATGTTGCTGTTGGCTGCCGAAGATGCCAAGCGCAAGCATCAAGCCAGCCAAACCCCAAGCCGCCAAGCTAGCTTCCTAGCGTATTGACCGAAAGCCACAGCAAGTGATGTCCGGCTGTTGGTTTCATTTGGCGTAAGATTCCCCCCTCCCCTCTTTTTTTTTTTTTTTTTTTTTACCCTTAAAGTTAGACGTTTATCGGGGAAAACACCCAGCTCCCGACCCGTGATGCGCCATGGTGTGTAAAGAAGAGATATATGCATGGTTTAAACAGCTCAATGGATCCGTAAGGATAGACACTATGTGCGGCTTGCTCAATTTGTGCTTACCCTTGGAACTGCGATTTTTGGGGACATGCATCGAAGACTTAGCAAATAAGGACTACAGTTACTTCAGAGACGCCGAGCTGCGGGCGAACAATTTGAGTGAGGTGTCCAAGTATACCAACGTGAGGGACGCTGTGACCAGGAGCAAACTGCTCACGACGCTGGCCCTGTTGTATGGCTGCAACCCCAGCTGCTCACATGCCATCTTCGAAGCCTTGGCCGAGGAAATGAAGGCTGCCAAGCCCGAATTGTACGATGTAAAGACTCTCGAGGAGATGCTGCTGCTTTTCACGATGGCCACACACCATCCTTCGTTCAGCTTTGATGAACGCACGGAGCTGGTCAAGTACCGCGAAAGGCTGGAGAACATGTGCCAACCTCAGGTGGGTGCTGGCCGCCGCTCCGAGAAGGTCCCGGTTGGCACTATCGTTGCCCTACGTTACCCGTAGGCCCCCAGAGGGTCCCAACCCTTAGGCTTAATGGGCAATTTCGGCCCCAGTATGCGGCTGTTTGTCTGGTCCCTTCACCAGAGAAGAGTGGCGGCGAGACCGGGCAGACGGCTCGTGTGTCGCTGGCACGGCGCTGGCGGCAGCCTTGCCTGCCTCGTCTCACTGCCGCTTGTTTCAGCTTGCTGAAATCGCAGCACCCCAAGTGACAGCGTAGCGGGGAACCAAATGGGGGGCAGACATGCGTGCTTCGAAAACAACTACACTTTTTTGCAATAGCTCTCGCCTCTGAGATGCACCTTAGAGTCAAGATTAATCGGCAGAATATTCCGTGCTTGCTTTTGCAACATAACCTCTTAAAGTCGTGTTTTTTTTTAAATGTATTTTTATACTTCGCATGGGAGCACAGAAACAAGTGAGCAAACACAGGGTTGGGCAGTATCGCGATACAAATGTATCGCGATAGTACTTCAGAAATACATTTTGTATCTGTATTTCTGTATCGCGATACATTTTCTCCGCCAGTATCTGTATTCCTGTATCGAAATACATTTTGAATGTTCCTTTGTATCGCAATACAATCAGGGTGAAATGTATTTCGTTACATTTCTTGAGAAATACTGCCCCCCCCCCCCCCCCCCCGGGAAAAAACAAAACATATCAGAACGTTTTTTTTTTTTTTTTTTTTTACTTCTGAGGGCACCAGGGTCAGGGAGATGCTTGGGCATTGTTACCATGCTGACCAAGGTTCCTTCCGTTTCTCTAAACTATTTTTCTAAGCGTCCTCTTCTCTCTTCTGAGAAGTGTTGCGTAGTACGGCGACTCGAACCAGGTGGCGTGCCAGGAGTGGAGTCAGAGCATCTTGTGCCGCAGGTTTTTAGGTAGGGGTTTCTTGAGTCATTGTTTGCTGGCATCCAAAGCTCGCTGCTAACCGTCTCTCTTGCCTTAGCGTACGCAGTACACCCAGCCGGAAAAGCTGAGTCACAGTCCGTTGCAGCACGAGCCTGGCGGTGGTTGGCTTGAAATAGTAGGATGACTTACCCAGTGAAGTTCAACACATATTCGAATGCGTCTGCGGCTGCGCCCGTAATATTGCACGGCTCAAGGGTACGTCCTCTGCCGACGTGAAAGTGACCTGCTGTTGTGGTGATTCGAACCCAGGAAGGAGCTCAGACGTGGCCTCTCTGTGCTGACCCAGACTTCGTACACCTGCGACTCGTCTCGAGCGCGCCGTTTCTCGGAGAGCTCGCACCTGTGCCGGCAATATCAGGTCGCCATTCATGAGGTTTCTATTTGGAGTATGCAAGACGAAACTTGAGGAGTGCAATTCATGCGTTGGTGGTGGAGGGTCGGCAGGAAGGACCTTCACAACAGGGATGCACGGTATCGTTTTTTCAACCGTAACAGAAGATAAGACATGTGTTTCAGAATGCTTCAGGTGGTCTACCATTCTCGAAAATTCCAAATGACACTGCCTGCATGATCTTCAACCAGGTAACCTACAACGAAAGTACGTAACGTCCTTTCATACAGCAGCGTGGTAAAGTTTCATGTTCAAGGCCACACGTACAGATAAAAAATACCAGTTCCTCCCACCGTGACGTCATGTGATAAATGTTGACAGTTGCACAATTGGACAGGGCGTGGTGACGCTTTGATGTGATTTAGAATGACATAAAATTTATTTAGAGGTCAAAGTCTTTTCGCATCCCTCGTCAGACAGACAGGATGTCAGCTAAGGGACCGCAGTCAGTCCTTGATGGACGTTTTTTCGAGCCCATTGAAGACTCCTCGTCGTCCGAATTCACTACCTTCAAGGCAAGGTGCCAAGCCTACGGGAAAGTAATTTGGGGATCAAAAACTTGCACTTCAAGCTTCATCTCAGTTGGCGTCTCAAACAAATGTGAAAAATGTATTGCAGTATCAGTATTTCTGTATTTGTATTTCCACCCTCCCTAAAATGTATCCCTGTATTTGTATTTCCAAATACTTTTTGACTCTTTTTAAAATGTATTTCCGATACGTATCGCGATACACTTTTTCAGATGTATTGCAGTATCAGTATTTTAGCTACTATTTTAATGTATCCCAGTATTTTTATTTCCAAATACATTTTTGAGTATTTCTGCCCAACCCTGAGCAAACAAACCAGTAGTGAAAGTATGTCTTGTGCTTTCAGTGTAGGCCAGGCATCGCATACAGATCTCAAAGTTTCGCTTTGCTGTCATTTTGTCTGATTGTAAAGTAGCCCAGGAAGACCACGGTCGGCTGACAGGAGACATTGCATCTGCATGAAAAATCCGCATGTATGTTTCGGACAGTCTCGTATATATTTTTTTATCGTTCAAGTGCCATACTGATTATATGTTTGATGCAGGCAAGCCGTCCAGCGCAGACAAGGACCACATTGCTGTAATCATTCCGTATCCATGGCTATTTTACTAAACAGTGCACCAGGGCCACTGACGGTGACCAAACCCACATTATTTTTGATGGTTACACCAACTGTGGTGGAAGTTTTGTTGCACCTTCCTTTATGCTATTATTTTATAAGTATGAATTGTCCTAGGCCTTACTTATATTTGACTGCTTCCTCTTGAAGATGTCTTATCTCTTGGAATACTGTGTTCAAGACTGTAAGAGATAGAACACTATTCCGGGAGTTTTGAAGGGACTCGAGTTGTATGAACAGTGAAGCTTTAGCCATCTCGGGGCTTGTAGCTTGTACTCTATGCAGGTCTTCAAACAAGGTTGTGCACCTGCACCCCACCAGGGGCAGGTTTTGAAGGTGATTGGTTAGAATATCCTGATTGCACCTCCTTCAAGCTTAAAGGGGCTAAAGGGGCTTTAAGTGGATCTTGAGATTGTCTATTTATTGTCATAACTCTATCTAAGGGCTCTAAGCATCCTAAAAAACCCGATACCACATTCAAGAGCGGCTGATTTCCCTATTAAAAGTCCAATGAAAGATTGTGGCACGCCCCTCTTTCTGCGCTGTGGCGCAGAACAGAGCCGTATATGGGGAAAGCCGCCGTAACGCTCTCCTCCCAAGTGAGCCAATCAGCACGCGGCGTAGAGCGAGAGGCATGAACGCATGCGCGTGAACTCCCGGCTGCTCCCACCTAAGTGGGGAGGGCCGCCATCTTCGATCATTCTCCCGGCGGAATGCGTGGGATTGGCATCTAAATCTCGATTATTGCCTTTTATATCGCTGGCTCTGGCAAGAAAACGACATTCTGTTATTCCTCGGTGGGTTAAAAAGCAAATAAATAAAGATTTTTCGGCGTATGGCCACAAACTTTTATTCAGGCGAAAAAGAAGTCGGCCCGTAGCAGACGACGCGTAGCCTCAGCAGTGCTCTTCTCCGACAGCGTTGCTAGAAAATGGCGGTCGTCTCCTCTCTGCTCCCTTCTTTCTCTCTCGCTCCTTCGGCGCTCTCCTCCCTTTCATTTACTTTTCTCCTCTCCGGCGCCTTCGTCGCCACACCCACTGGCCAAGCTCTCCCAATATACGGCTCTGGCGCAGAACACCAGGGAGCGCCACCGGGTGGGAAGGCAGCAGGGGAGGGCACGCGACAGCCAATCACGAGTGACGGCTTCCCAGCGGTCCGATTTTTTGTAGGTGGGGGTATTCGGAAATTCAGTCCTCTGGGAAGCCGTCGTCGTGATTAGCTGTCTCATGCACTCCCCTGCTGCCTTCCTGTTTGGTGGTGCCCCCGGTGTTCTGCGCATGACGCAGAAAGGGGGGCGTGGCATAATCTTTGATTGGATTTCGAATAGGGAAATCGGCCACCCTTCAATGTAATTTCGGGTTTTTTAGTGTGCTTAGAGCCCACAAATTGAGTTATGTCGGTAAATAGACAATCTCAGAATCCACTTGAGTGCCTTTTTAATAGAAGCTCTGTATTCAGCTTGGGGAAACATACCAAACATCTTGTATGTTGACTCCCCTTCCCCTTAGAAAAAGCGTGGATTTGCCCTTTCTCCATTTAGTCGAGTGCTCACATGCAGTGACCAGTGGTTGTTATTGTAACATGTTTTTGCTTTGTGCATCAATATAACTGCTTGCTATTCCATGAGTATTTACTTTTTTTAGCTTTCGAAAGCATTCCTTCGTCTTTACCTTAAATATTTGCACCACCCAGAGGTGCTTGTTTGAAATGCAAATACATCTTTTTCCAGGTGCCAATCTGCTCATAGTCTTGCATGTAGACCACTGATCTCTATGACATTTGCTAGATCGCGCCCCGCAAATACGGCCACCAGACAGCCATCTTGCATGTACGAGGCGGCCTATTTTTGAGAAAGTTAATGCAGTTATTCTGCCAGGGTTGAACAAATCTTCATCAATAGTGCAACATCCGTCAACTGTGCTTGAGGTCACTGCTATCTGAAACCAATTTGAGCTCTTTGCAACGCCCGAAAAATATTGTCCAGGGCACAGTTTTCTTTAGAAGAACACAAAGCTTTCCACCAAAAAAAAAAGAACTTTTGCCAGTAACAACTAAAAAAAGAAGACAAACTAATCTTGAGTCGCATGTATTGGCGTGGCACAGTCTACTGCTAAACAGTACGACTTTATGCATATTTGCATCGAAAAACAAATTAAAAATGTCCTCAGAGATGAAAGGCATGACGGCCTAGTCCTTTGTCCATGTTAAGTTGTTGGAAGTTGGAAAACAATAAAGTTTCCGAATCGCACTTAGTGGCAGAGCGCCCATGCCCTGAAAATGCTGAGAAGCCGAAACTCGAGAACTTGACGCCACCAAGATGGCCGCATGCACAGTGCTGCTAGACCACCAACCAGTTTCGCATATTGCCTATTCTCCCAAAATTATGGTCTTTGGTTATCTGCGTTCACAGCTGATAACCGTTTTGGCCAGTTGAAAGACGATCTGGGGCAACGAGACAAGTCGATGTGCCTCCTCTTTAATTAAGCTTGCATCATAGGGTTCCTAGTTCCACTGTTGTCTCACAGAGAATGAAGGTGATGATAATAAATCGCATAGTAGTGAAGCTTGTTCGTATTGACCATTGGAGGACACAACATTGAATCAACCAATCTATGGGAATAAACAGTGCTTGAAAATGTTTATGGAGAGTGATGGTTTTGGAAACGCCCAACCACACTGGGCCCTGCCAGTCAAGTGAGCCATTCTTTGTCACCCGTGTCAAAAATGTTAGACTGTTTCACCTTGGTTGTCAAGGGCCTTGAATCCGTCCTTACTAGCCCATAATGACTTCCTTTAGCAACTCTGTATGACTAGCCAGTCCTTTTAAAAAGATGCTCTTTGGTTTCTGCAATCTTGCAATGCCATCAAGGGGCCCCGAGTTCTTAATCATTAACCCTGAGGCCATTTCAGGTTTGGTCACCATTCATTAGGTGATAAGCCAGTTGCGAAGCTATCACTAGCTGCTTCTTGAAGAAGAAAAAAAATTCAACGATCGGAGGCTAAGAACTTGATTTTATAGTTTTGCATTTGTGAATGGATGAACCTGGAACAACTGTGCACTTTTATGGACCATGGGTAGCGAGGGTACTTGGTATTTGGTCAATCATGTATTGTACTACATTTATTTTTACCTACTAATTGATTTTATCACTTTTATGTAATCAACAAACATTAGACCTCGTTTAAAAAAAAAAAAAAAGACGAGGTTGCGGCCCATCTGCAGCCTCCAAATTGCTTGTAAAAATTAGCAGTAGAATGCCGCAAAGGGAGTTTAACCTATATTGGAGTTGAATGATTGGAAGTTTGAATTTGCAGAATGAGGCCTTGCAAGACAACCTCCAGTTTAGCGCTTGCAATGATGTTTCATAACCCTCGACTGAAACATTTGAAGATCCCTGCGTCTCCTGTTATCTGCAGGGCCTCTCTGTGCCGCCTCCCATGGAGAACTTCATGCTGCCGTGCCTGCCCTATTCACCGTACCCAGTGCCCTTCCTACCGCCGTGCCCAGTGGCCACCGATACAGCACCCTGCACAGTTCCTCTTCAAACTCGCACCAGCCCCACAGGTGCCCGCAGGGTCCTTTCAGGGGTTAGACGTCCAGTTGGCTCTCGACCTCCGTTGACTGCATTGTGCTGCACAGGCTGTTCAGTAGCCTCTCTTGGGGCTGTGGGGTAGTCTCAGAGAAACCCGACTGCTTCTCAAACAGTTTCACTCTTGCGTTCTTGACAGAAAAGGGAGTGTCAGGAGCAGTAAATCCTGAAATCCTCAGGTCCATAACATTTAAAAGTGGACTCATCTAGCTGGCTGTCATTGCTCTATTAAAATTTTTGTAGAGTGCCCTGGCTCAGACAAATGGCAACTAAACTTTGGGTATGCTATAGAGGCTTTTTTCATCTGTGAACATTTAACGTCTTTGACCTCTTTTGGCAGCACGACTCTCGGGCGTGGAGGCAAAACCCGAGCCACAGCGCAGGAAGTCCGTGAAGCTGAATCTCCAGTGGTCAGACCGTCATCAGACAGAGATTGTGCGCTCATTTCAAGAGATCTCTGGGCTCTCTCAAAAGGTATGTGCTTGCAACAATTAGCATGATGGTTGATGGGACATTGTTTCTGCCAGTGAGACATTACTTTTGGTTTCATGAGGCTGAATGCAGTAGATTGGTATGGTGTGCTGCCCTTTCTCTATCGTTTTTGTGTGTGGCCCTTGTAAATGTGGGCGATCTGTATGCGGTGAAGTTTAAAAGGGCAGTAAAGTGGTTTTAGAACCTATGTTAATTGTAGTCCTTTGAAAACTGGACATATAGGGATGTGAGAACTTGAGCGGTTTTGGGTTATGATGCCTAGAATTTTTATAACTTAGTCTTAAAGATTGAAATCCATTTGGAGTGAAGTGAAGCCCAATGGTGCTATGCCAAGCATTGAATAGGAAAGTGTTGCTGCACACATCCCTTCTCTCCCGGCCTATTCAACTCCTGCAGAGAGCGGGGAGGGGCAACTAAAATGGCCAGGTTGTAACGCGTCGACGACAGGAGCTCATAACCACACCAGCCCCGAAGCAGCTTTGCCCACGCTGGGCCAGTTGACGTCACATCTCCCGTGGTGCATCGTGCTTTCCGATGGCCGATCTTCAAGCACTCGCTTGAATCAGTCCTTTGGACAAAAGATATAGCCTACAGTTTGAAATACAAGTGTGCGATTGTCATTAGCAGATAGAGTTGATCATGTTTAACTTATTTCTGAATGTGAGAGGTATATTTTAAGTTTCGATTCATTATCCCTTTAATGTGACATCGGAAAAGAGACTTGCCCCTAATGGAATGCCTCTATTAGCCCCTAGAGCGAGCGCAAGCGTCGCTTCGGTCGCTGCGCCCTGATTGGGTGAGGTGTACCGTGACATCAGGGGAAGGACTTTGCTTCGCGATACCGCATCCGGCTCGCTTCCCTGCCACGGTTTCCTGGTTTGGCCATTGTGTGCCGTAAGCACTTCCAGGAGCGGGACCTGGTTAACCCGGTGTACAAGACGCTGGGTTAGGCCGATACCGACGTGTTTCTGTACCTTTTATAAGCATGCCTGTCGCTTTCACCTTTATAATTAAGTTACCTATCCCGAAAGCTATCGACAGAGGCAATTCCGCCGATGAACCTCCCTGTCGGTCCACACGGCATAAGCAATCGTGCAAGGGGTCGTGAAGCGGCTGCGTCAGTGTTTCAGCCGCTAGAGTTCTGTCCCTTGCATGTTTATGATTTAAGAGAATATTACATCCCGCTTTGCAGACATCTCAAATGGCATTTATATCAAAGGCCTTTGGGCGGTCGGCAAATTGGATCTCGACCCCCATTCTGCGCGTGCCACTCTGCATGCGCTGGTTCGCAGATGCTTTGAAGGCCCTAGGTCTGAAGGCCTTTGAAGTGCTCGTGAAACAGGGTTGTTCTACATAAATATAGCTTCTTTGTGAATTAATTATATAGTTTGTACACATATACAGACATGTTTTATTTTTTAGACGATGCACAATTACTGGTAATTAGTTTTTATCGTAGCAGTAAAAACGGCTGAATTTCCCCCAGTTACCTGTATGAGATATATTGAACTGCCAAAAATATGCACAGCAATACTACCATAATTTGGAATGTTTATACTTTTTCCTGACATTCTTTCTTTATTGCAGCCTTGTGTATTTGGAAAAAGCACCGTTTAGTTTGAATTGTCATTTCCTATTAAAAGAGACACTGCTGTGGGTCCCCAAAAGCTTCCTCAGCCTCCAAACTCAGCTGGACTCTCTGACAACAGAGGAAAACAGGAGTAACAGCAAGCATTTCAACGGCTGTCCAGTGGTAGATGCTGCACTAGTAGCAGAAAATGTGGAACCTGTGAAGGGCGACAGTTTGTGTGAGAGAAGCTTATGGTATTTTAGCTTCAGGACAATTTGATTTATATAAAAATAAATTTTAGAGCATCAGGGACTAATAACGGGCTAGACATCGTCCCTTACGTTTGTTGTACATTACTTGAGGGATGATATAAACAAGTCCACAGACACCACCAGTGTAGTCCATTGAAATACTATCCGAATCCAGCAAAAGTCAAATGCGAGCAATGTATATAACTAAATGTTCCTTCTTTCTTTACTTTGCACCTGTACCTGGGTTGTCTCACTTGTGATTTTCTCTTTATAACCCAGACTATATTTAACGTGTTGCTCAAGCAGCATGCAGCTTTTGTGCTTCAGCGTTTTTGGTTTAAAACTGGCGATACAAAAAAAACAGCAACAATGAAACAGTATACATAACCTGCCAATTCGTTCACACCATCAGCCACATTGATTGTGTGAGATGTAAATCTATAGCGATGCTCCTGCAATTGTGGCAACATATCTTCATTTGCACGTACCAGCTATGATTCATGCGTTGCCTGCCCTTTCAACCATGCCTGAAATGTTGGTTGAAGTTTCGCCTGCAGGCTACAGGCCGTGCCTCAATAAAGCCACATATGAAAATGTACACTTTCTACGAAAAACGCGCAAAAAAAAAAAATATTGCATAGAAACGAGCGCGCCGACAGCTAACATCGTCACAGCCTCCACATGGCGAACGTGGCGAGTCGGGGAAAAATTCCGTCCTCGCCGTGACGTCACCCCGGTTCGCCGTAAGGGGGCGCCACTCTATCTTCTCGGGGCTAATAGTGATGCAAAAAACTTTTTAGCTCCCCCAATAAATTAGGTATTTATGTCACCAATTAATTTTTTCACGGGAAAAACAAAATTAATGCAATATTTATGGTGCAAGGCACAATTTGGACGGAGCTCGTAACGGAGCGTATTGGCTAAACCTACTTCCACTTTTCTCTCTCACACATTTTTTCAGCACGTAAAGGTGTTGACAGAGGTGTGGAGAAGAGATATGTGGTGGTTGCCGATTAGATGTACCTCTCTTCTGCACTCCTTCCGACCAATGGGAGGTTTGACACAGTGGTTCCTATTCTGACGTCACATCGACTTTGGCCTCAAAATAGAAGCCACTTTGAGCCAGCGCGTGTAAGCAAACGAAATCACATCTATCAACGTAAATATTGCATTCATTTGTTTCTCCCAAGGAAAATGCATGCTGCGACATATGTATGTAGCCTGCTAAAATAGATTAAATTTTTTTTTTTTTTATGTTGTATGGTGTTTTGGCATTGTGGTGATCATGGGTAAAGTTGCTTTCAAATTTGTTAAAAAATTATATATACATTATGGCACCTTTAGTCCTCTGTATGGTCTTATGTCAATAAGCAAAAAACACCAACTTGCCTCACTAAAAAAAAAAAAATTTGTTTTGGCTTTTTTTTTTTTTTTTAGTTGGCATGCCTTTCCAATTTTATCACCTTTAGCAGGCATCATTAAAGTTCTGTAGATTGGCATTGAGTAATTTGCCTCGTCCTTCCTTTCCCTGTGGCAGTTGTCCCGCTTGAGTGCGTCGGATCCATCGAGTCATGGCAAAAGTATTCCCCAGTTGCCAGGTGCAGTACACCCTCCTCCATATCTCTCCTTGCCCTTGGCCTTACATTATTTTTGCTTTTCAGCTTGCATTGAAAAGAATGAAGAAGCAGATGGGATGTATGTTGAACTCACCGAGTACTTCAAGTAGGTTATTTTCTTGGTTTGGTATGGTAGCATGCTTAGGTAACTTGGAACAATTGTCAGCATGTGAAAACAGTTCTTTGAAATGTGCTTAACTCTTTTTTTTTTTTTTTTTGCAAGGTTCAGAGTTTTGCTGCATAGACCTGCATCTCAATTTTGGGTGTGCAGCATTTCGTTGGAAGTGGTAGGAAGGACCCTGTCCCGCTTGAAAGGGGTCCTCTCCTCAGCTTGAGCGTGTGCCACTTCACTAGACACACTTCTACGGTGTTCTCTCCGCTCAGCCCATTCTGTTTCTCCTGCGGCACAGCTGCGTCGCACGTCTGCCACCAAGCTACCTGGACAACGAACTGGTGGCGTCGTTCTTCCAGCCTCCTCAGCAGGCGTGTTCCAAGCCAGCTTTTGCAGCCTCTGCCGTGGCTGCGCCCTTGACCCCGATGGCCGAGGGCATGCCCAACTGCTCTTCCCCCGGCGTGCCCATAGTTCCTGCTCAAGAAGACCCGCGTGCGGGGCTGCTGGCCTTTTACAGCGAAACGCCGGCGCCTTCCGCACTGCCCGTGCCTCCTCCCGGCACTCCCATGTTGCCTGTTTGCCATCCCAACTCACCGCTACTGCCTGGAGCCAGCAACAGGTTCCTGCCCACCTTCTGCCTTTTCATGGGTCATGCTTCTTTCCAAGAGGCAGGCTACTGACCACCATGGAATTACACTGTGCACGCATTTGGCACAAACACGACAGTGGTGCTCTTGCTTTCTGCTGAGACAGGGTATTGCTGAGCACCAAGTTTTACTGGCTACATTATGGCACCGAATTATCACTTTTTGCCACACCAGTAGTTTTATATGACAGACTTCTATCTTAAAAGGGATAAAAGTAAAAATCTATAAACGCTAGTTCGTGCTGACTGTGTCAGCACGAACTAGCATGAGAATGATCCCGAGCACATATAAATTTCCGTATGAGACTCGTATTGTCCTACCATTTGAACTGCCCATGTGGCTGCTTCTAATACAAACATGTATATCCCTTTATTGAACCCTCGAGAGTAGTGGAAAAGAGAAAATATATTATTGGGAGGGGGGGGGGGGGTTGATTGGTTGCCATTTATTTGTGGTACTGCTGCCACATAATGTTTATAAAGAAGAGATATGACTACAAATTCCTTAAATATTAGAGGCTCAGCAGTTTGAAATTCTCATATAGGTATGAAATACTATAATCGGGGAGTGGCAGTTTCATACTTTAGCTCCGTGTTCCAGGGGAAAAAATCCAGCCGTCAGATAGCCAGAAAGACATGCTTTTCGTGTAAGATTCATCAAAATATTAGGCGCTGAAGAAAATTGCCTATCTGCGTTAAGTTCTTATTGTGAAGACTTTTTGTTCATGTTCCGTTTTGCCCGTTGAAAACCATGGCGAAAGAGCCCAAGTACGCACCTGATCTCGCCGCACCACCGTCTCCTTCCACAGAAAAGAGTGTGTCTGCTGTAGTCACGAAATGTCTATAGACACACGCAAACACGGCGTCTGAAGCCAGCCACAGCCATGCCATCTTCTGAATGTTGTCTGCTACCAACGAGGCAATGGTAGCTTGGGCTCCAAACTAGGCTTTCAAACAGACTGCGCTGCACGCAGTCACCCCTCACTTCGCTCGGGGGAACTTTATGATAATCTCGGGCCCAAACGTGCACCAAACCTCGTCAGAACCGCCAAGGGTTTGCCAGGCGACCGCTGTCAGCGTCCAACTCCACAACGGCGCGTCCGATTTTGGTTATCATTGCCGCATTGTCATTAACAGACGACATTTCGAAGATGTTGTCTACTGTTGCTGGCTTCAGACACTTCATTTGTGCATTCCTCCATAAAGAAGATGCTTTGTTGCCATGGAGACGCTGACCATCGCGGGCGGACTTGATCATACTTTTCAATCGGCAGAGCATGAACAAAAGTAGTTTGAAGTCAGGACCTAAAGGTACACCAGTGGGGTGTTTATGCTCGCCAAGGTTTGTATTTTAACATTACCTGTGAGAGCCCAACTACCCAGGACGCAATTTGCGGCTTGAAATTTGTTTCCTTTTGACCCAAACTTAGCCAGTCGAGAATTGGCCGGTTTCAGTCACTCTCACTCTCGTTTCCATGGTCATGTGGCATTCAAACTGTGTGTTTCAAAGATATTAAAATTTGTGGGTCATCTAAGACAAACATTCCATATTAAAAATAGATAACAATATGAACCCTGTTCTCTGTGGCTTCCAAGAAGCTGCAAATATGTAGATTAGAAAAAAAATGTTTCACAGATCACGGGAAGTACATGTATACGTCATTCTCAATATGACGACGTACCGCAGGCTGAACGACGCAATGGCGACGTATGACGCACCAACGTTGCGACAGACGGGGGGCCGCTACTTCGGAACTACTGTTTGTGGTACCGGCCAATCAATCTTCACCTTCAGAACATAGAGCGGAACGGATATAAGTACTAAAGATTCGCATGACAAACAGTTCATGCAAGTCTGTCGTCATTGTCTGCTTCAAAAACCAAAGAAGCGGAAGGAAAAAAAAAAGGGGTGGGGGGGGGGGAAGGGGGAACTTCCGGTTATGATTGCTTGTGCTTAGGTTTCGAGCAGTTGAGATTTTTACTTTATTAAAAACATATGCGACTGCAGCAAAGTATTGATTGAATAATCTCCTGACACCATATTAAAAATAACCTGAGGAAAAAATTTAAAAAAATTAGGTGGTGGGGGGGAGGGGAGGGGTTACTGTCCCTGACGCAGATTGCCGATTTTCTTCAGTGCCTAATATTTTGACGAGCATTACACAAAAAGTATGTTTTTAAGTTGCAATTTGGAGAGAGTTCCTTGTACTTCATTCAACTTGCAGATAAACTGCCGATGTGCCAAACTTGTCTTGACAACGCATTGAAAGGCTCCCATATTGAGCTCTGAATGAAGCTGTGCGCTGTGCACTCTCCCCCTTTCCCTTAAATCTCAAGAAAATTTGTCCTGTGCATAGTACTACTATTGAAATAATAGGAAAATATGTCTTGCAAATTGTGATTTGCGAGACGGGTTTTTCACAAATATGGTTTCATGAAATTCGTGAAAAATTGTTCCCTGCAACATTAAAGTCATGCTCACCCGTGACAAGTATGAAGGTGAACGCATACTTTTTAAGCCAAGCTACAATATCTTAAAATGCGCCAAGACATCACAATGTTGCAACAAGAATGGCGCACATCTATACTTTTCTAATCGCTATGATTTGCTGTTATGCTGGACAGTAGCACGCGGAACACAGCCGGGTATTACACCTTGGCATGAATCGGGTGTATGCAGTAATACCTACCCTATGAGTGTTTCTGGTTGGGGTTACTCGTTCTTCGACCATGTTTGTTGAGCAGTCAAGCCATGGCACTCTTGAGCAGTAGAGCTTACATGGGTGTGGGATATTGCCTCGCAGCAATTCGCACATGACAAGGCCCGAGCTGACGGCGTGGCCAAATGCGTCGCCGCTGTCTTCAACGCCGGCATCGCCTTACGAATCTCCACCCACGTCCGGCAGCAGCTCCCGTGCTACGTCCCCCTGGACGGGCAGCGGACCTCGTCTGCCACGCAACTGGGACAGCCAGGTGCCAGCAGCAACAACCCCAACTTCTGTGGATGAACTTTTACGCAGAGCTCCCTTTAAGAAACATGCAGCTGCCTTCAAGGACTGCTGCACCTTGGAAGAGGTGAGGCCAGTTCACACCTGCAGTAGAGTGCTGATTTAGCGCTGTCTTAAAGATGCACCAAAGATATTTTGGAGATTGTCCGTTTTTGGTGATAACTTATCTTACAGGCTCCAAGCATCCTAGAATTCCAAAAATTATGCTTGTGCGACGTCTATTTCCCTACTAAAGATGTTATAGAAGTTTGTGCCATGCCTCTTTCTGAGCGGAAAAATCTGGAGCACAGAATCCAGCGGAGGCGCCGGCAGCACCTCTGCTGCCGGCGCCTCCGCTTGCGATTGGCTGACGTGCACCCGTCGCCATGCCGTCGGTGCCTCCGCTGAATTCTGTGCTCTAGATTTTTCCGCTCGGGAAGGGGCGTGGCACAAACTTTGATCTCATTTTAGTAGGGAAATAGACATCGCACGAGCATAATATTTCAATTTCTGGGATGCTAAGATCCCGTAGAATGAGTTATCATCAAAAACAGACAATCTCAGAAACGTCTTTAGTGCACCTTTGAATGCTGTAGCATCGCTGTATTTTCTCCTCTCACCGCTTAGATTTCTTCTTTACCTTTAGTCGCAAAACTTCTAGAAAGCTGTCTGCAGAGAGATCAATTTCATAGGGTCCCATGCCGATGATACAAGTTCTTTTGGTAACGTGCCTGGCCCAAAGCTACTTGCAACCTCTTCAATCAGATTCAGCCTTTCGGCAGTGGACTCTGTCCCTGCTGTGTGCGTTCATAGTCTTTTATAGTGTCGCAGGGCACTGCCCACCAGTGTGTTCGTTGTGCCTGTTGGTACCCCCCTCGTTGCAGTGGTGTCCCTTTGGCACAGTTGTGTATTCTGCTTTTCACATGGGGCCAAGGATGGTGCTTGGGTAGTGTTCTTTGTGCACACCATCAAGCATGTTCTCAAATGAGAATAAATTATGCAAATTACGAGCACTGTTTACGCAAATTACGAGCAATTACGAGCAGAAAAGCTCACCGCCGGTTTTGCGGTGAGCTTTTCTCCGGTGAGCTTATCTCCGGTGAGCTTTTCTCCGGTGAGCTTTTCTCCGGTGAGCTTTTCTCCGGGATTCGGGGAGGAGAGGGGGTTGCAATATGGGTGTTCGCGGAACTCATGAGACCAGCTCGTGGAACCCCTGTGTTCCCCAGAACCCAGTTTGAGAACCCCTGCATTGAGTTTGCTCATCTAGAGTGCTTATGTTTTTATGTAGTGAAGTTGCTAGACCAGGTTAAGGATCTCTGGCTGTGCCCATAAACACCTTGATTGTGACTCTCCCAACATGAAATGTTGAGGGAGCCACAAAGGGTATTTCAAGAGCCTTCCCCTAGGAAATGGGAGGGGCCATATACAAAATGTGTTTTCTGCTTTGCTGAGATAAGAACCCTGATTTATATGCCTAACTTGCTTGAGATGGCATTATGAAAAATAACTCGGGTTATTGCTTATGTGTTCTCCTATGCCACTTGTATTTGAAATATCTTCTTTTTTTTTTTTTTGCTGTATTGGTTAATTTTTACCTTGTTGTTTATCTTTCAGATTCTATTTCTCAACGAGGATGGCTTGAGGCAGCGAGGGCTGTCACCATCACTGTCCAGGAGACTGCTCAAAGAAATTGCTTCTCTAAAGTAAGTTTTGCTTGCATAGTATTATCAGGTTGGCACAGCTGAGGCCTTGGCTATTGTAACACGCTTCGGGCGTCTGAGTGAGCAAAAAAAATGAACATAAAAGTCGAAGGAACAAAAAGGGACAGGACGACGTCTCAAACTCAGCTACCAGGTTTATTTAGTCCTCCTCCTTATATAGCCCACAATCAGCCACCACCAACACAAAGGGGCAACTCTAACTAGTTCAAACTCCAAACCCTTTTTGTTCCTTCGACTTTTATGTTCATTTCTGCCCCAATCTAATGGTACGTTTACACCTGAAAAGAAATCCGCTGCCGCGGGAGCGTGTCCGCTGCCGCGGGAGCGGATCCGCTCCCGGCGGCGGCGGCGACGAGCTGGTTGTGTTTACATCTATTTCCTTCGAGCAGTGGCGGCAGCGCCGGCTGCGGCAGCGGTTCCCGTAACGTCTCGTCAAATATGACGAGAAGGCGCGAGAGTTCCCGCCTCGGCTCTCTCTCCCGGGCGTTGCTGCTCCCGGAAGCACGCCTACTCATGACGTAGGCAGCGTCGCGCTGCACAAGAATGCCACTTCCGGTCAGCGAAACGCCTCGTTCGGCGGCAGAAATAGATCCCGGACCTAAACGGCTCGCCGCCGCGTTTTCCGCCCAGCGTTTCGCCCCAACGGCAAAAGTTGGGCGGATCCGCTGGCGGATCCGCAAGTGTAAACGTACCATTAGGTATATTCAACATGGTTAACATTCACCAGCTCGCCTGCACCCTTACAATTTTATCTGTGCTAGCAGAGTCTCTACGCTATCTTTAGGGTTCCATGTTTTCGGATAAATCCGAAAAACTCGTAAAAACACTTGCCGGTAAAATTTTGCTCAATTTGGATTTATCCGATAAACACAAATTTTGATGTGCCAATGCCCCCCCCCCCCCAAAAAAAAGGGGAAAAAAAAAGCTAAATAAGGACGGTATTTTACAAGTCAGTTTTATGGTCCCGAAAAAATGCCACCACAGTTATCTTTCAAGTCTCTGATCATTAACAAAAGGGGTCTTAACGCTTTTCTCGCCAAGATTCAGGACAACGTGTCATTGTACTTTGGGGTCATGACAAAAGCCTCTGTATTGGTTTCCAGTTTGGGCCTTACCATTTAGGTTTTAAGAGGAAGGAGAGGTTGTGCTTTGTAACAGTGAAAGCTATAGACGCTTTACACACGCGCCAGATTGATCCGCCATAGCCGCCCTTCTCTTGTCTTACCGAGATGCCGAGCCACTGAAGCGGGCGTTGACGGGTCTTCACAAGGGCCTATGCTGGGCACAAGAACACAGTAGCATCTAAAATGGCAATAACCTGTCCTGCTGTGGTAATGATGAAGTGAAGCGAACGGAATAAGAGGGAACAAAAAATGAATGTCAGTTATGGCGGCGCCCATGCACAGCTGCTGTAAAGCGTCTATATGCCATAGAGATTGCATAAAATTCGGAAGAGGGGCAGTTGAAACTTCCCTATTACTTCCTTTACCACTCCACCTCGCGCAGCCACGGGGTAGCATGGAATAGAATGGGATGAATATGTGCTTCTCAACGACTACCTCCAGGAGTTTGTGTGCAACTTTTGCCGTGGGACAAATTGATATCAGCGTGTTTTATTTTTCTTTGCGTTGTTTACATTTACACCCGGATATTATCTACTTATTTATTTTTCATAGGAAATGCTGCGAGACTAAGCTCCGAATTTCGGGGATTTTGGAATGGACAAAAATAAACTCCTATAAACTCAGCATTTTCGGAAAAAAAATAAAATCCGAAAAACACCCTCCGAATTGGACGAAAAATAAACTCTGGAAACACGGAATCCTAGTTATCTTCCAGGCAATATTTTTGCCCTTAGATGGCAGAAGCTGTACTGTCGTCTCCTAAGCAGCCGGTTCGCCGCCGCTTGCTCCCCCCCCCCCCCCCTTTTCTTGCCTGTTTTTATTTCTCTTCGATTTTCTTCCAGTCTTCTGAGGCTTTTATTTTATGTCTTTTATAGATCACCGTAGAGCAACTTTAGAAAAGTGGCTTATCAAGTGGGTAGGAGGCAAGGAGCATACATTTACACTTTTCATACATACTTTAATATTTACACAGATCTCTTACATAAAATAGAAGATATATACACATAATAAAATTCAGGAAACAATAGAATGGATAGCACGAGATACACGTAGAAGCACAATTATCGCATCGCCACAGTTTTGATCAGCAGAAACTTGGTTGACTGAACGAATAAAACAAACTTCAGTTAATGAGAAACTTAGTGTTTCCTGCCGAGACAAAAAAGCTAATTTTTTCTACTCAACTGATATTTGACCCGCTTCAAAGCTTCTGTGCTTTCCTAGCAGCTGCAGACCTTTTCAAACTGGGATTTTGCAGATCTCTGCTCTAGAGGCGTGAATGCCTCGGGGTTCATGGCAGAACATCTGGAGAAACTTGTCCTTGCAGATTGCTGAACAGAGAAGGTCTTCCGAGTGTTCTGCCATGAAAGCACAAAGATTCTTCATCACATCATCCTTTTTATACCAGATTGGGTATGCACGCCAAAAAGCACTCTTCAAGCTTGCCTGCGAAAGCTAGGCAAGGGTCTGTGGGCACAGAGAGAGCACCAAAAATGCCTGTGTCATCATGTGCGCTCAGCACATGGTATGATTCGATCTGCTTGCAAATTTCAGGTGCAATGTCTCCTACATAAGAAAATAAAAAATAAAAACAAACGTGGGTGGCAGCTTAAGTGCTGTATTCACGGGCTTTCTGCCGCACGAGACTGAAAATCGCAATCAGGATCACACCACAGGAAACAGGCTTGAAGTAAACCGACGAAAAACAAAACTTTACCTCTCACTTTGGAACTCCTCTGGGAATAGAAAGAATGACAAGACTTTCGACTTGCTGGAGTTCCAGCACCATTTCGCAGCGCAGTAGCTCCAAGGCATCCTCTTCCAAGAGCACCAGAACTTCCGAAGTCAAATTAATGTGAACCGATCGAACACCACTTTTTCCGCAGAACACTCGGAGCAGACGATCACGCTCATCGGATGTTAGCGACCGTTGTGCCAGTTGCACCGTTGCCATGGTTGCCATAGCCGGCGGCGCCCGGCGGCAGCGTCGAATGTAACGCCATGTTTTGAGGTGGCTGAAACAAGAACCCTACGCTTGAGCGCAGAAAGAGTGCCTTGATGAAACATAGATATTAACGGCTGTACCCGTCCTAATGGCCAGAGTGGGTTATTAATATATTCGACGTCGTTGTGACGTCACCATGACTCCTGACGGTCTCTGCCGAGGTTTCCTTGAACACCACTAGCTTTGTTACCGTGGTATTATCACAAACTTAAGGGGCTGCTAACTTTATTGTCTGAATAGTGGAGTGACTCTTTGAGGGGTTGCGCCGTATGTCCTCAAGATACGCCACTTAGGATTATAGTTGCAAAGTTGCACACTGGACTAAGGAAGTTTCTATTTGGACACGCAGGCAGCTGTACCACAGCAATGGGGTGCTGAGCGGCCACCAAGCCCTTCCGGGAGTGGCCACCACGTTCAGTCCTGCCGGTGGGGAAAGCTCCACCACCTCATGTTCGTCAGAGTGCTCCAGCCCCTCTCCCCCACCGGCCCTCAAGGCAGTTCGGACCCAGAGTCCTGCCAGCTCGGGCTCGGATGAGGGCGCCCAGCAGGCAAACGGTACATTTATGGGAACGGTGCCGATCGCTCCCGTACGTAGCTTTCAATGAGCAAAAAAGCACTAGATTGGGGCCAAGTTTTTGTGCCTGCTTAGAAGACGGGCAAGCACGCTCATTGACATGATGAGAACGACAGGGCGAAAGCCCGGCCTCCAGCACACGCTCGTTGTCTTCCACTGTGCTTTGGCTGCGCGTGCATGGTCGAGGCTCACGAGACGCCTGAGCGTTATCGCAGGTAAGGAGCTTGCGTTGGAGGTGGGACAATCGAAAGACCTCCCTGCCGTTCTCACCCTGTAAGTGACTGTAGGGTTCATTGTTTTCGGCTTTCGTATTTTGCAATTCGGCTTACTTCTTACATTTCTTATCTAATATATATATATATATATATATTTTTTTTTTTTTTTTTTTGTGGGAGCTGGGCAGTTATTATTATACTTGTAGCCAATTAACGGCATTTGGGGCGTTTGCTATCCCGGGTGGCATGCAATCGCCACGTGACGATCCAGAAGCCGAGTGATTGGGCCTAAAATACGACGACCACAAAAATATGAGAGATGGAATGTTCATTTGTCAAAAGCAAGGCAGAAAAGAAAGCACCGCTACTTTTAGTTCAGTGTAAAAACGCACATTTTTTCGGAGTTCTTAGTTGACGAGGCCTTTGTTTTCTGTTTTTCAACAGTGGGGAAGAAATGTTGCCAACCAAAGCTTGCCGAATTCGGTATTGTAGAAGTCTTCCGTACGCACGTCTATGCAGTTGAAATGTATTGGCAGATGTAACCACAAAAAGAGCTCAAATTTACACTCTTTGGGAGGTAACATTTTCATAGTATAGGCCTCCTGCGTTGCCCAGGAGGTGTTGCGAAAAGGGACTTGTTAGGACTTGTTTTGGGTAGTACAGAGTTGGGCATCTCAAACTGTCACACATGTGGAAGCGTGCCTGCTCTGGTGTGGAACGCGAGATCACGAGGAAAATGGAAACAACAAACATTCGAACGCCGTCGAAGCACAGGTCAAATTTAAGATGCTAAGAGCAAAAGACAAGAGAAGCCGTTTTACGCGTTCCTAGGTAAAAATGAAAAGAAAAAAAAGAAGAGCATCGGGACGCCAGAGTTTGTCTTGCGGCGTTGAATGTAGCCGATTTTGGACGTCCAAAGGTGTTTTTCGTTCTTCGGGCACCCGACAAAAATAAAAAAGCTCAACTAACGTGCCATAAGTAGTGCAAGGCCCAATCAGGTGAGCTTGTACTACCCAAATTAGGGTGCCACGGTTTGATCAAAGTTTCAGCGCAAAAGGCCTATGGTGTGTCCCAAAAAAATTTTACGGTGTCTTTTTGTGTTGTTTTTATTGCAAAAATAAACCATGCTTCACCAAACGCTCGTTCTCCGCCTAAATGTAGTGTTGTGCTGCATTTCACCTTGCGACCGACTGCAGTGGATGCTACGAGCCATCCGAGCTGATCCAAGGTCATTTGAGTATTACATGACCTTGGCAAGAAGGTGCAGTGACGCGCGGAGAGCATGTCATGTGCTACGTTCACAAAGCTAGATTGACTGGGAAGGCTCGTAGCGTCCGCTGTGGTTGGATGAAAGGTAAAACAGTATAGCGGTCCAACGAGACGCCCATATTTCGGAACCGGTGATGCATAGTTAATTATGTCCGTAACCAGTTAACATTTTTGGGGGTTTTATTCCTCGTGCTTAGTACTGAATTTCGCAACTATGCTAGTTCCTACAAAAACGGGCCATGAGGCTTTATGGAAACAAAATGATGGGATGGTCACCCCACTTACTACTCGGAAAAGATCATTTTTAAGCGCTGCATGAAATTTGCCGGGTACGGTAATCATTGAAAGAGCAGCATGCAAAGTTTCAGCTTTACAAATCAATTTTGTCAGGTTCCACAGAAGTGCATTTCTGAGCATGAAGTACAAAGTGTATCTGCTCCAAGAATCTATCGTTTTGATATGATAGTGATAATCAGCTGTTTTTCTGTAGGAATAGTGGAATGCATAGCCGACCCCATAAAAAGCATTTTTACCAATTATGCTTATTTTTATTTAAAAAATATATTTAAAATTTTTTTCAATTTATATTGGGTTTCACAAATTGTCATTTTTCATAATAAAAGAACACAACAGTGCAAAATCTTAAGTCCATAGTGCAGACCTCCAGAAAATTTCAGTATAAGAAAAGTCAGAACCAAGCCTAGAGAGTTTCATACTAAAACAATTGTTTATTTTAGGTTGGAACCTGCTGCCAAAAAGTGAAATTGAGGAAAAACTTGTTTCAAGTTTCAAGTTCACTTCTCTTTACGTTGTTTTCACTTGGAGCATAAAAAAATTCATCAGCTTCGTAAGTAGGTCCCTCCTCAGGAATCCTCTAGGCCCGTTGGAGACGCCTTTCAGCATTTCTGAGCGATCTTAGAGGTGTCCAGGGACTCTGAGACGGGTGGGCACAGCAAGCCGCTTGCCAGTTTTCACTGCAGAGATATCTACGAAGCGATACACACCTAGTGTCGCATCGCTGGCGTCGACGGCTGGTTTGCGAAAGTCCGCGAGTGGTTCCAAAAACGTGATATTGCCCTCGTGGGTCGTCAAATACTTCCTTTGATGCAGAGTTTCGGAAAGCAAAGCCGAAGAAGAGGCTTCTGGAGACCGTGACAGAGTCGCGCTCGGGCGAAACAGCCTGGGTAACACGTTCGTGTCGGTTGCTCTTGAACGGCCCCCACCCTCTCGTCTTCTTAGTTTCGAGAACTGAGAACGCTCTCCGAAGATTCTTTATGGCATTTTCCAAACTTTAAATGATGAGTTAGGTGGAGGTGAAATAGTGAGAAGCAGAGAGATCGACGATAAAATGTGGTCTGAAGCAATTCCACCGCGGATGATCATGTGGCCAGCCGATAGCCATTCGAAACTCGAGTTTTGTTTCTCCAACCAATGAGAGGGTCGGTTCCGACAAAGTCTGCATTTTTCTTCCTACCGACGTCGCGGACAATGTTTTTTGCAACAGGGTTCTTCCCAGTTACAGATACATCGATCCAAGGTTACGGATGCCGTAACTAAAGTTTTAAAAAGTATTTTTTTCGCAGAAAATTGTATTTCATGGTTGTGTCCCCCTTTGGGAGATCAGTCAGTAGCCAAAAAACAGTCGCACAGTGCAGCAGAAAACGGCGATAGAAAATAACAAGTCAAAGGAACTCGCAATTCTTCCTGCACAATGTGGGCGAATACCCTCGGAGTCTGCACGGTGGCCAAAAAAATCTAATACCGCACTCGCTCTTGACCTCGTTGAAAATTCCATCTTCTGCGGACATGTATCTGTTTGCATTGGTTTGTTTTCCCGATGGGTTTGTAGCACATCGGGACTGATGGACTTTGTTCCGACATGCCGCACTGCTGTTTGAAGGGAAAGCAAAATGGATTGCTCCATTCACTTGCCGGAACTTGCAGGTATCTCCAAACGGCCGGCGGCAGTCCGAGGAGCCAGCGATGGGAGCTGGCACGGGGGTGCGTGTGCGGCCGTGCCGGAGCCACCCCGGGTGGGCACGCAGCCCCCGTCGGTGGCCCCATTCCGCTACGGGCCTCCGGGCTCGCAGACGGTGATGCTCGAGCCCCCTCCACGTTTCTTTGTGCTTGCGGACCGGGCGGCGTACTCGGCACACCCGCCGCGTGCCGCGGTGGCTCCGCTGCGCAACATGGCGCCGCCCAGCAAGGCGGGCAGTTCGGACATGGCTCCGCCATCGGTCAACACTGCGGTGACGACGGCTACCACCGCGGCTTACGGAGGACCGGTGTACTTTGGTCCCGCGAGCATGTTCCCCCAGCACTCATACCCCTCGTTCCTCCACACGGCACCCGGCGTGTCGCACCCCAATAACGGCTACCTGTCGAGTTTTCCCTTTCTGACGACGGGTGGGTTCACGGCACCGCCCACAACGGTGAGTGCCGCATACGTCCCTCTAGGAAACTTTGCAGCCCCCGCTACGGCGTTAGTGGTGCCTCTCGCCGCGGGACCCAAGGTGGCCACCTGCTACAACTGCGGCCTGAGTGGCCACCGAGGTCACGAGTGCAAGGAGGCCGGCGTGGAGGACGGCAGCAACAAGCCACGTGAGTTTGGCCAATGGTGTGTCCGCGCCAGCGTGCCGACGACCTTCTTTATTTCAGCACCCCCCGGCCAATACCGGCTCAACTTTAAATGGAGCAACTCTACGCCTCCAGACCCACAGCCCTGAGGATGGCCTGTCTGGGGCTGGTGCTCAGTCAAGGGGCAGACCGGCAAGAATGGACTGCCCTTTCTAGTGTACATAGTTGTACTCTGCAAGTGCTCCTTCTCTTCTTCATCTCAGACTGTGAGAGAGGAAGAGGACCTCTGCAACCACCTAGTTTTCTGTTCCAGCTCTTTCACGCCTGTCGCTGCAGGAAGTTGACCAGCCAGTCCCCCAGTCGTACGACGTTTCATATTTTAATGTTTCACGATGCTCTCACTGATGTGGCTCCGAGGGTATGCTTTTATTGCATTGTTTCCACGTTCCGTTTATCCCGAGAAGTGTCTCTAGATTAATTTCTTCCTCTGCCTTTGCCAAAGGGAAAGGTCAAGAGCTTTATCTGTTGGCCTCCCCACAAATACGGCACAATACGATATCTGGTTCTGTCTACAGACCATTGCGAACGCTAGTGTTAAGGGTTATTTACACTTTTTTGCACAGCGATAGTGCTGTCGTAGTTTTATTGCCAGCTTTTATTAGTTTGTATCTTTTTTTAGCAATATTTATTAGAACATTGCCTCCTGCTCCCCCGTCTCTGATGCAAGAATCGTGTGGGTGGAAACTTGCTCTCCACTTTTTTAGCTGCGAAGACTGGAGCGCTTCCTTGTGCGTGAGTACCTTTTTTTATTGGGATCATAAAGCAATTTTATTCTCAGTGTCCCTTCCTTCTGGAGTGCGAGTGAAAGGCATCCTCAAGGCATGTGATTGTGGGGACTGGGTTGGCCATGTTGAATTCCAAGTGTCGTTGGAATTACTTAACCATGTCACTCAGCTTGAGAAATATTAAATGGTGTAACTAAAGGGCTGTGCCCCACAGAAGGCAATCTATGCGAACAATGTGTTTGTTGCAATCTCTCATGGTCGTCTCTCTGGGGGGTATTTCTTTTTAATGCGTCGTGAGCGACCGGATAGGAAAGTGTTGGAAGCTGTTTTTTGAGCCTGTTGGTGTTTGTCTAGTCAGGCCTGGATGACGATTGTTCTCACTTCCGCTTGATTTTGATGCGAGTGTTTTGATGCTGTCCAACTGTTCAGATCAAATATTTTTTTGTGAGGAGGGCTGTTTTGTACAATACTTCTACAAGTGACAGTGGTTGAAAACATGTGAGATTCAATGAGTTGCTTAAATCGTTAAGTTGCACCAAAACTTCCCTCCAGTTCCAGTACAAGCAGCCACATTTGTTTGGTCTGAGAGTGCATTAATTTTGGCATGACCACTCGGACTTTGCTTCAGATGTCTGGCGTCTTATTCAATGTTTTCTTTAAAGTCCTGCCTTTTAGCAGCAACCTTTTTTTTTTTTTGTTGTTGTTGTTGCTGAAAACTGGAGGATCTCATCTCCACTGTGGTGTAATTACAAATTATCTGCGGTTCTATTACTTTTTGAATGCTTCGGCACTTGTAGATCGTGGCCGCAAACTTGATGCAGAATGATTCAAATATTTGTGGTGCGCCTTTTGTTTCAAGGGCTTGGTACGGTGGATGGTCACATGACTACCAGCTTGTTGCCTTTCTATACACAGCCATGTATTTTTGCAGACCTGGTAAATGGCAGCTTGCAGTGTGCCAAAGATTGACTTGCTCGTCAAATCCTGGCTCTTGGGCTTTACAAGGCCACTTATCTCTGTCAAACCTGCTACATATATTTGTTTCGCCGCTGTCGCGTTGTGGAATATGGGGGGCGGAATAGGCTACAATTGCCCCCAATTGCTTTATGAAAGGTAGAAACTTGATTTACTGAAATGGACTTTTCTACACCCATATGGGAGTGGAATAGAAAAAAAAACTGTACATCTTTAAAACCAACTTAACAAGCTTGTCCTTGCTGAACAAATGGTGCAGGAGTATGAACCTCATGTAAATGGAGAGAAAAAGACCGGTGCTTACGGATAACATACGCACTCTGTTTATGCTGCACATTGTCGCTGCAGCCATGTTGAAGCATATCCAATGTCAAGCTGATCAAGGAATGCTCTCATTACTTCGTTGAGTTGAATTGGGTTTCAGCGTCCATAGCAAATGTTGACCATTGAGGTTCTTGTGCAGCATTGTTGAGAGAGTGTAGCATACGTATGCAGCACAGCACAATCTGTGTGGAGCACTGCTAGTGGATTGTAAAACCAATCGAATGAGGTGTGGGAAGGATGAAGTACTTTTGCATATCATAAGTCTCTCCATGTTCGGCTTATTATCTGCCCTGTAACCAGGCAGAAAGCGACAGCTGAAACGTTCCACTTACGCATTCTTGATGCAGTAAAGCTGCAATGAATGAAGGAACCTTGGCAGAAGGCATGCATCCATTTTTTTGCCTATGTAAATGCTGATATACTTTATGAACGAATCAACTGTGATTAAACAATCCGATTCCAGTTCTGTCGTTTTGTCTTTGAACATTTGTTTCGGTGGCTACACTGCACCGCTTCACATATAAACATGCGGCTTTCAATTGTGACCTCAGATCCCTTCAAACAAAATTGTTCTAGCTGGCTCGGAACAGTTCTTTTGTTTTTGGAAACTTTGCAATGGGCGAGACTGAAGGGACAATGTTATTCTCTTGTTCTAAGCTTTAACATAATTTATATTTTCCTTCGTATTAGAAAATTTCTGTAAATGACAGCGAGTAGCTCTTTGTGTCTTATGCATAAGCTACTATTTTATTGTGTATGTGTAAATGTGGAAGTGCCAACCCCATCGTAAAACAGGCTAGTCTGATGGAGGTACCCCAAGACTGCAAGTGTTCCTTTTCCCCTGAGCATAACAATGTATATTTTTGTGTCGAGGAGGTACCATATAGGCACGAAATGAACTATTGGTACTGTCTCCAGTTACATTCAATGTTTTTTATCTACACTAAACAAATACCAGCAATAATTTAGCACCTACACCTTTTTGCTCCTGCAATTTTGCCTTCAGTGAAGTATATTCAAGATTAGTTCTCCAATAATTTCCTTGCTCGAAACGCTAGGGAAGCAAAAGTCAAGATCTAGGGCTGCATAGAAATATTTGAAACCAAATGAATCTTAACCCATCGCATACTCATTTTTTGTTCAGAAAATCTGCCACAAAATTTTATTCAACATTCAAATTTCCCATGAAAAAAGAAACATTAACTTGGCCTCCAGATGTTGTATGTTGCTGCCATTATTAATTCCCAACCATCTGATGTGTTCATTCAGTACTTTTTCACTGTATGGTACTGTTGTAAAACAACATGAAGGCCGAGTGAATGTTTTCTTTAATTTTTGCACAAAATGTGGATTTTAAACAAGTCATCAGATATGTTTTTTAGTAGTAGGACTCCTGTCACTTTCACATCAAAATTTGTACTTTCTTCATCAGCCAAAGTGAACCTTTACAGTGAGGCCATGTCTCCTCTTCCCGCTTTTGCAGGCGTCAAATTTCTTTCCTGGGACAGTAGAGCCCTCTACCAGTGAATGTTGGAAACAAAGGTGGAGCAATATTCAGGGACTTCAGAGCAATAGTGGCAGCACTTCACCTGCCAAAAAGTGCACAAAACAAGCTCCAAAACCGAAGCACGAACCAGACTTGTGGTCAGCCTTTCTCATTTGTAATGGACGGCACGAGTGACACTCGTGATGAGTAGCCAAGAGGTTAATGCTTGATAATGAAAGCAAAGGCACACTTCATAGCCTTCAACAACATGCAAGGCCCACTTGAAGCACATGCCAAGGCATTTGTTGGCTTTTCCTGTTGTTGCACACTGCCTTTGAATGGGTAGATGTTGATTTGCCTTCATTTTCACATTCATTACTACTAATTTAGCAGTGAACTTGAACAGTTAACTTCAAGCACTGCAATCTTGGCATCATATTCGTATGGCCCAAGCTAGCTCATGCACGAGCGACCCCCAAACAAATGGTAGTCTGGGAACCACCTTGCAACAATGCAAATTGGCAAATGAAAGTGGGTTTGCCCACCTGGTCAAAATTCGTCCTTGCACAGGCACGGTTTTAATGTGGAGAAGTCTCTCTGGGCAGCAGCCAAGAATGGAGACTTGTAGTAGGAACCAAGCTTAAAGGGGCGGTGCAACGATTTTATGATGAAAAGAATTTGCATCTCGTCACTTTTACGTTGTTTATCGTGTCCCAGAGGATAGAGAAAACACTTGCTTCATTAAAAATGTTGCGATTCTGCTGCATAATCGCAAAGCAAAAGTCGAGCTTTTTCCCCCACCTGCAGCCCCAAGTGGCAGCCGAAGGAACTACGGCGGAAAGATTACGTGACCTCGCTCGGCTCTAAGCGGCAGCATAGCGCCCGCTAATGTACGCAGAGAGAGGGAGGGGAAGCGTCCTCTGGGATAGCACACGGGAAGCTACACGGCACTCCGAATGACGTCACTGGGAGTGCGACCAGGTGTGACCCTGAAGACTGGGAGTGAGTTGAGGGGTGCCCGAAATGCCAATCTTTATCTTTTTTTTACGCAACAACTAGGACACGCAGGCGAAATCGGTTTTCTGTTCTTTACTTCAGAAGTGTCAGGGGGCAACTTCCAGATATCTTTGACCGAAGTCCGAAAATCGTTGCACCGCCCCTTTAAAGCAAGATGCACAAGCAAGAGGAATAAAAGTGCACTGCCTTGCTTCCTCCTTTTACATCCCAGAAAGGACAATTTTCCTTTATGCGGGAATTAGCTCCCACACTGAAACCGAGTAGCGTGCCAGAATTATGCCCACCTTTCTGCCATCCTTCCTCTTGTATTAGTCTGTATATGCTTCGCAAAAGTCCCTCATAAGTACCATCCTTTTATTGACTCCAAACGAAAAACATGTGGATCACTGCCTCTTCTTCTTGTGGTTACCGGTGTTTCGCTTGACTTGGTTCGGGTTCCGGGATCCGAGGTGATCTAATCGGACATTGAGGTTGGCTGAACGGCTGTACACGTCGTTCACCTTGAAGGGGGAATTCCTGGAGAGGTAGTCTGGGTCCAAGGCATCCACCTTGCTCAGAGCCATCTTTGACAGGCGGTTCTGGGGCACGGGCTGGTCCTCGCACAAAATGGGGTTCTTTGCATGCTTGCCTCCTTTGGGTGTTGGCAGGGAGAACTGTGGACCACAACAAGAAATGTGCTCGGGTCAGTTACACAACTAAACACAGCAACAGCTGTCCTTTTATTCTCATCTCGAGGTTTAGGTTATGATGCAACCATGATACTAGCTGTTTACAGATTCCATCCTGTGGTTTCCATGGGCACAGAGCTATTTGGAATTCCCAAACAGAGGGCTAATAGTCATGTGTCCACTGCATCTAATCATGGAGCCGCCAGATGAGACAAGGCAGCTGCTGCTCTTGCACGTTTGCGAGAGAAAGGCACACCACCCTGAGGCTCTTCTGTACTTAATTTACCCTTAAAGGGGTAGTGCAACGATTTTAGTGTTGAAAGAATTGGCAATTTCTATTTTTTATATTGTTTATCCAAGCAGAAGTGACCAAAAATGTGTCACCTTGCTCCAAAAATGTGCTATTCCAGTGCGTAATCGCAAAGAAGAAAACGAAATATTTGCCGATCTGCAGCGGCTTGTGGTGGTTAACGGAACTGATGTGCGACGTACCCTGGGGGATACGCGGAAATGAACAAAACCTGTCCCTCTCCGCTGCTACACTCGCCGTCGTTCCCATGGCGTACAGTCTTTTGTGTCGATCGCTCGCCGTGATCTTCGACGATGCTAATCCTTTAAAAGTCGATAATCACAAAGGAGGTGGCTGGAGTCTCTGAAGAGAGAACCCAAGGGGAAACCACGTGATCCCCCAGAGTATGTCGCTCGAAAGGCGACGTGGAGAGTTGAGAGGCACTTTGGCCTTCGATTTGTTTCATTTTTAACATAAAAACTAGCGCTTGCAAGAAAATATGGTTTTCTGTTCTTCGTTTCATGGGTGACAGATTAATTTCTGCAGTTAATTTAGCAAACTGAAAATCGTTGCACCGCCCCTTTAAGCTTACGGGCAGTGGAGGCTACAGCACAAAATTGTGGCTTTTTCACCAGAATGAGCACACTCACTAGAAAGGTTTGTCACAAGGTAAGGACAGTAGACTACCTCACGCTTGAAGCCTTTGTTGCCTTATCGGCTTAAATGTGAAGAGAGTATACGTGTGCCATTACAAGAGGGACGTCAGCACTGCAACAACCTCCAGAATTTCTATTGTCTTATTTGACTCAAATTTGTTTTGTCTTAAAAACATTGTTTAGGACTGCAACTTCACAGCAGATTTGTCGCAAATGATGTTCTAAGAACCATAGTTGAGCAATCACCTAGTGTAATATCTTCAGTTCTCTCACCAGTGTATTTCATGTATATCTATACCTAAAACAGCTATCAACAGATTCGGGTAGTAAATTATTCTAATATTTTATGTCATACCCGGGTACCACGAATGTTGATTGGTTTCTTGTAGTTGATGAAGAGTCTGGTAGTTCCATCTTCATCCACTGAAACTGACACCCTTTTTAGGGTCTTGTTGCCACAGCCAGGACAAAACTGCTTTGTCATGATCTTTGTAGTACTGCAAAGTTCCCAACAGTTGGTAAGTGCATTGTGCCATTCAGAGCAATGACAGTATGTGCTGTGGCAGTTGCACTTACGTAAAACAGGCATGACATCTCAAAATGAATGTTCGGGCATGCTTGATCATCATCCCATCCACAGACACTGCCTTGAGTCCCATTTGAATTAGCATGTTCTGGAAAGAAAGCAAAAAGTGGTGAACCGAAATAGAGGTCACATGCAGGCTAGTGCCTCAGCCCCTTTGTCCCATGCATCATCTACAGGGCATATGTTATGTACAGCTGAACAATTACGATTACTCTGTAGGAGAAGAGTTTTCACATTAACTGGGAGGTTCTAACTTGGAATAATGTTCCTAAGTTTGTTATTTTGTGCAGACATTTGTGAGATTCTTACCACTTTCAAGGCTATTGCCAGTCTGGTCTGCACAGAAAGTTAAGTCAACTCTGTTTCAAATCGATTTATATTCCATGCAACCGTTTACAAAAAAAAAAAAGTAACAGCTTAGTGTACAATGAAAACTGTCCACCAGTGCAAGCTTGCAACTTCAGCAAGCAAGAGAAGCAAGCAAGATCGGTCTACTGAAGTCTGCTGCAGATGCTCAGAATTGTTTTACTACGAGCGGTGTCTATGTTATATCAATACACACATCTATACAGAATTGCAAATCCGGCTTCAGGGTGCTGCCATCTTCCTCAGTTAGGATGCGCTTGGGCACGGCCATAATCCGATTGCAACGCTTTAGCAAGGCTTTCTAATCTGACGTGTTCAAGCGCACCCAACTGAGCAAGATGGCGGCACCCCAAGGCCGGACTTGGAAACGTGTATACAGCATACTAGGAATAACATAAAAGTGAATAGTATACACAATTTTCAGTATGTTTTTTCCTCTTTTTGCCTTTTTTGTCTGGTACACCAAAATGTTTGGCATACTTCAATTGGTGCCCACAGCAAAATTACAATGCAGCTTGGGCACAGCCACAAATACCGTAGTATATAAGATACATTCTTGACAAACTTTTAAATCAAAGGTCAAGCGTAATGCATTTGAATTGGAGGAGGGGGGAGAGAGCAAGGATATATTCTACAATAGTATTAAAAACCAGGAACCCTAATCTAAGTTATAAGACAAGGCAGTTGTGACTCAAATGTCATAGTGCAGATGCACATGCCAATAATGAGGAGTCCATTTCCAGATCTGAACCTACCATACCTCCATTGCAGCAGTTATAACTAGCAATGAGGACTCTCCAAGTATTTCCATGCCATATTACAACTGTTCGCTTTCAGTGAGAGCAATGTCAATAGAACAATATCACCAGCCAGTTTGGCTACGCCACCGCTGCCGCAATTCATAGAAGGAACTTTAGTCTTTCTGCATGTGCTCCAACCTCGCTGGCGCTCTCTATGTGTAGAGCACAAGACGGCACGAGCTGTTTCGGGCACTGCCGCCTGCCTCTTGTGAACTAAAGTTATGGCAGCTTCACACATGCGCCGAACACTGGGTGAGATCTGTCTACTGAAGCTGCTTGGACAACCTAATATTTATCAATTTCCTTGTGCAAACATGTATTGCCCCCCCCCCCCCCCCCCCAAAAAAAAAGCAGACTGATCAATATGTTATGAACGTCAAGTGCTTATTCTAAGCGTTACTTTGCTAACTGGAACATCATTTCATGATTGTGTCAAGAGGTTAAGATCAGGCAATTTTCAAAGCTTTTTCATCAGAATGATTACACTACCTGCACTGCAAAGTCAGTGGAAATGCAGGCCACGGGCATAATTCCATCTTCCACAGTCAGAGCACCCATCTGTCGTTTTATCTCTGTGATATTGGATGGCGTTATCCATGTTTCCTCCTCTTCGGATTCTTCGTTCTCGCTGCTTTCATTCGTGCACGACTCATCCTTTTCCTGCTGGTCGCTCTTAATACGGGAGTCTCCTGAACCCTCTTGCACACGTTCGTTATGGACTTGTTCGACTTCTAGCACCTGTAGAAGGAAGCAGTGCTGGCAACGTTAGTAGAATGTCCGAAGGAGCAAAATAAAAACAAAGGGCCTCACATTATTTGCAGGACCAAAGAAACCGGGGGAGGCTGTAGCACCCTTCAATGCATCGTGCGGCAACACCTGATTTGAACGTGAAGGGCAGATTGGCGCAAACATTTTAGCTACTATATTTCAAAACTAACCTGAGTTGACTTGGGCTTCTGGCAGAGGTGCTCTGTTCCGATAAACTCCTTCTCTAACAGGTAGGTGAGGGCGAGAACCTTGATGTCAACCGCTGAGAGACTTGGGTAATCTCCCGTTTGCTTCGAGAAATCTGTAACTAAAGGAAGGAAAGGCGATGCCCTCCACTGCACACGCACACGCACACAAATGGAATTCAAACTGTGGCGTACCGATCTTAATAATTTCTGGAGGTGGCACTCTGTACTGAATTTCATACGGCAATACTTGAAGCCTCTGCTTCGTAGCATTGTCCTTTATTTCACTGATCACTTCTGGGAGGGTGTAGATTCTTCGTCCAACTTCCTGCGAAGCAAATCCACAGGTGCACTGTCATTAGCTCCCGACACAGTAAGCCGCCGTAGGCGGCGAACGTCGGCAAGAAATACATCTCTTAAGTAGATTCTCATGCTGTGAATGCAACTGTCTTACATGGAGCGCTGTGTTCTTTATAAATCCACCGGCATCGACAACCAAATGCTCAACGCTGGCTTTCGACGACAACGTGACAGGATCCATCTTGTTTCATAAAAAACCGCAAAGAACCGTTCGCAACGTGATTCTTCGGGATGTTTTCCTCGAACAGGAAGTGAGGAGCGAGGAAGTTCGTAAGGGAGTCACGTGGTCATGTGAGCACAAATGGTGGAGCCTTATCGCCCGAAGGGAGTAGCGGAGTGATGTGAGCATTTATCGCTAATTTATTGGTCATCCAGATTCGTTAATTTAGGTTGCGTCTTCCACTTGAAGCGTTTCCCAAGGTACGGAACTATTTGCCTCGGTTCAGAGGTACTCGTTCTAGGGTTTGTTATATGAAAACGCATCGGTTCCGCGTAACCCAAGGTTAGACCTGCGGCATTTTATTTTGATGAATTTGAATAACGTAATCGCCTTTTAACATCTACAGTACTACGTGTATCATCTCCGGTATTGCCTGCCTCGTACAATTATTCCGGGCAAATGTAACGAATTGTAAAACACGCATATCCTTCCCGAGTAATTCTCGGGTCTCGTCGTCTAAACGAACGGCTTCCCAAGTCTGGGCGGCGACATAGTTTCCTCTTGAATCGCGAGCTATTAATCCAAGACTAGTGTTTGGAAACGGGACGGTCGGTTTTCATCGTAAGCACCTCTTTCTAGCATCAGTAACCGTATGTTGTTTTAAACGGTGCTATACCGAATTCCCATTAGGCCTAGATTCCGAGACGAGCTTATTCAGCTTCGCAAGCGACATTTGTTTATTGATTCTGTTAAAAGAGAAAAACAAAAGAGAGTAGCCGAATTCGCAACTTTTGATACTGAAATGTCTGGCAGTGTAAACAAGCATGAGGATGTTTGCTGGTCTGTGCTGTGTTCTAAGGGGCGTCGCTGCCGTGTAGCGCAATACCGTCTGACTAGCAGCTGACCCGTGCAAAGGAGGCCTCTGTTGAAGCCCTCGCGCGAGATTAGTTGTGCCGCGATACATTACATAAGCTTGCGAAGTCTGCAATGTCTCCACACCTTTGCATCGCGCTCATCTGATTTCTCATAGCAACCGCAGCGTGCCGTCGTCAACCCTGTTTTTATTTTGCTCCGTGACTAGTGAATCGGGAAGAGTTTCCTGCAATCGTCCAACGCTGGGATTCACAGAACTCATTGCGATTGTCGACTTGTTTTCGCGTACGCCTGTCCGGGGCGGCTGAATCTAAAGTGCGTACGCACAGTGCTTTTTGACTGTCGATCGTACCTTGTCGGCGTCCGCGGGTCTCGTGCCTGCACACGAAAACAAGACTAAAAAAAAAAATAACAGCTGTGGTTAGGTGTACGTGGATAGATGCATCCATACACATGTGGGGTTACTCTTTTTTTCAATCACAGCCTTTCCTGTCGAGGGTATACACCCTTAGGTGGCCGTTTTATAGACTTGTGCGTAATGTTCATTCAGTTTTGGGTGGCTGTATAGGTTCAGGGTTTTTGTTGCATGATTTTCACCTACTGGTGCCAGTGACTGCTGACAGGCTTTCCAAACACTGTGGTGTCTGTTCTTCCTCTGTCCTTGTCTTAAAGCATAATCATGCTTTCTCACGTACAATACCGACTCGCCCAACAATCAGCACTTTCCAAACACCCAGTCACTTGTCTTTTCTGTTATTTTTTTTTTAATACAATATCAAAGAAAGAAACATTTCAATCTTTCTACTGATCAGACTAGTCTACAGACTAGTGCATTGTCTCTGTGATCTGTAGACATACTGACTTCTGTAGATCGGTACTGATTTTTTGCGATAACAAAAATATTTTATATGAGGATGATATGCTAGGACATTGCTTTTTTTTATTTTTTATTTTTTTTTAATGCATGAAAATGGGAATGTTTCGTCAGGAGCACATTTCAAGGAGGCTTATGAAGGTAATTGAGAAAATAGGCTGCTGTACAAACTGTACTATACTGGACTTTGTTAGCTGTAGCAGTAGCGCTCTTGGTTGCTTGGTGTCACTAGCAGGCACTCCACAAAATGCTGCGTAACATTGTTCAGCAAAAATCACTTCCACCATCAAGTTGAGTATTCTGCAAGATACATTACATGATAGCCATTAGCAATAAATTACCGAAAAGGTGACTAAATAGTAAAAATAAAAGTAAAAAAAAATGTTAACTGAATGTATGCTGAGTAAAAAAATAAGAGTTTTCGCACCCTATCCACTCGCATGGTGTTTTCTAGAGCACCTTCCATGTGGCATCAATAGTATGGAGAACCTGCTGTTAGTGTGTTATTTGTAAGTCCAGCATGGTACCAGAATTCTCCAAATGACCTGTCTTTGGCATGCTCGATGTCAAAATAATTTCTTCAAAAAGCTGTTCCTTTTGGTAAGCTTTGGCATTTTGTCAAATTTGGTTCCTCATGTCCATGTTCTGCTGCTCTTGTTGTGTTTTATGCTCAGCTTGAGATTTCCATTGCGCAACTGATTCTATCAGGGTTGAAGTAGTCTCTATGCATGCCATCCACTATGAATTTTATTAATGGAATCTGCTGCTTGAAATTGAATGTATGATCAATAGCATCACTCACGGTATTCTGTGCATGAGGTACAGCCTTATACGCAAAATTCTTGGTGCAGCATGGCCCGTGTTGCATTTTGCGCCATTAAACACTTTATCATCATCATCATACACAGAATTGCACTTGGTGCAAAGGATCAAGGGATGCCCTAACAGGAAAGGCTGCGGACACTCCATTCAGTTTTTATTTTTTTTATTTCCTGCATGAACAGACTGCCAGGGATATGCCATGAACTGTATTTTGCATGTTTGTGAGACTTCTTGGTGGAGGCAGGGAACCCCAGGTTTATGCATCTATTTGAACTATAATACTGCTTTTGTGTCGAGCCTGTCGCAGTAGTACTCGAAAAATCTTATCATTGCTTTATTTAATATTCAACTTGCTCATATGGCTTGACAAGCTGCATCAGTACTGCTCCATGCACCTTTCATGGGTGATGTACTTGTTATTGTCAAATATTTTCAAGCTCTCAGTCCAAAATTTTCATTGGTATAATTTGGTTTTGTAGGTACTGTTGGCAGTCGTTTTCTTTCTGCAAATGCCTGCATTGTTAGGTGACACCTTAGAGCTGTGTTAAAAATCTTTGCAGGTGTCTGGTGGCAAAGACCAAAGCAGCGCCTAGGGTTCGGTCCCATGGAGCAGCTGCAGCAATCCCATGCAAGGCTTTTCATGTGCTCAACTTGTTCCAAACGGTTCCAGCTAATTAGGATCTGCCTCTTGGCAGCGGGGTCTACTTTAAAAAGATCTCTCACCTAAATTACTTTCAATTTCACTATCTGCACGTTGAACAAAGTATAATTTTTGGGATCTGTCAGCGGTGCTGGCTTTGTTTCAAGCAGTTTAGTAACATGATGAAACGCATGAGTGGCACATATGTTTCAGCTCAAGCTTGGTCGTAAAGCAGTCTCAAATGTTACATTTCTCTGGTAGCTCACTGAGACTAGTATACCAATGCCTATTGGGAAGGAGATCCAACGTCGCACCCCTAGTGGCTAAATTGAGAACTACATCGATGGGCACAACAACAACATAGTTAATTTGTTTGTGTTTTGACACAGCGCTCGCCCCATGTAGCCGAACGTTGCATCAGCGTTCGGCTGGGGCTCGTGCTCAATCCGTGGAGCTGAACGCTGATGCAGCAAAAATTTGGCCAGGAGTTGTGCCCAATCTTTGCCCCACGCTCAATCGAGAAAGATGAAGTAAAGAATCCAGTGCACGTGCCTGTGTTGCTAAACACAGAACTCTGGAAAAAAAACAAGCTGGACGTAGCGTCCCCATAGTTTGATCTCCTCACCAATAGATGATGTTCAGCTCTCTGTGACTCATTGTTTCTCTAATGTGAAAATCCAGGTTTGCCAGACTTTTGCCTGCGCTTCATCAGGCTCATTTTTTGTTCACCTGTATTTGTATTGTGACTTTTGTTATTTCACCTGCTGGATCTGCCAGCCTTACATTTCTAAACAGGAAATGGGATATAGTGCCCAGAGAAAAGGCTTGTATCCATAGCTTTAGTACTCATGTGTTAGCGTCTGAAATGCATTTAGCATGAGGACCATTGTTTGGGTTGTTGCACTAAATTTTACAATATTCTGAACGAACGGAGACTACACAAGTGTTGACATGGTCTTTCAGCTACTTATGCTTTGTTCTTTAAAAATTGCTTATATGTCCATAGTGATGTCCTAATGATTTACTCCGAGTTTTTTTTTTTTTTTTTTTTTTTTTTGTCCTTGAATTTATTGTTTGGAAGGTCTGTTAGGTGGTAAGCACCTGTGACTCATCTTGATTACCTTTCTGTTTCGTCTAATCAGTCTGTAGGTCAGTATGAAGTACTATCCTGGAGTTCTATCCATGCCATGACATTGCCACTTTGGTGACCTGTCTCAGGTGGGTTGTTTAACTGTTAAGTGGCAGACTAAAACTCTTCTAACATAACCTCAGGTGCGTGGAGTCGTGTAACTAGCATTTGCAGATACTCTTTCACACTGGTGCAGCACTTATTGTGCTCTGGCTTTTGGGTGACTTGTTCTATCTCAAGCATCCTCTTGTCCTGTGTACCAGCTAGGCTTATCTGTTCATTTTGTGCAACCCGAAAACTTTCCTGGCCTGTTTGGCTCTTATCTGTTCCTATCTTGGTTGTGATATTTGGACCTGGAAGCTTGTGCCTAGTTATCTGGACCAGGGGGTATTAAGAGATAGGACCTATGCTGCTAATGTCTGGAATGGGAAATGTGGAGTCTAGTGGCATTCGGCTCATAGGAAACGGGACATTTCTGCTTGTCAGGCCATGAAAACATTCTATAGCTGTTTGATTGACCTCTTTTTAAAAGCTTGCAAAAATAAAAGCATCTGTTTTTGTTTCTATTCATCATGCATTTGAATGTGTGTACTAATTTTTTTTGCACTTGTTTGCCAGGGGTGACAGAAAAATGGCTGAAGCAACTTCCAGTGGTTCACTCTTTGAGCTCAACGTAACTGGTACTCTATTCCTTCAATTTTTCATACGCAGTGTGCATGAAGGCTTGGCTTGTGGGCAATGTCAGATTCTTTTCTCCTTTATTTGCAGTGGTGTCAGCCAAGCTGAACTCCACAGGAATACTTTTCAAGCCAGACCCTTATGTCGAGTTGAGCGTTGATGGGGGTGTCCCTGTAAAAACAGAATACAGCAAGAGCACATGTAACCCGAAATGGGATGAGCAGTTCCCTGTGTAAGTCTCTTCCTATCAAGTTGAATGTGTTTTTTTGTACAGGTATTGAATTGTGGGTGACTTGGGTCTTTAGTGCAGCTGCACTTGTAATTTTCTTGATTCTCCATGCTCATAGTTCTCTAAATGTCAAAACTGACCAAAGTAAAGTCTAGTGTTTGTTTGGAGACTGTTTGCAGCATGCTTGCTGCCAGAGCACAAGTTTTGAGAAAGGGCCATCATTTTCAGACTTGTGACTCCCTACTCAAAGCTCCACTTCCGAGTCTTCAATCACAATTCTCTGATGAAAGATGCACTACTTGGCGAGGGATGCCTTCAACTTTACCAAGTTCTTGAAAAAGCTGAGGGAAAGTGTAAGCATTTTTTCTGTTCTTGAAACTACTTTTTAGGATGAACTTTGTGTAGTGGCAGCCTCTATCATCTGAATCAAGAATTTTCAAACTAGGTCCCTAGGATCTAGGGGGGGTGGTTTCCCATAGTAGCTTCAGTGGAAGTTTCTTGTATAAATTGTTTCAATACCCCTTGCTTCTTTGTAAAGTGTTACTCAAGCATAGCTTACTGACTTGTGCATTGATGCATTTTGTTAGGTAAAATTATCTTACCATTCACCGGTGTATATAGTGTGATTAATTGAATCTTTAATCAATGTAGCAAAGTTTTCGTAAATTTCTAAAATGTTGACAAAATCCCAACTAAGGAATTCCTTGGCTCTCCTTCAGAGTAGTTAGGGGCTCCTTGAGACTGGGAGGTTTAAATATCTACAGTATAATGAGCCTGCACATGGCACTGCAGCATGCTGCTATTACTTCAAAAACATGGTGCAGCGCAGGCTTTGGACTCATGGTAGGCATTTTCCCATGATGATACATTTCTACTTTTGTCTGGGGAGGCTGACTTAGAGGAAGTCAGCAAAAGCGAAAGCGTGGAGTGTGAGATTTCTTCAATTTGAGTTGCACTTGGATTGAACTTTTTTTTTTTTTTTTTTCCCTTTGTTTAGTGCAGTGCAAGTTTTAATTAATTGCAGGTGCTTCCATTTAATATCTGCTAGTTTTGAAACACTGCCTTGTAAGCAGGAAGTGATAGCACTCTTGTGGAAATGTTTGATGCCATCCATTGCAGTGGACAAGGTGCCACAGCCATTGGAGCTAAGCTGTGGGAGCAAGCCCGGTCGTAGCTACAGTTATTTGCTCACCATTCTGGATGGAATGCACGTGGATCTTGGCTGGTACCCACCCAGGGAGGGGGCTGCTGTGGCTCTTACAAGGAGAGAAGGTGGGATGTCTTTTGAATTTTTACGTCCTCTGTGTTTTTTTGTGGCAGAGGTATTCATAGTGCCTCCCGATATTATACAACATTCACTCTGTTAATGAAACAAAGTTATTGCCTTTTGAGAACTGCATCGTACACGAACCCATTCATAAAAGTGAATGAGCCTGGCTCTTCAGAGGTATGTGCTTGCGAGCAAGGGCTCACACCTTTTTGAAGTGCTTTCGTTGCTCAAGCAGTGAAGCAATGGGTCCGTCTTTCAGGGATATGCCAGCTCGTCCTTCCAGCTCTTGTGGATTGCTAGCCAGTGGATGAAAGGAGCAGGCTGGTTTCGATAGTGATAAAGTTGGATATCTGTGCTGTGACCTGGTCTCGGAGTAAAGAAACAGGCATTCATATTGTGAAATGCTCTTTTTTTACCAAATGGCAGGTTCTTACATGTCTGTGTACAAAGAAGGTAGAAATTTAGTTCTTGCAGTTGCACTCGGCATTTGCTGCTGTGCCTTGCATGTAAAATGAAGTGGCCATCATTCTAACAAAAGATACCTTTGAACCAGGTAAAGCATAAAATTTATCTTAGTCTTTGGGCTACTGCATTACATGTAATAGACAATACTAAGTACTGCTGCTCTTGGCCTCAAACACGAGTGCTGGATGTGTGGGTATCATGGCAAGACATTTTGCACACAGTGTGCCTGCAACGCTAGCCCAGATGTGTACAGCTAATTTAGACATGGAACTACTGACTAATACCAGTTAAGAGGCAGAAATTAGTCTCGGCGATAGTATCAGTTGAAAATAAAGGGATCAGGTTGTCTGATCTGAGCCTCCATGTAACTAGGCCTTGTCACACAGATTTAACATAACATTTTCAAACTTGGTTGTTCAGACTGAATTTTGCTATGTCTTGATGACTTATTAATAATATTGGTTATTAGACTTATTTTGGCTCATGAGAACCACAAAACTGCTTTCTATTAGTTAAAACCAGACTCCTACACATGTCAACAAGTGCTTGTCTTGTTTGTGCTATAATCAACTGCTTGCATAGTAGTTTTGTGTTCCTAGGACTCATCTCATTTGACTCGAGTTCTCCTGAAAGCCTATAGGGAATGTGCTTACCTAACTAAACCCTTTGCAAATAAGGAAACTCTGGTGGCGCAACAGAAACCTGGATTTCCGTCATATCAAGCACGTTTGAACTGACGGTGGACATTGGGTGCGTCACTACACATGGAATAAACTTTGTAGAGGAAGTTGCGTTCCTAATCGCTTCCTTGGACACTTGATGAATGTGTTCTCAATTGCTGCTCACAAATATATATTCCCATTAAAAGCTAAACCCTTACTGGGCAGAATTAAGGTTTGTTTCCCTTTCGAAACATGCTCTATTCGGGCTGCGCTTCGTGAAATCGGTCAACAGGTGTCACATTTTGTTCTACAGCTCTGCAACGCCGTTACGTTTTGGATGGAACCCCCGGCGACAGCACTGTTCTAACATACTTCTCTGTGGCCGCAGCACCCAAGAGCTCATCATCGGGATCGATCCACCAGCAACACAATGGCTCGGTGTCTGCCCACTTGAGCGGGAGCTCGGCTGACCTGGGGAACCGGCAATGGGGCACCCCGTCTGGTGCCAGGGTCAGGGTGCGCAAGAACCAGGCGGGCTCTGTCGGGGAGGTCCCTGTGAGCCCCGCCACAGCGGTGCCCACATGCTCCTCGAGCGGGGAAGGGAACGGCCCTGCCTCCCCAGAGCACTCGCTGCACCAGGGCAACTCGCACGGTGCACCCGGAGCGGGGCCCAGGCTGGAGGGGGCTCCGCAGGCAGTGGGCCACCCCGTCGGACCCACGGTACAGGCCGCGGCGGCGTCAGCTGAGCCAGGGCCACCCTTGCTCGGTAGGTTGCTCGTTTTGGTCTAATCGCTGGTCTTTGGAAGGGACACTAAAGGCATTGCCCTCTGCTCTTCTTTCTTTAACTTTTTTTGCTACATAATTTTGTTTTTTTATTTTTTATTATGAGATGCATTTTTATTTTATTTTCCGGTTGTTTTTCGGGGTGAGATGGGGAAAAAAGAGATGTGACATCACACGATGTACAACTTGCATCAGTGTTCGCTGGGAAACCTGTGTTGTGTGCTACGATTGGTAAATTGATCTTTGAAATTTGCTTCAGTGTGTCTTTGAATGGTCTTCGAAGTTTGTTTCGTAGGCATTTCAAGAACTGGGGGGCAGCCTGGGGGGCAAGTTGGGATGTGACTGAAACATAAAATTTATACTTACTTGATTTTTGAGAGGGGACACTGCCCAGAAAGAAAATATTTCTGCAAAAAAAGTTGATATTGAACACCATCTAGAGAGTATTCCCAAAAAGTTTAATTAGTTTACACTGCAAAGTTAATTTTTTATAAATTATTTTCTGCACACCAAAGCTAAAGAAAAGGTAGGGTTTGGAGCACTTTGAACACATTTTTCTCTGTTCTACTTTTTCATATAAATTCCCTTTTAGTCATTCTATCGTTTGATAATGGTAAAACGGGGAAGGCTTATTCTTCCCTTTTCCTGACTGAAATTTAATAAGAAATGTGGCTATGGAATGCTTTTTGTCGCTTTATGGATGTCTTTTATAAAAAATGTTGACATTTTGTCGAAGACACAGAAGACCAAAAAGTTGACCAATTTTGTAGAAAAGAAAATTTATAGAAATCAATGACTTTTTAGAAAAAATGTTTTATAGCCGCACCCTCTAGGCATTCGATACATATCTAGCAAATAAAAATCTTGAATATGGTGATAGTTTTCCAATGATAGATTAACTAAACAATGGGGGCGTGTTGCTGATAGAAGCTGCTCTAATTTCCTTCTCATTTAACTAACAGACCTGAAATTTTGTTATACACCCTCTAGCATAACCACAGCCTACCCTGTAAATTTCATTAATTTTAAGACAAGGGTTCAAAAGTTGACCCTCCTAGGAAAAAGATTGCCTTGGTAATTCAGTTGCTTTTTAAAGCAAATGAGCATCAGGACTACCTTTTTTCACGAGAAGTGCTTTTTCCTCTGGACCTGATGAGGTCCTGCAGGCTTCGTAGCTTGCAGGTTACATTGAGGCAAAGCATAGATAATTCCCCCTTTGGGCCTTGGAAATGTGAATTTCACTTATACCGCAATTCGCATTGCCAAGGGGCTGGTCTTTGGAGCTAGTCGGCATTCGTGTGGTGGCCTCAACTAAAAGTGTGCTGCTTTGTAGCTCTTTTGGCAGCGTGTGCGAACTACAGGCGGCGCTTCTCTAGCTATCATCATCATCGTTTGTGACATCAAGGATAGGACAAGACCGCACAGATCTTGGATCCCTCGGCTCGTCAGCTCACTTCATGCGCTGTTTGGGTAACTCACGACAAAGCCCGTTTCACGCTAGCCTGTTTCATGCATTGTGTTTATTTGGTGAAGGGATATTTGTGATAAGACATTTTACTAAAGCTCGAAAACATGGCACGCATAGTCATGCTAACAAACACTTTAGGCGCTGAGATGTCGGAAGCCCTGGATATTGGTGTGCACTGTTCTCGTTGGCTGTTCTCTTCCTCAGTATAAAAAGCTGGATAATGAAAATTGAATATCCAGCGCTTTACCCGACTGCATCTACCCTGCGAATGGGTGTAATTTTTTTTATTGTGATTCGGACAAAATAAAACTGAGAAAGGAATGTCTCATCAAATTGAAAATAGTAAAACGAAATTCGACTCGCGTATGTTGTGAACACTTCATTGGAAGTGACTCCGTGTATCCTGTTGGTTCCATGGTGTTCTGTGAGTGCTGGTCTTTTATTAGTTTCAAGTTGATTCCTTTTTTTAATTTTGTACACCAGTAAACATACATTTCCTCATAATAACTGCCAGGAAGAAGCAGTGGCTGGCTTCCGGAGTCGTTTCAACTTGTAAATTCCTGCTTATTCGCCTGGTCGACTCGAAACATGTAAAGCCCCCTTGCGATCGAAGTTCGTTAAATCTAGTAAGTCGGTGACACTTCAGCGTCCCAAAAGAGGAGGTATACACCGGCTATGAATTACTATGGTTTGTATGTTTCATTTGGCAGACCCAAAGTATTGTGCATGAAGTGTGATGAGCTTCTCAACGAACTACAGGGTGAAACAAGGAGACGCCAGGCTCTTTAAATCGATCGGAAAATTCGGTTTCTTAACCTATCGCTCTACGACTTTGTGCAGCGTTGCCCACAGATGGTGCATTTTTTTGTAAAATTTGCAAAGAGCGAACTTAGCTGAGGAAAAAGTAAAGAAAGAAAAAGGCTTAGCTCCTATGGAAACGCAGCGAAGCCACCGGTCTGCAAACAACACGGCGCCATTTCGCACGGGAGACAAGAGATGGCGCAACAAACGCCGCCAACGAACGAGCAGACGACGCCGAGAGCCGGCCCTTTTGCAGACAAGGAACTGCAGTTCCTTGCTGTTACCGCGCCTGTCTTTTTTGTTTCTGCGACTGTCGCCGCCTGCGGAACGCGCGCCGCTTTTGAGTCTAAAAGATTGTCTGCTAAAAAGGCCTGCTCTCGGCGCTGTATGCTCGTTCGTTGGCGGCGTTTGTTGCGCCATCTCTTGTCTCCCGTGCGAAACGGCGCCGTGTTGTTTGCAGACCGGTGGCGTCGCTGCGTTTCCATAGGAGCTAAGCCTTTTTCTTTCTTCACTTTTTCCTCAGGTAAGTTTGCTCTTTGCGAATTTTACAAAAAAAAATGCACCATCTGTGGGCAACGCTGCACAAAGTCGTAGCGCGATAGGTTAAGAAACCGAATTTTCCGGTCGATTTAAAGAGCCTGGCGTCTCCTTGTTTCACCCTGTAGTTGAAGTTTGTAAACATTTTAAATTGTAATGAACAAATTAATCAATTGCCTGAATTTGCCGGGCCATAGCCGACACTTCATAAAGTTGAGAAAATTTCTGCTTTTCTTTCGAGCAAAAGTCACAGTGTGACAAACTTCTTTGCCACATATTCAATGTTGGAGGAGCTAAGCGTCAGTTGCTGACGAACATTTGCTCGTAAGCAAATGTCGAGTCACACTTAGATGGAAGCGTCGGTATCCGGAAATCAATGTGCCATATTTTCCGGACTATAGTTCGCAAAAACTGATTTCAGCTGAAGACAAAAAAAAATTCCTTAGATAGTCCCACGCGGTGCATGGTCTGCACTTAGTGCCAGATCTAATTGTAAATATTATCATATGCAACACATCTTTACAAATGCCTGCTGTATTAGCCCACAAACGAGCTTGTATCATTTATAAATCACCATTAATATACTCCCGTCTTGTTACAGTAAACAATCTAGAAGAATACAAACCTTGTATTGTCTGCACCTGTAGCTAGTCCCCACCGGGTCAAATATGAACCTTTAAACATGTATATAGTCCGTGGACTATTAATGGAAAAATATGTTGGCTAAAACAAGTGTGCGACACTTTGCAACACAACTGTGCGCGCAGGCACAGCTAAGATGACAGCACGTCATTTACTCTGGTGAATGCAAAACCTTTTTCTACGGGAGCCTCCACAGATATGAAAAAACAAGAATCGGAGGCTGTGAACAACCCTGACGCCTGCCGCGCAAGCTGTGATGTGATGCTCCAGGCTCGTTTTAAAAAATTTTACAGTTTTTTTTCTATATAAAAAGCAACTTCAAGGTGCTGTTATTTATTAGAAAGATCATCCACAAAAACATCACATTTCTTTAATAAATAAACTGTTTTTAATCGGCAAAGATGCAAACTAACTTAGCCACTCCGTGCTATTACATAGCACATTGTCTGCTCGTATCCTACCTGCTCCGTCGCACGAGAGCACCCGCGAAGTGGCACCACCAAAACATCTCGCCAATAGTTGCTGGCAGTAGAAAATGGCAGGAGGGAGCTTTCGTAGGCCCTGCCCACTCTTGTTTGTCCTGTAGCCTGTTTACTTGCTCTACAGATGTGTACTGCTCATTTTAGTACATGGAGGTAGGAAGCTTCTGGAGGCGACACAATGCCACCAGAGGTGCGGGCACCCGAGGGTGACCGAAACAGTTGTGGTTCTGGTCATCGTTGGGGGTGTGTCCCTCTGGCTTCACTTCTGGTGGTGTCATGTCACCTCCAGAAGCGTCTTACCTCCATGTTGTAATTATACCAAACTATGAAGTTTACTGCAATATAAAACGTGCGTACGTCTCGAAGTCAAAATTGTTAAAAGTATGAGAACACTGCATTTGTGTAGTTGTCAAATCTGATGGCTAAAGTGACTGAAGCGTCGCTACCGCTTCCTTATTGTGACGGCAGCGTCGAACAAATGTAAACAATCAGTCAGTGTTGTCCGTCGGCAAGCTATGCGAAGAATGAGATGTGCCAAAACATGTTGTCCTTTCCATTGTTTCAAATTTAACAGCAAACATGAAGTTTCCATATATGTGTAATTCTGTGCTTTTCTCGTGATTGAGTAGTTGCGATCGTCTGCATTACACTTATACAGTAGACTTTCATTAATTCAAACTTTCTTAATTCAAACGTATGGATAATTCAAACTAACATGCAGGTCCCGTCCTATGCGTCTCTATGGGAGGAAACTCCCGGTAATTCCAACTTTGTTTTATTCAAACAAATTTTCATTCCCCCTCGAGTTTGAATTGGAGAGATTTGACTGTACTATTTTAAGCAACATGTCTTTTCAAATCTGCCGAGAGAGGCTTATGTCACCAAAACTAGGCGCAATCAAGTGTTGGGCGAAGCGAGTGGAGCATGCAGTTTTGTTTCTGCAGTTTTTTTTATAAGAGACTGCGATGTATCTGCCAACAACCTGTCGACGCACCAGACTATGCATTTCTATTGGTTGCAGAGTGAGACAGTCTAGCTCGACGGGCAGTGGTGGTGCATAGTCAAGCTACGCCTTGCCGTCCTTACCTAGACGGTGACTATATCGGATTTGTGGCTTCCGGTTTCTCCAGGAACAGGAGGCCCCGTGCAGGGTTCGCCCTGGTCGTCGTCGACGGTGGTCATCAGAATGGAAGGCGGCGGGCAGTATGCAGACGGTGCGGCCGGTGTCCCAGCGGCGGGCGCCCCTCTGGGCCCCAACGGCCCTCCGCTCGCGGCCCCCGATTCTGCAGACGGCTCCACCGTCCAGGCACGTGCCATCCCGCGTCGGAGTGCGGGTGCACTGCCTGCCTCTCCCTGTGGCCGGGCTTCACGCCACAGTGCCTCACCGGCCGCGGTAGCTGTGCCTGCGGCCGCACCGGTGATGAATGCTGCTCCCGGCACGGCAGCCGTTGCGACGGCGTCCTCGACGAGTGCATCGGCCACGACTGCGGGCTCGACGAGCGGCACAGGCCAAGAGGAAGAGCAGCTGCCACCCGGGTGCGTCGGGCTTTGCAGCCGTGGCTGGCCACGTGCCCCGCTTTCCGTTGTGCGCCGTGTTGTGATTGAAGGTATAATGTTGCCTAAGGAAAAAAAAAAAAAAAAAAAAGCTTGCTTTCAACGTGCCACAAGAATTATTTGGTGGGCATTTCTTTTTTGTGCAGATGCGCATTTTTATTATCAGTGGGTCAAATTGGCTGATGCTAGATGGGTTATTCAGAGCGTTTGTATCCCTGAAACTAGATGCACTTTATAGATTTCGAGCTACAAAGACTATGCGAAGCAAATAATTCCCAGCCATAATTTGGAACTTTTGAGTAGTAACGTGGATTGCTCTGGCGGTCGGAACTCAAACCAGGGTGCAACATTATGGTGGCAAGAGTGCTGGTTGCGCTATCAAGGGATTTAGTATGGCCTTCTGTCCTCTCCATTTCACTGTTTTCGAGAAATTTTCTCCTGTAACTTGTTTGGTCTTTTGTGCAGTTGGGAAGTGAGGTACGATCAGTTCAACCGCAAATACTACGTGGACCACAACACCCGAAGCACGACGTGGGAGCGCCCCCAACCTTTGCCTCCAGGGTCAGTTGTGGTTTTGTTTTGACTCATGGCGAATTCCACTGGTCGTTTGGAGCGCGCCAGGATCAGTAAACCAGAACCGAGATGGAGCACGCAATTCGAACGGAGTCACTCCGTCTCCGGATCCCCAGTGGAACATGACCACTCCTCCGGGACCGGCAAATGCCTTCTTGTCATTCACCTTCCCGGGAATCCCCTTCTTGCGGTCCCGGATCTTGAAGCACATGTCTTCACAATCGCGGCACTAACAAAACGTGTTCGACGCACGAGCAAAGTTAATCATGATGTGAAAGATGCATGTTGATAAGCGATGTGCATCATTGTAGCCCACTTGCCTCTTCTTCAAAATACTCGTGAATAGTGTCCAAGTATGTCTAGATTTTTGGCTTTTCTGCGAAGTTCCGAAAAGGCAGTCGACTTTATGCGGGACATCCAAGCAATCCTCGTCGTCGCTGCTACTCGAGCCGCTGCTGCTAGAGGAGCTGCTCAAGCAACTACTCAAACAACTAGGCGACGAACTGTCGTCAAGCAGCAGCAGCAGTAAAGCGGGCGGCACTTCGCGAGCGGCCATTACGAATTTTTTTAAGGCGAGATGCCCGGCGAGGGCTGGCCTTCAGTGACTAGGCTGGCCAGGCTGGCTTCCGGTCAAATCCGCCGAAATCAGCGGAGTGACTTCTCTTGGATCCAGATCGAGATCTGGAGCAGGAGCTGATCTAAAACGACGAGTGGAACTTGTCTGTCTCGATCCCGATCGCCCACTGAAATAGGCGCATTCCAGAAAGGTCGATCCTGGCGTGTTCCGAAACGACCAGTGGAGTTCGCCTTCAATGATCACACACTGCAGCACCATGATATTTGGGAATCGTCAAATTTTTCGCAGATAACACTGTTTGGAAAATGTTTTGTGTAGGTGGGAAATGAGACGCGACAACCGGGGTCGGGTATACTACGTAGACCACAACACTCGGACGACCACCTGGCAACGACCAACGGCGGAAAGTGTTCGCAACTATCAGCACTGGCAGTCCACCCAGGCGCAAGCTATGCAGCAGTGTCAGCAGCGTTTTCTCTACCATGTAAGCTCTCCTCTGAATATCGTCCCCTGAGATGGGCAAATGCACGACCTAAGGAAGAAAGCAGCATTTACAGTATTTAATAGTGATGGGACGAATCACCAGAGGTAGGATTCGGACAGATTCTGAAATTTCCAAACTTCCTGCGACGAATATTCGGCAGATTCGTCGCTGGTTGCAGACAGCAGCGTGAAACTTGTCATAAACCTCGCAAATGCGGTCAGTTGTGTTTCTTTATGTGCTGTTACTGCATATAACCAGATTTCGTCTTGTTTATCTCAATGCATGGTGTGTACTGTACTGTCATTCTAAACCCTGGCCTGTTTTTAAACTGGGCTTGGTTTAAAAACAGGGGTGGTTGATGTGAGCCTAACCAATGCACGGTCTCGGTTTTGCGGTGGTTGGTAAAATGTAGCAAAACGCTGTGTATTATCCATCAGGGGTTCTCAAACTTTTTGGCCTCACGGAACACCAGGAAGCCTCAAAAACTGCCGTGGAACCCCCCTCCCCCCATATTTGCCGACCGAGGAGCAACAGATGCACAATTGTAGGCAATTTTGCTTGTGTTGCTTCCCATATATCCCCACCATATCAATCACAATGTCAGTTCAAATTGAGATGAAGGTGCTTTGCATGGTCCTGCCGCGCAGCCTGCAGCATGGGGGAGAAGGGAGGGGGGTTGCAATTTGGGTGTTCGCAGAACCCATGAGACCAGCTCGTGGAACCTAGAGCACTATATAGCTCCTTCGGAGCAGAATACCGCAATCTAGAACGCCGTCCCTCGGCAACTAGCGGCAAACGTCCTGGGGTTCCAACTTCGGCCACAAATGCATGGGGAACGTGAGAAAATCGCCGCCTCCTGTTTATTTTGGGGATCTACGAAACGAAAATAGTTTTTGACATAATAAGGGAATAGTTTACAATAATTTGCGCTAAGTTGTGCGCCATGAAATAATTTAATTTTTTTTTTTTTAATTGCCTGAGGAGCATCATGCAGCAGACGACACGGCGACGTCACACCGTTCACGTGACCCGCTCCGGCCAATCCATAAAGTCCATCTCCGCTGCGCAAAACAATCGTCTGCTTCAAACGCCATTGCTTTGAAAGTTGCCTTCACAAAATTTTCACACGCATCCAATAATATTAAAACTTTTATAAAGTGTTTAGTGCTTTACCAACTTCACGACAGACTAGTTTTAAAAATTGTGAACTTGGCATTTATTTTTTAATCAGCCGTGTTGAGTCGATCTCCATGTATTCTGCCATAGGGCGGGCCGCCTCCTGGAACCCTGAGTACCACGTGACTCGCGCCGAGCTGCTCTGTCGGCCATGTTGTCGGCGAAACACGCGGATCAAAGGATTGCGCTACTCTGCTCCGTAGGAGCTATATAGTGCTCTAGTGGAACCCCTGTGTTTCCCGGAACCCAGTTTGAGAACCCCTGTTATACATAATGTGGCGCAACGCACAATAAATATATTTAGGTAAGGAAATGATTCACATCCTTCTCTAGAGCTGCATATGTCTGTACCTGTAAAGCATGAGAGCGAGATGAATGTTGCTCGTCACAACTTCGACTGCGTGCCGGCACCCCGGTGGCGAAGAAAAACGTTGCTAATTTGCACTGCCGTTTCTCCGTTCTTGGCAGCAAGTCGGCCGTGAAACGTTACTGTAACTAAATCGGTTATCATTAACCAGAAGGGTACAAATGGAGTTCAGGAGTCTGTAATAGTATGGTGCAAGGAGTTTCAGATTGTTTCCTGTGTTCCGATAACAAGTCCTCAGTGGACAGACATTGGAGATAATCGAATCAAACATACTCACTTGTTTGGTGTGTGCCACTATGACCATAATTATGGGTATGAAATGTGTGTGTGTACCGAACAGCACGTATGGCGTCGATCTCTTCCGACGATGAAAATATGCACTTGTATTTCCACGTACACCAAGCATGCCTATTTTGGTTGTAATCCGGAACCGAAACCAATTTTCCCGCAATGTCTGGCTACCAGCGTCCAAAATAATTGAAACAAAGCGGAACATTTTATTTATTACTATGATATTATATTACATTATTTTGTGCACTTTGTAGAATTTAGCGAATTTAATATCATGAAAAGTTGAAACACTCATCAACATGATCTGGCAACCATGGCATCGCTCCGAATCTTTCAGAACTTTTCCGAATCGCTTGAGATTCGGCTACTTTTCCGAATCTTTCCGCATCTTCAGATTTGGCTCCGAAACTCGATTCAGATAAAGATTCGTCCCATCGCTAGTATATAACGAAGCTTCGTTCCTCAGTTGATAGGAAGATGGAAGGGCAGTGCAGACAGGAGGTGTTTATCCTTTCCATTCTTCTTTCCAAGTGTGACTGTTTGAAAAATGGTGCTCTATGGCCCTCGTTGCTGCTGCACCTTGAAGTCGCAATTTCAAATTATTTTATAATGCTGTAGCGAAAAGGGAAAGATGGAGCCCCTTTTCCCTTCTTCCCCTTCTTCTGTAGCAGTGGAAACTGCAGTCTAACTCTGTTAGTGCCACAGACACAAGCCGATTGTGTGGAGTATGAATGGTATACATATTTCAAGAGCATGCAAGACCCTCTTATCTCTCCAATTTGTACACTAGGAAATGTTTTTCTGCAACTTGATACATACTGACAAGAATATTTTTTTTTTTTTTTTTTTTTTCTAATTGATATATTTTTTAATTGCAGACTCCAGTACAGGTGGACGAAGATGACCCACTAGGCCCACTGCCAGAAGGCTGGGGTACTTGTCCTTTGCCAGTCTTGCAACTTGCCAAGTGTGTTTTGTTTGCTAATGATTGTGTTTTTTTCCAACAGAGAAAAGGATTGACCCAAACAACCGTGTCTACTTTGTGAACCACAAAAACAAGACCACCCAGTGGGAGGACCCCCGCACCCAAGGGTCAGTGTTTGACTGCACGGCCCAGTGTGCCTGGGACAAGTCGGTTCGTTGGGAGTCTAATGTGACTGGGCTTATGTTTGTTGAACAGGAAAGAGGAGCCACTTCCGCACGGCTGGGAGATTAAGTACACGCCAAACCGGGTGCGCTACTTCGTGGACCACAACTCCAAGACTACCACCTTCAAGGACCCCCGCCCATCGTACGTTACCAAAGGGTGTGTCCGCCTCCGCTCCCAGGTCACACGGGGGGCACACCTAAGTCTGTTACAACTGTGGGCAGTTGGAGCTCTAACAATGCTGCAGGCATGCTCTAGGCTGTTTATGTTTGCGTGCCATAGGTCCACTGTACTCGTCACCCGTGGCACCTTGGCCAGCTGTGTAGACGGCCTTGCGGAGGTGTATCAGTGATGTGTGTAAAAAACCAAAGACGACTTCTAATAAGATTAAAGGTCTCAGACTTCGGGGGTACTTTTGGGCGCTAGGTGAATAATGTATGCATAGATTTCGGTGTACATTTGTGACTCATCTAAATTTGTCTCTGCAGCCTAGAAACTACTGAAATGGGGAAGTTCTGAGGTATGAAGATGTGGGGCCAAAATACCCAAAGAAACCAGTTTCATTTGTTAATTTTTTAAGATAGGTTTGCACCGTAAAATCAGAACAGGTGTTTCATATTGCGGGAGTTTGGGTTTAATTTACTTAGTGAGTAGTAGCTATTCACTGATATGTGTAGCTAACTTCGACAAAACAAGTGATCAATCCCTTTTGCACAATTTATTTATTTATTAATAAGATACTGTTAACCCCTCTTGGGGTCATTACAGGAGAGGAAAAAAAAGAGTATGGTAATAAACAGCAGCAAAACGAGAACACCGCATACATTCCTAAACTGAACCGGTCCTAAACTGAAACTGTTCTTACCTTCCAGACAAATGTGGTCTTTTCACGGTAGTTTTGAAACATTCACAGATCCTGGTAATTATCTGGGGTCCTAGTGTGACCTAGTGTTGTCTTTTCAGGCCGAAGGGAGCCTATGGTGTTCCTCTGGCCTATGAACGAAATTTCAAATGGAAGCTAACGCAGTTCCGCTACTTGTGTCACGTGAGTACTGTTTCTTCACTCTGCCTCTTTCTTAACTGTTTCGGAGCTGTACCGATAGAGTGTCTGCTAATGCTCTTTCCAGTGCAATTCCCTACCCAGCCACATCAAGATAACCGTGTCCCGACAGAATATTTTTGAGGATTCATTTAGTCAAGTAAGTACCGGTTATAGTCTGCGAGTAGTTCTCTGGCTTCTAAGGAACTAAAGCTAGGGCTCTTAAGTTTGAATCCTGCTAAACAAGTCTACTGACACATCCTTTTTCGCTCAGATCATGCGGGTTCCACCGCACGAGCTGAGGAGACGGCTCTTCATCACATTCAAGGGGGAAGAAGGCCTTGACTATGGAGGAATAGCCAGGTCAGTTTTTCTGGTTTGCTGCGACGTTTTTGAGAGGGGCAATAGGTGTCTGTGCTCGTTGAAAGTTGTCAATTTTGTATAAGCTTTCTTGAACTCCAACCATAACGTTCAGTTTTCCTGTCCTCACAGGGAATGGTTTTTTCTGCTGTCGCATGAGGTCCTCAACCCTATGTACTGCCTGTTTGAATATGCGGGCAAGAACAACTACAGCTTGCAGATCAACCCTGCCAGCTCAGTGAATCCTGACCATCTGCTGTACTTTCGCTTTATTGGAAGATTCATTGCCATGGTGAGTCATGGGACCCCACTGGGAGACGAGGGCTGTACAGACCCCAATGGTCCATTCAACCCGTCGCCTGACTCTGAAGTAACCACAGGCAATGTCCACTGTTGTAGGCCCTCTTCCACGGGAAGTTCATCTACAGCGGCTTCACACTGCCTTTCTACAAGCGTATGCTGGGCAAGAAGTTGACCATGAAGGACATAGAATCCATTGACAACGAGTTCTACAACTCCCTCATTTGGATCAAGTGAGTGTGGCTCTGAAGTGCTGTGCATGCACGTGCACTCAATTTTGCTCAATGGTTCCAGGGAGAACAACATTGAAGAATGTTCTCTCGAGCTGTACTTCAGCGTCGACTTTGAGGTGCTCGGTCAAATCCAGTCGCACGAGCTGAAACCTGGCGGTGGAGAGATCCGTGTTACGGAGGAAAACAAGGACGAGTACCTCAGGTTAATTTTTTTATATATAATATATATACACCATTTTTTTTTTTTTTTAAGTTGCTGGACCAGGGCACCAGCTTCCCTATTGGTCACTTGTTTATGTTTTAGAAATGCATAAGTGTCATCACAATTTGGCATTTCTGGTGCAGGCTGATGACAGACTGGCGGTTTTCCCGTGGACAGGAAGAGCAGACAAAGTCCTTTTTGGACGGATTCAACGAAGTTCTACCCTTGGAATGGCTTCACTACTTTGACGAGCGAGAGCTTGAGGTGCTTTATACTGCCATTCTTTTTCCTAGGGGCTGCACCTGTTTTTGCTTCCCTTAGCACAAAGCTAATACTTGGCCTATCAATATGACTAGGGTTCTGCGTTTTCTGGGGGGGGTGGGGGAGGGGGGGGTTGTTAATATGGAGGTGTTTTTTTGGAGGGGGTATATTTTTTCCCACAGATTCGGTGTTTCTTTTTTGTGTGTGTAAAGCGGTTATAACTCAACCAATTTACACATGAGAGCACAGAATCTGTAAGGAAAAATACCCCCCCCCCCCTTCCAAAAACAAGAAAAACCTTGAATTCGATTTTTAAAAAAAAACTAAAACAAAAAAAAACATGGAACTTTAGTTATTACCCTTTGGGTCATAATTATGTAACTGTCACATCATTTGTCATACACTTTTTTTTTTTTCATGTTGACTGCACAGTGAAAACCTGGGAAACTAATATGAAGCTCATTTTCAAGTTCTTGGAAATCCTTGAATTTAAATCAAATAAACAAATACAACATTCAATAGAGTCGATTGTTGGGCTAGTTGGTTTTGGAATTTGGAATACATTTTAGCGCTCAAAAAACAGGGACAAAGAGGCGAGAAACAGACAGCACAGTGCGCTACTAACAACTGATTTTATTACGTGAAACAACACTTTTATACCATCCGAGTTTCTGATTTTGCTCCACCACTAGCCAACCCGGTGCGAGGCCGCGTCATTGAGGAACGCACGCTCCTTGTCCAGTAAATCAATTGAGGCCACGCTGACACATGCTGCACCACCCTTCCTAATCTCATCTGCCTCGACTATCTCCCTCACAGTTTTTTCCTTGTGCCGTGCCAGAATCTTGCTCTCGGAAAACAACGGCATACACTTGCACTTTTCACAATGATCAGACAGATGACCGTCCCGATAATTTCCTACTTTAAGTTTGTGCTCTCTCAGCCTATCATTAACACACCTACCTGTCTGACCTATATACTTGTTTCCGCATGATAAGGGGATCTGATATACTACTCCCTCCGCACATTCAACGAAGGGATCCCTGTGTTTTACCGCGCAGCCAGAAGGGGCCTTACGAAAAGGATCTGTCATCCTACATAATCTACTAAGTTTGTTTGGTGCGGAAAACACTACGTTCACGTTTGATCTATTGGCCACCTTTTTCAAGCCATGCGCCGTTTTGTGAATGTACGGTATCACCGCGACCTTCTGTTTATCTCTGAGAGCCATTGGGCAAGGGCGATCTTCACTACGCAATCTTTTTAATACGATCTCTGCAACTGAGACCACTACATTCTTCGGGAAGCCAGCTGCCAACAACCGCCTATACTGCGTGCCCAGGCCTTCTGACATCACATGGTGGCATGATTTTTTGAGGGCGTTCAATACGCACATGTTGGCAATACTCCTTTTTACCAGTTTTGAATGAGCTGAATTGTACGGCAACAGGGGTTTCTGGGCTCTAGGGTGGTACATCCAACACACATGTCTTTGGAAAGACATGTGTGTTGGATGTACCACCCTAGAGCCCAGAAACCCCTGTTGCCGTACAATTCAGCTCATTCAAAACTGGTAAAAAGGAGTATTGCCAACATGTGCGTATTGAACGCCCTCAAAAAATCATGCCACCATGTGATGTCAGAAGGCCTGGGCACGCAGTATAGGCGGTTGTTGGCAGCTGGCTTCCCGAAGAATGTAGTGATCTCAGTTGCAGAGATCGTATTAAAAAGATTGCGTAGTGAAGATCGCCCTTGCCCAATGGCTCTCAGAGATAAACAGAAGGTCGCGGTGATACCGTACATTCACAAAACGGCGCATGGCTTGAAAAAGGTGGCCAATAGATCAAACGTGAACGTAGTGTTTTCCGCACCAAACAAACTTAGTAGATTATGTAGGATGACAGATCCTTTTCGTAAGGCCCCTTCTGGCTGCGCGGTAAAACACAGGGATCCCTTCGTTGAATGTGCGGAGGGAGTAGTATATCAGATCCCCTTATCATGCGGAAACAAGTATATAGGTCAGACAGGTAGGTGTGTTACTGATAGGCTGAGAGAGCACAAACTTAAAGTAGGAAATTATCGGGACGGTCATCTGTCTGATCATTGTGAAAAGTGCAAGTGTATGCCGTTGTTTTCCGAGAGCAAGATTCTGGCACGGCACAAGGAAAAAACTGTGAGGGAGATAGTCGAGGCAGATGAGATTAGGAAGGGTGGTGCAGCATGTGTCAGCGTGGCCTCAATTGATTTACTGGACAAGGAGCGTGCGTTCCTCAATGACGCGGCCTGGCACCGGGTTGGCTAGTGGTGGAGCAAAATCAGAAACTCGGATGGTATAAAAGTGTTGTTTCACGTAATAAAATCAGTTGTTAGTAGCGCACTGTGCTGTCTGTTTCTCGCCTCTTTGTCCCTGTTTTTTGAGCGCTAAAATGTATTCCAAAATAGAACATTCAAGCTTAAAACCCTCAATTGAACAGATTAACAAAAACATTTTTATCCCTGTATGATTAATTTAGAGCTGTTCATTTGTGAAATTATTCACAAATAGGCCTGAATTAAATGCCACTTCAGAAGAGCAGTAATTTTGTTTCTGTGGCCAGCTTAGAGAAAGGCAAACACATGTAAGTAAATGTGTAGCCATTCCTTACTTGTGTGTATTCGTCTCTTTGTTCAAGCCGGCCACATAAAAACACTAACTAACGAGCCATCTCAAATTATTCTTGTTACAGAAGCGTACATGTCCATTCCTTACTTAAATGTATTTGTCTGTGTTCAAGCTGGCCACCTCAACAGTGTAATGAACCCCCTATAGCTCAACTTAAGCCCATTAGGTAGTTCTTGTCACTGTTGTGCAATTAAATATAATTGAAAGCACTGTTGTTGTTGCCCTCTCCACTGATGCTTTCCCCAAGAAATAGTGAAATTAAAAAAATGCCGTCATGCTCCTGTGGTAGTAGCAGGTGCCCTACCTGCTACTACCAGAGGAGTATGGTGACCCTAAAATTTTATTCTTCTCAGGTTGAAGCATACACTTTCAGAGCTTGCCAACCTTTTGCAACTTGCCTCAGAATGGCATTTTTCATGCTCTTCACTCTCGTCTTTGCCCTATTTCCAAGGCTATGTCTCGGATATGAAACTATGTCTCGGATATGAAAAAGTAGTCCCATGCACTAACTTCTTCCTTTCCGTTTTCAGCTGATGCTCTGTGGCATGCAAGAGATCGACATAGACGACTGGCAGCGCAATAGCATCTACCGGCACTACACACGCAACAGCAAGCAGGTGATCTGGTTCTGGCAGTTCATCCGGGACATGGACAATGAGAAACGAGCACGCCTCCTCCAGTTTGTCACGGGAACTTGTCGCGTGCCGGTTGGCGGCTTTGCTGAGCTCATGGGTGAGTCTCAATGCCAAGACTTGAGCTTTTTCGGTGGTTGCTCTCACATACCATAAATACCGAGCAATGTACTCGTTCAAAATGAGGAGATAATCTGGAAAAATTGGGAGGTGGGTGTGGGTGCTTGTTTTAGGTCTAAGGGAAAAAATGCAGGAGGGGCACATGACAGTGTGAGCTTCATCACTTTGCACAGGCCTGCAGGGCAAGGCGGCTGACGTGGAAGAGCATCTTGGTCAGCTAGGTGGGCTCGGAAGTCTGGGGTGGACACTTGATATGTCATTTGGATATTTCTTTTTACCTTTCAAGAGTACCGAGCGAGCACTTACTGCGACACGGGCACATGTTCGGTATATGACGATATGTGAAATTTGCTCAGACCCTTTGCACTTGAATCCCTGTAGCGCAATGGGCGAGCTCAAAAGCTCTAGGACAGGGGTGGGCATACTTTGGTGCCTTCCACGCCTGCAAGAAGTGTATACCCATGCAAAGGTTTTTGTTCTGTCTTTATGCTGCCAGACACAGGTGCGAAACAGTGGTCGTATTGCTCATATTGTGGTTAACTAGAAATAAAGCACTTCACAGCTTTGTTTAATTTGAGTAATGCAGTGATGCAAGTGTCACGCCATTTACGCTAAATTGCACCATAAACTCTGCTAAGAGTTGCACCAAAATGCCACTTTGCTCAAAATTTTGCCACAATTATGCCAAAATGAGATGAAACGAAACTACAAAAAAAATTAATATTGATCAACACTAATATTTTGAAAGAAGTAGAAGAGAAGGAGAATGGTTAGAAACTTGTATTTCACAGTGTTTCTACTCCCCGTAATTAAAGTTTGCTCCTCGACCATGCTGGCCACGTCATCGTCTTAACTTACAATGATGTCGGTGATGACGTGGAGCTTAATGTAGGGAGAAATATTAATAAAATGGTGGTATGGCAGCTGCTGTGATAAGACAGAACCAGAGTCTCATAGTCCTGATGAGGTCACTTGATTTTCATCTCAGCCTCATGCCTCTACCACCATGGCACTATCGCCGCTCGCTTCAACCTCCACCACCTCGCACTGGCGCATGTGCATCAAGCTTCACTGCGTCGTGTCGGTCTGTTAGGAGAAGTGGCTTAAGCATGGGAATGCCCACTGTTTATTGCAATGGGCTCTGAAATTATACTAGACCTTTTTTTTTTCTTGATTGTAGGTCGAACTCTAATTTTAAAGAGCGGTGCCGAGAAAGGAAAATGAAACCAAGGACGGGGACCTATAGTATTTGAATAAATATTCAACATAGTTCCCGCGCAGCAGTCGATTGAAAGGGCTACGAAATTCGACTTAACTCTTGCTCCTATGCCACTATCTCTTGCAGAATTAGATGTATCACTTTGAAAGCTCAACTCTAATTTTTTGTAAACTTTGGGGGGGGGGGGGTTTAGAGTATATATGATTTTAGATATTTGAGTTCTGTAGAGCTCATAAGTCTTGGTGGAACATATTTTTAGTGAATGATGTTTTAGCTGATTTGCTGCTACTTTTTCAGGCTACATTAACGGTGAGCGTAAAAGATGGAGTGGGAGAGACACTTTATTTCAACTGAAGTGACTTGCTATTATTAATTTTTCAACTGTTTTTTTTTTTTTGTTCTTAATCCCCATTATAAACGGAACCTACCTTGACCTGGGCCTTATTTCTAAAAAGACAGTTGTGTGTAATCGTTTAATTTTCAAATGATGTGCTAACGCACGTTGGGATCTGCGCCAAAGGGTTTGGCTGTTTCAAGCTAACATTTTTCCTCCTACAAAACCTGCTACAAAAAGCCAAATGCAACTTCCATCACTGATGATGGGATGACGGGCATACCGTAGAATACCGCGCATCCGCCCATTTCACACTAAGTGCCCATACCCAAATTTGTAAGATCTGAGACGATATGCATAGTACATTTATGTGTAAAATTGATGACAAGCACCCGTCCCCCATTTTTTTGTGTTTATCTCTAAATTTTGAGTGGGGGCTTGCCCTGTATTTTGCAGTAGGTATGAAGAGAACCTGCAACGTTGCATTATAGTAGTACGGTGAAACCCGTTTAAAACGGACCCACGTACAGCGAATTATTGTCGATATCGAACTCACGGAAATTTTAAATAAAAATGCATGTAAAGAATACTTTGTGTAGCGAACAACATATTAGCTATATTGTACTCCCCCCCCCTTCCCCCGGGAAGGCTTCCAAAAACGCGCAAACAATCGTCTTCTAGCCTGTCCCTTCCCCCAAAAAAGAAGTAGGAAAGAAAGAAAATTCCAAAAGCTCAAGTTGCAAACAAGATTGAGCAAAGAGAACTGATTCAGAAGGGGGGGGGGGGCCAGAAAGCTAAAAAATACACTCTGCACGCACGCAAAGAAAAAATATTTTCATCCCAAAACGTATGTCCACGAAGAGAAGTGGTTCAAAAAAGGAAATAAGCTAAAAAAAAGAAAAAAAAATTCTGCACGCTTGCAAAAAAAAATATATTACAGCGCGTTTTTACTAGGCGGAAGTAAAGAGATGAGAAAAAAGAGAAGCTCTCGCTTTACAACGAACGCATCGTGGAAGTTTGTTGTAAATGGTTTTTGCTATATCGAACTACTTGCTATATCAAACTGTTCGTAGCGTTTCCTGCTGTTCGTTATAAACGGGTTTACTGTAGTCAGCCAAACAAGCTTCATCTTTGACTTTGGAATGATAATCACTAACAATAACAGCTGGCAGAGAAACATACCTCCTAAATAGTAGGCAATCTTAATTATGGAGCCCTCAAATTTAAAATACTTGCCTTACAAGAGGAACTGTTATTAAAAGTGCATGAGGAGCACAAGACATTCTTCAGTCTAAGTTCCAATTTATCTTTGGTTCAACAACCTCCACACAAAGCTGCAGAGTCACTGTGTTTATGTCTAGGCGCTAGACCTAATGGCATGACAGAGATTGCAATTCATGTGGCATGTGATTACCGTGCACATGCCAATTTGGAGTGTCATAAGCAGTGACATTAAGTTTGCAAGAGGCGACAGGCTGCACACAGCCGGTGGGCCTGAGTATGCCCAGATTTGCTTTAAAATTATGATATAGTACATAGGGGTAAGCATTTCAATGGAGTTCAGGGGCCCTAAACTCACCAAACAAAAAGTTGGAGCCGAAAGTTTGCGGCACATGCTGATTGGACGTCGGCGAAAAAAGCGCAAAGTCATCATCGTGATAGGCCAGTCGGTCTGCTCCGTCAACTTCGGCACCAACTTTGTGTTTGACGAGTTTAGAGGCCCTGGGGTGAGCTGAGCAGAGGTAAGTTCATTGAGGTGTTTACCTTGGATCACCTTGAGAACAATTTAGGTGCTATGTGCTGTACTGCTACAGATGCAAAAATGTAGCTCCCAAAGAGGGTCCCCATTCTTTCTTCCTGTGCTGGTCAAGATTCCTGTTTAGCTTGATGGGAATGAATATCTGGAATATGACATCAGCAAAAAGAAAGTGGCACAATTACAACCTGCACCTCCGAGAAGAGAAATTAAAGAAATGGTACAAGGCCTCTTGTACCATTGTTACATGGAGCCCCTCAGTTGGATTTCTATTTCCATAGCCTGCAGCAAAAACTTCAATTCCGTGTCGAAGCAGAGAGTTTATATTTTCTAGCGAGGGGTTGGGAGAAAGAAGGGGAATGGTCAGTAACATTGTTGGTGCAGTGTTACCTCACATAGGACGAGGCCCACATTGTGCACCAAAGAATGTTTGCAATTTTCAGGGAGCAATGGACCACAGCGCTTCTGCATAGAGAAAGTTGGCAAGGAGACCTGGCTTCCCCGAAGCCACACCTGCTTCAATCGACTTGACCTGCCGCCGTACAAGAGTTACGAGCAGCTGGTCGAGAAGCTCACCTATGCGATTGAGGAGACCGAAGGCTTTGCCCAAGAATGATGCCTACTGTGCCCCTAAGGTCGGCCTTCGGTACACAGTGAAAGGCTGTAGGACATCTCATGCTCCGCTAGGGAACCTGCGCAGAGCACTGATAGCATTCTGCCAAAGTTCCAGGTGACGAGTGTGTGTAAAATGGATGGCAGTGGAGCAGACATTAGTTTGAGCACTCAGCAAGGAAAGGCCAAGGCAACAAATGTTGCAGTCTGGTGTTGCAGTTATGAAAAACAAGCATGGCTTGCCAAATTGGATTGTGAATTCTTCATTCCTTTTTATCTCATTTGTTTGCCCTTCATTTATTCGGCTATGCAATGCCTGTGCAGGACATGGTACCGTGCCTATGACTTCAGCAGTGCGGTTTTTAGTGGTTTGACAAAACTGAATATTTTATTCTTCTGCCATTTGTTTGACATCTAAAGAATGAGACAAATCATTGTGGGGACATGCAAGAAAGCAAAAATAAGACGTAGGAAACAATTTAGGCTGGTCATAATGTGCCCCCGATGTCTAGCACTTTTCTCTTCTAAAAACCACAATCTTTCACTAAATTCAGCTGTACTAACTTTTTTTGTTTATGCTCTTCTTGGCTGATCAAACTGCAGAAGGAAGAATACATGTGTATTAGTCGGAATAGGCCAGAGTACAGGCAGCCGTCTCGATGCATACCCTCCACCACTGTCGATGATGGTAGCGGAGCATTCAAACTGCAACATGTAGAAGGAAAATCGAGTGTGGCTTTGAATGTGGCAACCTGTTGGAAGTGTAGTCCTTTTGTTCTATTTCAACACACCTTTTGTTTCTGCCAAGGGTTTGTTTGTACAACATAGCATACTATTTTGTGAAGGTTGTCGGTGGAGGTGGCATTGCGAGCATGCCAAAGTTCTTGGTAGAGTTCACCACAAGGTTAGGATGCGACTGTCACGGGTTGACTGCTGAGCTTTCTGATGTCTGTGCACACCAACTACAAAACATGATTGTGTGGGGGCTTAGTCTTGGATCTCGTATCCCATGCATGTGCAGAGTTCTAATGATGAATCAAGATTTGAAAGCACTGTTGGGAACACTGTTCGGCCATTGTTTCACGTTCAAGTCGAATGAGGACAGTGCGAGGGAAAAGTAGAAAACATCTTCCACTGCTTAGCTCAGGTTGGTGCAGATGCGGCAATGAGACTGTCTTCCATCTGTTCAAAACAACAAAAAAAGCCACATGTTACTTTCATTTGCTGGCTCTGTGTCAGCCTGTTGCTAATGCAAGGTATGTTAACGTAGCATGTTGGTAGCATATGCCAAGTGTTTGAAAATCACAAGCTGATTGCAATTGGGAATGGTACTATCGGGGAAAAATGAAATGCGAACAGAGGAGCGCGTGGCTCGCGGTACAGGCTGCGCCGCCTGGAAGTGAGCCTAGGGGCGAGGGTGCGTGGCCTACTCCGATGTGTTCACGCTCCTCGATTGGCGCTCCTCCAGCTTCGGCAGTGCGCCTCTTAGTGCGCTGAAAGCTATCACCGCTATCTTTGCTGGCTCAGCGCGTGCTGTGCAAAGAAGCTCGCCGCACTCGCCGAGCAGGCGAAGATAGCGGTGACAGCTTTCAGCGCACTGAGAGGCGCACTGCCGAAGCTGGGGGAGCGCCAATCGAGGGGCGTGAACACATCGAAGTAGGCCGCGCACCCTCGCCCCTAGGTTCACTTCTAGGCGGCGCAGCCTGTAGCGCGAGCCACGGGCTCCTCTGTTCGCATTTCATTTTCCCCGATAGTACATGATGCAGCGCAGAGGGTGATGCTGTGAGTGTGTCTGTGTTATTGTACATACATTGAACAGATTTTGTATTGGGCTAACGAAGGTCCCTTGCTCGTAGCAGGAAGGGAATTCGGTGGAGAAAGATGAAACATCAAGTAAATTCTGTAGGTGGTGTAAATACAATGTAAATGTTGTTTGTTTTTTTTTCTTTTTTTTTTGCGAAGTAGTACATTACTTACGCTCAACTTGGAAGTAGAGCTTGCATGGGACGATTGTCAGTGCATTTTGTCCATAGAGCAGTTTGAGTGGCTTTGCACCTTGTTTTGCAAGGCATAATGGAGCCTCTTTAGCTATATCGCAGAACTCCTGTGGCATTAAAGAGTGCATCACAGTGTGGTGTATGGGTTTATGGCCGAAGGGATCCGGACAAAATGGTCCCAGGCAACTGATCCCGACCAAAATGGTTCCAAGTGTGAACACCGACAGAGTGGTTCCAGTTGAATTTTGTATCATTATTTGCTTGCTCACAGGTGGTTTGACTGTTAAACATAGGGAAAGAAATTCTTGCAAAGTACACATCGCGACACTGTTAGCGCGAACACGACATCAACACATTTTCGCATTTTACTTCTAAATAGTATTAGCGAGCACGAAATTTTATCGCTTACATTATAGAACTAAATGAGCTCTTTCCGTAGCAATAATAACTTGTATGAGAATAGTTGGTGTCAAAGAGAAAAACTGGAAAAACCGGCAATCGCTTGTTCGCGCTAACAGTGTCGCACTCTGTAATTCTGTTACAAAACACTAGGCATTTTAAAGTTTTCTTAAAACATACAATAGCCGAAATAATAGCTTTAATATTGTATGTAAGCAGCACAAACCTTCCACCATCCATGCTGCTTTTTGTGTATTTGAGTTGTGAGGGAATTGAGTGTACACGAATTAATTTCTTAATGTATACACACTTTCACTTCTGATTGTGAGATCTTTACTGTAGTGGAGGTAAAGGGGGTTGAAGAATCTTAAGCATAATGCAATTAATCTGTTCGTCCAGGACTGAAGTTACCCAATCTTGGAGAATGTTAAATCTTGACATACAAACATGAACAAAATGACCTTGCACATTATCGGCTTTTGTGGTGGTGGTGGACTCTAATATCAGTTTTCGGTCAGGTCATCAGGTCAGGCACGTAGCCGGGGGGGGGGGGGGAGGGGGAAGGGGGGGGGGGGTAACGGCGGCGACAACCATTGAACCCGCCCCCCCCCCCCCGCCCCCCCGAAATTTTCCATTTTGCTGGGACTTCCTTTCCCCCTTCCCCCTCCTACAGCATTTCGTCATGGGCGGGCGCCCCCCGAAACAAAATCCTGGCTATGTGCCTGCATCAGGTACAACACTGTGTCGTACCCGACGATTGACTTCATAGATAACAGCCAGTGTAATGTCATTCTGAGAATGATCGTAGAAATGAAGACTTTTGGGCACAATGGCTCAGCACTTGGAAATTTTTTTAGAAAACATCACGAAATGCTTGAATGCAAGACAAAATACACTGAAGGCAGATTTAGTTAAAACTTCGTAGTAATGCGCGGTCCAGACCAACACGTATTCTGGATTCGTGTACTGAAACACGTATAGATGCCCACTTCTGGTTATGGCGTCAACGCTCCGTTTTTATGTGTTCCGGCACCAATATTTGGAATTCAAATATTTCGACTTTTACAGGTGCCCGTATTGTGACATAGGAGTGCGTTTAACATTTCACTGAACACAATAAAGAGTTGAATGTGTAAAATAAAATCATTTGGGACCATTTTGTCCAGGTTTGCAATGGACCATTTTATCCAGGACCATTGTGTCCTACACTCTCAGAAGTGTGCTTTGATTAGTTGGCATGCGCATATGGAGTTGAATGACTTTAGGCTTTGGGATATGGCATTCTTATTATGTACATTACATCTGCTCCAAGTAGGCAATTTCTACAGGCCAAAATGCTAAACCAGTTCAAAAGTCTGTACTTGCACAGTTATTTTCAAGTGTACCTAGGCTGTGGTTGTGAGCAGGCTGTCCTTTACCACTGTCGTCCACTGCAGCGCATACTTTGGTTGTATATATGTGCTTGTTTCAGAAATTTCCCCTCCAAAGTATTGCTTGCATCGAAGTACCTAGGCAGCAATGTGCATAGTGTGGTTTTCATGTTCCTCCTTTTCATGAAATCGAAGTGTGTTGGTTGGAAGATAAGTGCAGTGATGGATTTCATTGTTGAGTTGCCCTGCAGAAAAACCTCTGGCAGAAACAAAAGATCTGTATGTAATTATATCAATTGTTGCATAGCACCCAATACTAAATCTAAGATTTCCTGAAAGTCGTTGCCAGCACCCGATATTCCAAAGGTTAACATGCAAAGAGACTATGATATTCTATATATACATTCAAAATCAGTACTTCTTCCCGAGTTCCCTGTACATACATATGGATTAAAACTTGAATGAGAAACTGGCTGCATGATGTTTCTGTCTCAGTTTTGTAATTCACTAAAAATAAAAGCTTTCGGAGCGTTTGGGAGACTAGAGGGATCTTGGAACACAACGCTGATCGAATGGGCTTGGTTTCTGTTCTCAGTCGATAGTATATAGTAACATAACAGGCCAGCCACATAATTCATAAACTTGATCAAATATTTTTCAAGTGCACAATGTATAACTGAATATTCATTCCTGGCCACATTCTCTTGATTGAAGCTGGGTATGTACATTTGGTTGTACCTAAGTGACAGAACCAGAGTATTGCATTTTGTTTCCCTTTGCCATCAACTTGTTATTGGTCGGGAAGCAGTCGCATGCACAAAATGTTGAAAGAACTGCGGGGAAACTGCGTTCCGGAGCCTCAAGATTTGGGCGGACTATTTTTCGCTCTATGCATCCTCAAGAAGTCGAGCTGCTCATTGTTTTTGGTTTTGTCTCTTCAGTCGCACCATGCAATTCTAGTCATTTTCACCTAGCCTTGTTTTCGTTTGATTTCTAGAAAACCGTGTGGACAGTTAATTATTCTAGACAGTAAACTTGCATAGAAACACTCGACCCACTATTTGAAAATTGTTCGATTTGTATTCAATACAGTGCCACATTCAGTTTGTATTCGATGTGGTTTCAAAAATTTCTTTTCACACACCTCCAATAGTGTGAATAGCATATTTACATGTGCTGTTGTCAGTTTATTTACTACGCTTTGTGTGAGTAGTGCGAGCCTGATGCGTGCTGCGGTGCGCTCATTGAGGTGCTACTTCCACTAGGGAATACCCCTAGTAGCACACTTAATTGTGTTATGTCCTTAGGATATCGTAATGTTCTGGTGATGTCCTATGAACGTCCACAGGACATCCTGAGGACATTCACAGAACTATGTGAACAGCTTCTGAAGAAAAAAAAAGTTGGCAGTTTTTGTAATTTTAACATTGAGCAGGCATCAAGTATGCGAAGAATGTGAAAATATGCAGGCGAGCTGCTGAATTAGGTCCATCACGAAAAATTCAGAGACTGGGAAAAAATAAAATAATGGACAAAAACATGCACCCTCTCAAAACAGCGACTGGTTTTATTTCGTTCCTCACTTTTATACATTGGTCCACCCTCCTCGCGACATTGTATTGCACTAAAATTAGTGAAAGGTATCTACATGCATAGTTCTGCCAGAAAAAAAAAAAAAATAGTATTAAAAATGTTACTTCTGTGCCTTATTATCATAGGATTTCCGCGTCTAAATTCAACATAGCTCTCGTATTCAGCGCGCAGCATAAGCTAGAATATTTAACAGGTTTTTCTAGTGTTATTTGAGTGTCCCATGAAACATAGGAATCCTGTGGTTTCATATCAGGCAGAGCTTAAATGTTAGAATTTTGGAGCGTAAAAGGGTGGTGAAAAACAAGGCACGAACATCTGAGCTAGAAAAACATGTTTAAGAGTATGGGTGCAAACTAATTTGGGAAGAAACGAGTGTCATAAAAAGGAAGAATGCTATAGGTAAATCGTGAAGGATGCGACGCAGATTGCTAGTTATGGAAATTGTAAAAGTCTGCCGTTGTTATTGTTGAATTGAGATGAAAAGGGTTCTAAGGACCACTGCCACATGGTCACCCCGTGGCAGTGGGTTTCTTATTGTCTCCGTTGCCTTCTCTCAAAGAGGATGGAAATGCTCAAGGAGGAGGATGTCGCAAAGGGGGTGGCCGAATCTGTAAAAGTAACGACGTGAAATAAAATCAGTAGGGGCATTTCGAGACTGTTTTTGTTCATTGGTAACATATGGAACCAGGCCTGAACTGCATAAACCTGAAGATTTGGACAGTTCAGGGCATGGTTTGTGCAGGGGTGAAACCTATAATTGGATGCAAGTTGAGAATGTGCCAAATAAACACTACATACCAGCCATGGCATAGAAGCGCTCCACTAACCAACCAGGAAAGGCAGTAGTATGGTGCCTGGAGCGTGCGATTCCGACTGGTGTGTATAGCGTCCCATCCTGCCCCATACATCAAAAGTGGTCCTGAAGTGGCAACAAATGACGTCGCAGAAGCCGGAGTGTCATAATGCTGGCGAAAAGCATGACTGAACGCGAGTGTCGCTGTTGTCACGATGTACCAACCTTTGGCTGCTGAAGCTTCCTGTGCTGCCACACAGAAGAGCGACCTGCTGCGGACAGGCATCTGCCACATCTACCACCGCTGCTGGGACACCGCCAGGATGGCGACAGCCTGTCACTTCTATGACGTCACCAGGCGGAAATCGAGGGACCACTTTTGGATGCGGTAAACACACCAGTCGGATACGCGTTCCAAGCACCATGACAGTAGCCATGGCGAGTTCAATGACATGGGGGCTTGTGGAAGAGAAATAAGTGAGTAAAAAGTGTATATAGTCTGGACTCGGAAGGAGAAGAGCTAAAGGAAATTGTGGAGCTCTGCTTCTGTACTCAAAAAGCAAATCTAAAAAAAAAAAAAAAATGGAGTGTATGTTTATGCAGCCTAGAAGTTGGTCTGCCTCAACGGGCGACAAGTCTCCCAGCTGTAGACGAGAAATTTAGCCAGTGCAGTACAGCCGCTAGCCTGGGGTCTTGAATATGCATCACGCAGTAGTGATGTACGGCAGTCAACAAACTTAAACGAAATATGCGAACTGCGAACTATCTCCTGAAAGAGCTATCTTGTGACGCTTGATCAAATTTTATTTCCTGCTCATGATGAGAGACTGTTCCAATCTTGTCCTGAGCAGCCACAAAACTTGACTAAGACCGCCAAGATAGTGCTCCCATCATCCATGTAATAATGCACAGTTCCCATGTTCCGTACAAGTTTGGTGACCACTGTACAACCGCGTGCCAGTACAATGGTCATCCAGATCGAAACGGGCAGGGGTGGGATTGAATCCTGAGTTCTGTAGCACGAGCTTTCGCTCCACGTGCTCCGAGCTGGTGTGCACTAGCCCACTCGGCCACCAACCCCCCAGAAGCAAATCTTTGCCTTTCTGTGCTGTGGATGAATCTACAGTTAGTGACAGGTTAAGAGTCCACGGCTCCTCCCACCTCTTTTCACTTTAGCAGAATGAATGCATGCGCAAATGCAGCATTTGCTCTGCAAAGGTGGAAAGACGTGGGGGGAGCTCCCCCTGGACTCTTAACTTATCGCCGACTATAGTCTTCCAGCGCCGTGGGTCTGGTCGACGGAGGAAACCTGCGGAGGACTTTGTACCTGTGAGGACGGAGGACATGGCAATACCAAATCATGTGGCATTGGTGGAGCACCATCGGCACGTCTTTCTCTTTCCCTTTGGAAAGAAAAAGACGTTGGCGCACAAGGAACGCAAGGGATGTGCCCGTCACTTGATTCATGAACCTGCTCAAATAAAGGTGTTTTTTGAGCGTCCAGCCTGTCTTGTCCTTGTGGATAAGCAGTATGCACGTAGCACCGATCCTCACAAACTTCGGCACGACGTGCACCTCGGTAGCAGACTATCTGCACATGGCAGAGGAACACTACCTGGCAGTCAACTCGGTGGGTAGGAGCTTCTGGCGCATTCTTAAAGGGAAGCTCCGGCGGTTTTTTGAGCTACCTGAATTAAACAAATTTTCTAAATACTACGGCGTGTTCTTTTTTATCTCTAAATTCAAAATACATTTTGAGGAAACGTACATGAAGGTGATGCCAGGACCTGCATTCATATTTTCCCCCATTTCCCAGTGGAGGGGAGAGAGAGAAGGCGTTGTAATAGAGGTTGGGGGGGGAAAGGAGGGGGATGTCGCATGTTGAGCAGGCAATCCACATTATTTTGTGCATGTATATTTTTTGCTTGCGTGAGCCTAACCAGCAATAATTTCACACAAAACAAAGCGTGAGAGATAAGACGTGCAAAAGGAAGGGGAAAGGTAAATAAGAAAGACGTGCGAAAGGAAGAAGAAGAAAAACAAAACAAAACGAAAAGGGCACAGCAGCAGACGACAACCAGATGGGGAGGCGAAAGTCGGGAAGGGGTTTTGGGTTGAGAGCAGGTACGAAGGGGGCGACCTGGGGGACGGGGCAACACCCCCAGAATAAAATTAACGAAAAGAACGCAAAAACTGTTAAAACATAAGAAAAGAAAAGAAAAAAAAAAACATGAAGGGCAAAACGTTGGAAAACATTGTCGGGGAACAAAGCGGGAGCCGGGAACAACAACAAACATGTATCTGACGTCACGCTCTCAGTGTTGCTACGTAGTTTAGCCAGTTTAGCAGTGTTTCTTTATATGTTGAACCAATTTTGAGATAAATCAGTGTCTAACAAAACTTTTCCATCCCGCAAACCATAATAACTCTATGCCGCAAACAGTGCAAACCAGAATCTCGTTTAAAGGTTTTTTATGGGACGCAAAATTGTTTTATGACTATATAAAATACTTATTTTGATATCTTACTTGATGTTTAATGTCTTTATGTGGCAGCTTTTGTCTTTTTAATGACGTGGCAGCTTTCACGTCATGTTTCCGTAGTTTTCGTCAGACCAGCAGTGACCCCTACAACCGGAAAGTTTCTCGAAGAGCGAAACACCCTCTGGGCCACATCGTACGGCCGGAGCTGTTTTCTTTCGGGGCGCTGTATTGCCACGTAACACCGGTGCTACTGAACGTATGATATTTACCAGGTTTCGAGGTTGAATTGTCGGAGACGTCAAACTCATCATGCCCCTCAAGTTGGACGTGAAGAGGAAACTCCTCGCTCGGTCCGATCGCGTGAAGTGTGTCGATCTGCACCCGACGGAGCCATGGATGCTGGCAAGTCTCTACAACGGCAACGTTCATGTTTGGAACTGCGAAAGCCAGCAACTTGTCAAGACGTTCGAAGTCTGCGACTTGCCCGTAAGAGCTGCCAAGTTCGTACCACGTAAGAACTGGGTGATCACCGGCTCGGACGACATGCAAGTGAGAGTCTTCAACTACAACACCTTGGAGAGAGTGCACATGTTTGAAGCCCACTCCGACTACATTCGCTCCATCGTGGTCCATCCGACCCAGCCTTTCATCCTGACCTCGAGTGACGACATGTTGATAAAACTCTGGAACTGGGAAAAGCAGTGGGCCTGTACTCAGGTTTTCGAGGGTCACACCCATTATGTGATGCAGATTGTCATCAACCCTAAGGATAACAACACCTTTGCCAGCGCCTCTCTTGATCGGACGGTCAAGGTGTGGCAGCTGGGATCCGTGACCCCCAACTTCACGCTGGACGGCCACGAGAAGGGGGTGAACTGCGTGGACTACTACCACGGCGGGGACAAGCCCTACCTCATCTCAGGTGCAGATGACAGGCTCGTCAAGATATGGGACTACCAGAACAAGACATGCGTCCAGACGCTGGAGGGCCACGCGCAAAACATTACGGCGGTCTGCTTCCACCCGGAACTGCCCATCATCATGTCTGGCTCTGAGGACGGTACTGTTCGCATTTGGCATGCCAATACCTACCGGCTGGAGAGTACGCTCAACTATGGGCTTGAGAGGGTCTGGACAATCTGCTCGCTTCAGGGGTCCAACAACATGGCCCTGGGTTATGACGAGGGAAGCATCATCATCAAGCTAGGTCGCGAAGAGCCAGCCATGTCCATGGACAACTCTGGCAAGATTATCTGGGCCAAACACTCGGAGATCCAACAAGCCAACCTGAAGGCAATGACAGACACGGAAATAAAGGACGGCGAGAGACTTCCCTTGCAAGTGAAAGACATGGGAAGCTGCGAGATTTACCCGCAAACCATTTCTCATAATCCGAACGGGCGCTTTGTGGTTGTTTGTGGCGATGGAGAGTACATCATATACACAGCAATGGCACTCCGAAACAAAAGCTTTGGCTCAGCGCAAGAATTTGTCTGGGCACTAGACTCGTCAGAGTATGCAGTCAGAGAAAATGGCTCCACGGTAAAGATCTTCAAGAACTTCAAGGAGAGGAAGTCTTTCAAGCCAGATTTTGGTGCAGAAGGCATCTTTGGAGGCTTTATGCTGGGTGTAAGGTCTGTAAGCGGCCTTGCTTTCTATGACTGGGAATCACTGGAGCTTGTTCGACGCATTGACATTCAACCGAAGCATGTTTATTGGTCTGAGAATGGTGACCTTGTTAGTATTGCTACCGAGGACTCCTTCTACATCCTCAAATATGATCCGGATGCAGTTGCCAAGGCCCGCGAAGCGAAGGAGGGTGTTACAGAGGATGGCATTGAAGAGGCGTTTGATGTTCTTGGAGAGGTACAGGAATCAGTCAAGACTGGGCTCTGGGTCGGCGACTGCTTCATTTACACCAACAGTGTCAACCGCCTCAATTACTACGTCGGTGGTGAAATTGTGACCATTGCTCATCTGGACCGCACTATGTATGTCCTGGGCTACATCCCCAAGGAGAGCCGCCTGTTCCTGGGAGACAAAGAACTGAATGTTGTGTCCTACTCGCTGCTGCTCTCCGTCCTCGAGTACCAGACTGCGGTCATGCGTCGCGACTTTGAGATGGCAGACAAGGTCTTGCCCACCATTCCCAAGGAGCAGAGGACCCGCGTGGCCCACTTCCTTGAAAAGCAGGGCTTCAAGGCACAGGCACTTGCAGTCTCGACAGACCCCGAGCACCGATTTGAGCTCTGTCTCCAGCTGGGAGACACCAAGACAGCCCACCAGCTGGCCATGGAGGCTCAGAGCGAACAGAAGTGGAAGCAGCTGGCAGAACTGGCTCTGGCACGGGGCGACTTTGCCTTGGCCCAAGAGTGCCTGCACAACGCGCAGGACTTTGCTGGTCTTCTTCTGCTTGCCACCTCTGCCAGCAATGCAAGTATGATTGCCAAGCTAGCGACCAGTGCAGAAGCAATGGGAAAGAACAATGTGGCTTTCCTGGCCAAATTCCTGCTGGGCGATGCTGGAAAGGCCCTTGACGTACTGCTGGAGACCAAGCGGTACCCTGAGGCTGCCTTTTTTGCCAAGTGTTATGTTCCCAGCCAGACCTCGCGTGCTGTCAAGTTGTGGAAAGAAGAACTCGCCAAAATCAGCGAAAAGTCGGCCCAGGCACTGGCGGACCCGGAAGACTATGAAAACCTCTTTCCTGGCCTGCAGGAGTCCATCAAAGCCCAGGAGTTCCTCAAGAACCAGAGCCTGCCTGGGAAGGTGCCAGCTGCAGAGTTCCCAAATGCTGTGCCCAACCATGACCGGAATCCAATTGAAGAAATGAAGGCTGCTCTAGCAATGGGCACCTTCGTACCGACACCTCTTCCATTAGGAGGCTCAGCATCCCATCCCGAAGCGAAGCCACACACTGCCGCAGCAACAGCAGCTCCACCACGGGAGGATCCCAAGGGTAAAGACAATGATGAAGATGTGGACCTTGATCAGTTGGAGCGGGAGCTGGAGAGCGACATTGAGAATCTGGCATTGGACGAAAACATAGAAAATATTGACTACAAGCTGCCAGAGGACCTCCTCAGCGATGACTAATTTTTTTTTTTGCATGGACTCTGCAGCATTTTCGTTTTTTGTCTCCAAGCATGCATTCCGGGCATGGCCTTTCTTGTACTGTAAATTTGCACTGAAGTGTTGTATTCCAATAAATGTACCAAACACAAACACTACCTCAGTGTTGTATTTGTTTGGAGGAAAAGGGGCAGTACTAGCAGATATTCACTGAAAAGTGTGCTGAGGAAACTGTATGAAATAATTTTCCCATAGGTGGGCATACACCTCTTTGGTTCAGCATATCTCTTCCAAGGTGTAAATTGATACTTTGCTTTGTTGCAATGGTGAGAAGACAACTGTTGCAATGGTGAGAAGACAACTTCAAAGGAAGTGTCCATATTAGCCATTGTTATTTCAATTTCACGGAAAATGGTCTCGTTGGATGTATTTTTGTAGCGACTTTTTATGTGGTTGCATATGTCATGTGAATTAGTGCTGTTTAATATATTTTGTTTTTGAGAAGCTTACATAGCATGTCTTGTGACCTTGGTGCATTCGTCCCAATCCATTGTCTGGTCTCGAGTTTTGACAATGTCGAAGGTCACCAGTTTGCCTGTCTTTAACAACACCTTTGCCAGCGCCTCTCGATCGGACGGTCAAGGTGTGGCAGCTGGGATTCGTGACCCCCAACTTTACGCTGGATGGCCACGAGAAGGGGGTGAACTGCATGGTTCACACATGGTTCAGACAGAACCATGTCTGATTATTGAAGGTTTTTGTTGCCCACAGCAAATGCAGGTATTCTTGTTTGCAAAGTGGTCGTTATTTACTCTTTCGATTTTTTAAAATATATATTTAAATTGAAAAGCTAGTGCAGTGTGGTTGATGTTGCAGTTGAAGTTAGTGCATTGGTGAAGGTGAAGGCATTGGAAGGCATTAAATGAAGGTGAAGGCATTGGTGCATTGGTAGAGGTGAAGTGAGTGCATTGCGATTGATGAATTTTACTTCAATACATTGGGGATTTTTATACAATGTACTTTTTGCTTTATTTGAGGTATAGAAGTTGATGTCTTTTGACTTCCAAATACTTTACAAGTGTATTTTAACAAGTTAAGAATGTGCAGAAATATGCCATAATGCAAAAATCTTTTTCATGTGAAAAAATAAGTGTTTTTGTGTTGACTTTTGTATTTTTTAGAAAAGGTATGTTGGGGGGGGGGGGGGGGGGGGTGCTATGTTTTCTGAAAACATACCAAATTTCTTGAACATTCAGGTTCTAATTAGTTGAACTTTTGAGACCTCGAGCACTAATCGTTTAGCATAACCAATATTTAACCGCTTAATCACTTCCTTCGTTTACATTGTTAGCACTCTGGCCAAAGTTGTGCTGATAAAACCCATTAATAAATAAGTGCTATTATGTGGTGCAAAGTACCCACTGCATGACCTACTTCTAAAATGCAACAAAGGAAGCATTCAAACTTCATCTTGGCACATAACTCGTGTGTAAACGAATCCCATTCTTTAAAATGTTGGTCCAAGAAACCAAAATGGCTGTTGTTTCTTCCATTCACCAAGCAGTAATGTCTAGAAGTCCTGAAAGTACATTGTGTTGACAGTGGTATATGTAGTATTTTTTCAGAAGCATCTGCTTTACCATGCAAAGTAGATTATTTGGCTCCCAAGTATTGCATTTCTCAAATTCAGTCTACTAAATTTTCACCACAAAACATTACTCGTACAAATTCTCCCAAATAATATTCCATTTACACTAGAGATCAACACAAATGGGCAGAAAATTGTGTTTGACGACAACCGAGAGATATGGTGAAGATCACGCATGTGCAACAGTCTAAGGAAATGGAGTGCCTGCTCTATCCAGAAGCTGCTGGAGATACACAGAAGTCAGTCTCTCCACTCGGCTGAGGGAGAATGAGTACTCTAGAGACATATTGAAAGGGTAAGAAGAATTGGGTTGTGTGTGTGTTTATACAGCCTAGAACTTGGTCTGCCTCACAGGGGCGACGAGTCTCCCAGCTGTAGACGAGAAATTTAGCCAGTGCGGTACAGCCGCTAGCCTGGGGTCTTTAACGTGCGTCATGCAGTAGTGATACACGACCGCACGCCGGTACGATGCTCATCCAGATTGAAACGGGCAGGGGTGGGGCTCAAACCCAGGATCCCTGGGTTCTGCAGCGCGAGCTTTCGCTCCACGCGTGTCGAGCTGGGTGTGCGCTAGACCACTCGGCCACCGATCCCCCCTTATTGAAAGGGTACTCGTGTACTCCACTGCTAGCTGCAGGACTTCACCTGAAATCGGTGAAAAAAATTGATTTTTCTTTTTAAATCAAATAAATTAGATTTGATCAAATCAGAATAATTTTATTTAAATCATTGTAGCTAGAAAAAAAAAAAGCTATTCTTTTTCATTGTGTGCAATTTTAAGCATGGCAGATTGATTGATCAATCCATCTGAATATTTTTTACTGGTGTATAAACCCCACCATATTAGAAAAAAAGCAGCTTGATTTTTTAGCTTGTAAAAACGCTTTATTTTTTTTCGATTTCCTTGTAATAAGAGGTTACGTGTTTGTATTGTGTATTTTTTTTTTTCATTTCGCGTTCTGATTTGATTGCAATAGGACATTACGTAACTGACGAATGAAGTCTGAGGTAGAAAGCTCCACGCTCCGATATGCTCAGAAGAGCACCGCTTTTTGTTCATATTCAGCCTGCAATAAATCTTGCTGAATGATTCTTCGATGAAAATATGAAACAAATGTACCCATAGAAACCACAAAATGAAAAAAAAAGCGATCAACAAGTATTTTGGAGATTACTTTCGCAGGGAAGGTTCAATTTAAAGCACCACAGTAAACGGAGTGGGATTTAAATCACAACCGAAATCATCTTGATTTTTGTTCTCCACCTTGCCTCAAGTAATACATTCATTTCATCATGCCCTTTGCTTGCCTCCCCCCAGGGGCATTATCTCTTACCTAACAATTTGGTTCAATTGCCTCCATCAAATGTCAGCCAACAAAAAACAAATTCATGCTCTAGCCACCAGTGGACATTTTTTAATTGTAGTCAGAACAAAATGTGGCAGTCACAAATCCCAAAGCACCGAATTGAACAGTTGATAACAAGTGCTATGGCACTATTTTAGGAAGGTTGTTCTCCTTCATGAGGTGTCAATAAGGAAAACTATAAATGCCTACTAATGCACTCTTCAAGTTCCTTATAGCCTCCCCATGGACTCAATACTGTAGGGGGAGAGCATAAATTGCTGCTTCCTGTACAATTTAAGAGCACCAGATTCTAGCAGGCACTACCTTTCCAAGTCACAGAAGCCACGCATTGAAAGGGCATTGCAATTTTATTTTGTGCAGGACACCTGAATGAGCAAGGGTGGATGTAAAACTTGATAGCTTCAACCTCTGGATGAGCAGAGATGCGGTGGTGCTCGGTTAAAAAATGTCTGAATTGAATACAGCAAAGTCATTCATAGCCTCCCTATGCAAGGGTGGAACTAGGAATGATAAAACACAATTTGAGCGTAACTTTATCAACCACGCTTTGAATGCATCCTTAGTGATCAATAATTACTCTCACGCTCTTCAAATGCATAGGTTTGCCAACTTTATTTATTAAAACATTCCTTTGTAATTAGGAAAAACAAGTGTTTGCCAGACTCAGTGTGCCTACCACAAAAAGGCAGATTTTCAAACCAAAGAAACAAAGCCAAACAAAAACTAAACAGTTAATAATGCTTTTACTAACTTTTTTTAAGAAAGGATGCCGGCCATCGGTCTATCCCGCTCTGCTAGCCCAGTACAGGAACTCGGCAAAACATTTCCTTAAAGCGCCAACCCAGGGTCATCTGCCAGATGCACCCTAACGTCCCAAATTGCTGCAGCCAATGAGTCGCACAGGTAGCAACGTCTTTCCTTTATAAGGTTAGCATAGAAAAGGATGGCAGCACGGGTACCACACGCTCATCCTTTCACTTCTTTTTTCTTGTCCTTGGGCTCCTCCTTCTTGGCTGAACTGGACTCTTTCTTCTCTGCATCCCGGTTGGTGATTTTGTTGTTGATCAGATTGTGCAATGCCACTACCGAGCGCACCAGCGACGCCAGATACACCACCAGCATCTGGTCATTGGTCTTGATGTACAGCGACTTGACAAACTCCTGGAGCCCAACGTCGGGAAGCAGGTTGAAGATGTCCTGCAGCTGGTAGATGATGGTGTGGTTCACTGGCAGCTTGCCCACCACTACCTGTGCAGAGAGTACACCCAGTCACGGTTCACATGCTCATTTTGCTCTTTCAACCCAATCTGAATTGCAAGAGGTGAGCCACAACAATAACATTTTGCCCATTGTTCTACATCCGGCAGAATAACGAAGGACAATGTTTCCTTGCCCTCCCACGATGGCCTACCTGCTCGAGGTACTCTCGTATATGGTGCACCTGACCCTGAAGCCCCTTCAGTCCCATGAGCTGGTTGGTTATCCTCTGGGAGAGTGTGCCCAAAGTAGTGTCCTTGATATCCCTGTTAAACAAGAATTGAACAAGCGTCAGCCTGACAGTGTAATGCAGTTCCTGCTCTTCCTAATGAATGCACTTGGCAAGAAATGCACTTTGCCACACTCAAGGGAAGAGGAACTACAATCATGACCGCCTGGAAGGGGGCTTGAGCTACACGAAAACTCCTACAGCCAGAACACCCTTTACACTAGAACCCCGCCCACTGAAAAGCAAGGCGAAAGCCCAAGCATCCACCTGATCTCGCCACACCGTCGTGTCTGTCTGCACTATAAAGTCCGTCCACTATGGTCATCGTCGAGAGCAGGAAGCGGCTGCCCGATGAACCCTTGCACATTTTAATAAGGCTTGCCCAAAACTCGAGTCCGAGAGTATAACCCCTTTTCTCCAAGCTGAGCAAGGGGTGACCGCGCATAGTGCAGTCTGTTTGAAGGCCTAGCTTGTGCTGGCTTCAGAGTCTGGGTTCGTGTGTATGTCCATTCAGCAGACGCTCCGTTTTTATAGTGACGGTGACCATCGCAGAGGGACTTCAGTGTGCAGGGACACGGCGGTGGGGTGAGATCAGGTGTGTGCTTGGGCTCTTTCGCCGTGGTTTTTAATGGGTGGGACACAAACAAAGATCTTGAAATAAGGACTTAATGCCGATGGATGATTTCCTCCAGTGCCTAATATTTTGATGAGCCTTATACGAAAAGCATATTTTTCTGGCCATCAGGCAAATTTTCTTCCTTTTTTCCCTCGGAACATAGATCTAAGGTACTACACTGCCTTCTGGACTATAGTTCACACCTGGTGTATACTGTTCCAAGGGGAAAATCCTAAAATGTCCTTCAATGAGTCCACGAGTATGCTCTCCATATGTATCACATAGCGATTGCATCCTCCATTGTGCTCAATGCTACAGGCATCGCAACCATGGGTTCATGAAAGACTCCACCATCACTTGTTTATCTGTAGTAATGTTTTTTTTATCTTAAAGACCATTGACCAGTTCGCGCTTTCCACTTTTCCCTCGCTTCCTCCTCTCCCCCCTTCTACCCTGTCCACCGTTAGAGTTTACTAGAAGGAACGAGTGGGACGAGCTACAGGCTCCGCTCATGCTTTCAGTTGTATCTCAAAATGTGGAAAGCGATTAGGTGGAACCAAGCCACTTCGATCGCAGCACCTCCTTCGCTGCGATCAAGCAACGACACAGGTCAAGGTCATATTGTATTTTTTATGATTTTGACGTCAGAGGCAACGTCAAAGAATCACGACACGACGACGTCATCGCCGACAACGTTGCGCGACTCCAAGATGGTGTCGTAAGGCCGCCGTGACATTGCGTCGCGTCAAGGACGCCGCCGCTTGGCGAAAGTCAAATTTGGGGGTTTTACGTGCCAAACCAACGACAGGCATCTAGCACGCCCCAGCGGAGGACTGAGGATTAATTTGAACTACCTGGGGATCTTCTGACGTGCAACCGAAAGGTCGGTTACACGGCGCCTCCTCCTGCCATTTGGCGACATCGCGTCGCTGTTGTAACGCGGTCGTGACATGGCGTTGAGGACGACGCCGTTACGCGACAAAGTCGCCGTTGTGACGCGGCCGTGACATTGCGTCGCGTAGAGGACGCCGTTACGCGACATCAAGACGCCCTTTGTATTGTGGTCATGACGTCGCGCGCCACATTGAGGAGGATGTAAACGTGGTCGTCGATGCCGACGTTGACGTTGACGCCCTACGCAACGTCAAAATCGCTATGACATCACATTAAAGTCGTCCTGACGTCACCGTGAGCGTCAATGCCACGACGAAGCCTTGGCGGCGTGTAACGTCTTCGCCTTCGCCAGCATCAACGTCGATGCACAGTCACGACAAAGTCTTGACGTCGTTTAACGTCGTAGACAATGACGTCAACGTCGCGAAGCTGTCGGGACGTCGAGTGGCGTCATGTCGACAACGACGTCAACGAACCGGCACCAAGCGTCCTTATGATGTTGGATTGACAAGGACGCCGTCATCTTGACGTCCCGTGACGTTGTCGTCGTCGTCATCAACGTCGACATCGTCGTCAACGGAATATGACGTCAAAACGCAGTCTTGATGTCGGGTAATGCACGCTGTCAATGTCGATGACGACGTTGACGTCAAGGCGTTGTCCTGATGTCGCATGGCGTTGTGACGACAAGTCAGGTCGCGGTGACTTTATGCACGTGATGCCCCACGTCTAAGTTGTATAAAAAATATAGTCCGGCGTTCTATCGCTTCTATGACCTTGACCAGGGTGCCGGTCGAGCTTGGCATTGGAACAAACATGTTTTTCGGGCGCTACGAGCGAAGTGGTTTGGATTCGCCGCTTTTTTCCATATGCGAAAGTACCAAAAAAGCACTCCGGTGGCCCCACTCATTCTTTCTAGTACACTCTACCACCGTTGCCAGTTTCCTTCTCCCCCATGGTGAGGAGGATCTTCTGCCTTGCAGAATCTCAAGTCTGCTAGTCGGCCTTTAAGATGGAGGATATGGCATGATATACTATGATATGATATGATATATCTATTTTAGCTCTGGAAAGCCGCCGCACTGCGAGGATTGGGCGAGTTAGTTGTTCATATTTGTAATCTACAGGGCACAAGAACTATTCACACTCAACCAAACATTCACACCAGTTAAAATGAATCACTCACTCAGCGCCAACTATCAACTCAGTGTATTTCATCTTCTTCTTCTACACCTTTGCACATCAAGCACACTTCGTTATTTTCTCTTTGCTGTGAAGTAAAATAACACTTCCTTGGATAATGTTAAAGAGGGGCTCCTAACACACTTTTCGTCCAGCTTCACAATGTTCTAAACCTCAATAATTTCTTGCGTGAGCTGTTGAAAGTCTTTAATGATAACAGTGCAGTTACTTAAGTCTGCTGAGCATCCACAGTCCTGGCAATGGATGCCTAGATGTCCAGAATTTGTGTTTTTTATGCTGTTGCTGTGCTTTCTTAAAAAAAAGAACCTAGGAAAAAAATTTTTTCCTTTTTACCCGATTAGGACAGCCATGTTTAAAAATAAATGTGTGTAGAAAAAGAAAATTTTTTTTACAAATACAAATCTTTCAATTTGCGGATGAAACTGAAATTGTACTTCTGTGGGATGATGATGATAGCGTTCATACCGAACTATACTTCGTTTCAGCTCAAGTTCAGACACAGCCGATGCTACAAGTGCAAGCATGCGGCCCTGAACGTTGCTTGCACTGCACAGGCACGCATTCGTGGCAGGGACGCTGAAAGGCCGGACGTTTGGAGTCTACAAGATTCGACAATGTCTGAACAACTGCGGCATAAGTCTGCGAACGTAGTGTCCGTAGTGTAAACGAAACTCCGAGAGACAATAATCAAACGGTGAGACGACGACGCGGCTGTGACGCGGGAAACGGCTGGACAGCTCCCAAGAAGCACACTGCGCAGGTGTGTCATGCCGATTACGTGGACACCACCGAGCGCCGAGAGGAAACATTGCTGACGTAACCCATTGCGCTTGTCCAGAGAAGTAAAAGAAGCAAAAAGGGGCAATGGTGATGACGTTTAGCTCAATGTTGGCTATGCCCACGCCGTAGCCTCGACTGCCCTGTTAGTTGCGCCTCAATTCGCCTGCTCGCATCAGCCGATTTCGGCAACTTGGCGAGGTGCAAAATTTGCCGGACCGTTTATGAAACATTTAGATAGAACTATGTCGTAATATTTTATGTGTGGTCTTCCTAGGTGATAGTGAAAAGGACTGCATTGTTTTTTTTCAGAAACAAAGATGAAGCGGAGTTGCCCTTCAAAGGAATGTCGAGCATGTAGTTGCAGTAAGTGGATCCTCGCGACTATGTGAGGAGTTATTCTACACGACTCCTGTAAACTATGACATCATAGTGCACAGTGGTGGTCCCCCGGTTTTAGTTTGACAATGTTAGTTTTTCTCAGTAAATATGCAATTCTGCAGCAAAACAGATTTTTGGCAGTGTCTTAACACCCTAATCTTGCATTTCACATTAAAAAAAATTAATCATTTCTTTTAGGCTTAAGTGTCCCTTTAACAGCAATCAGCAAGGAACAATGCAGCTTACCGCAGCAAATGCTCTACTCCAACTTCTTCGGCTTCTTCAGCTCCAATTTCACTAGAGACGTGTTCAAAGGTTTTGGTTGTTGGTGTGCCATCCTGTCAGAAAACAGGAAAAGAGGATGCAAATTGAACTCAATTCAAGGCCTATGAAATCTTGGCTAAAATATATTGTAGCACCAATACTCACATCGTGCACTTCCTCAACGGCTATGTAAGCCTCTGTTGGCAGGCCAATAGAAAGTAGCTGAGCATCAATAATGACAAGCACCTGAAGGTAAAATTACAAGCAATACAACTAAATATTAGTTACATGCTTTTGCAAATACCATCGCAATAAGGCTACGGATAAAATTTTAAACCATCCAGAATATTTTTCTTAAGTATAAGATCAGAGCCTTGTGTGTTTGCTCCTTTATCTCTGTTCCAAAGACTTACAGAGGTGCTACAGTATCTTCGAACAAGCTCGTTGATGGGGATGTCGCTTGGATGAAGGTTAGGCCCAGTGTGGTACCAGCCAACAATGCGTTCCCGTGCTAGAAAAAACAAAGAGGACAGGATAAAACAGTTGCATAAATCCCGTGAACATTTTACAACACATCTGTAACAAGGAGAAAGCAGGCTCTCACCATTCACTTTCTTGAACATGGAATACATGTGTTCGAGGTAGTCATGGTCCAAAAACCATACACTCTTGTCTTTTTCATCTTCATCAAAAGGAACTGGCAGGAGACAAATGGTATGTTCATGTGTAAGATTTTATGCAGATTGATATGATACTCTTTTCTATGTTTGCACGGAATGAGTTTCAACAGCAAAGGGCACAAAGGAGCGTAGATGAACGATCAACAGTGAACGATGGTTAGAAACTAGCAAGAGCAGCAAAACATGTACCAGTGGTGAGATCCCAACCCACAACCTCTCGGCTAGGAAACTCTGTCATTCTCAGCTTTTATCCACCAAGGACGCCGCAAAATCACTAGCCAAACGTAAGGCAACTACAAACCTGTTAAATTGCTGCGAATAAAAGTACCGAGAGAGAGCCTCATCAGATATGACAAGCAAAGCACATTCCTTGCATACGGTCAAGATCGACTGCCAAAGCTATGTAATCCTGAGTCATGATTAATTTGAACGGTGAAAAGAAACCACGCAAAACAGTAGTTAACTAAATAACCAGCTGTCAGGCGCAAAAAAAAAAAAAAAAAAAGAAAGAAGAAGAAGAAGAAACTTTTTCACAAGTTGCTTTCAAACCCATGGGGTCTGAATTACTCGCCGAGATTGTGCGTTCGGGTCCGACCACAGGTGCTAGGCTCTCTTGCGCAAGAAAGCACAAACTGTTCGGTGCCGGCGAAAGCAGAAAGAGAAGATCGCCGAAATCATAGCGCTAAACTCGGCTACTACAACTGCATGTTTCTGTTCAGGGCACTAAGTGAATGATTATTGGTAACCTTGCAATGCATCACACAGTGCGTCGTCATTCAAGTAAACACAGCAACTAGCGGTACTGAGCACGCGATGACAATGCACTTTCGACTGTTCGTTCAGTGGCTCCTACAGCTTTACTAGTCAGTTGGCGAACTATTTGTTGCGATCATGACGCTACCACGAGGAAATGGAGGTGTCTAGTCGCCTCGTACTCACCAGCGAAGCTGTTCGATACGTCCAAGACACCTTTTTCTTTCCATGAGCCGAGAAGGATGCCGACAACTCTGTCCTGATGACCGATCTTTCCCATGCGATTGAAATGATCGACAACGCTAAGTAGCACCAGCGGATGCACGACAACCTTAGAAACTGCCAGATCTGTTCCAGTCATGTTCCTAAGCGTTAATTTCGGTTGAACGGAGTTACTGACAAGCACAAATTGCCTTTTCAGCCAGAGGAGCAGGGAAACTTTCTCGACGCCACCTGCATTCCTTCAAGCATCAGGACTGATCGTTCGTCAACTAAAGTTGGAATTGAACCCCTACGCAACTTCTAATGTACGTAGTCAAATTTTTATAATTGTAAACACAAAAATAAATGCACTGTATTTTAGATATTTTATATTAATTAAAGTTATTTTGGAAAAATATTTGTTTTTACTGGGAGCCATCGGGGTCATATGGCGCTACAACCCGGTCACAAATAATCAAATTATTTCCCTCATATATTTATTTAAAATAATTACCTCCATTAATTTGACAAAAAGTGAGAAAACTTCACATTTAATTCAAAATAAAAAAGCTAATGTTTAATGCATTTGATTGTTTATTTTAATATTTAATATTGCAATATTTTTCTAATAAAACAACTATTTGTATTTAAGTATTATAGAAGTTAAATATAATTACAATTTACTATTAACAACCATTCACATTATTACACTTAAACCATACCCTCTAGTCGGCACTAGTCTCGTTCTGAATCATTGAATTTGTTACATCCATGCACATATACATTTTCTACCCCACTTCTGCATCTCTCCAGTTCATACGTATACTCCGCGCATACTCTCGCAGTTTCTCGATTTTCATTCCGTCATTCGGACGTTTGTTGCCCCTTGTAGCTGTTCGTTGTGCCTTCGCATAGCGGACTTTTGGTCATCGTCGTGGTGATGATGGAGTGAAGTGTTTCCAACCGGTCCTGATGTTCGACTTCATTCTGACATTACCCTTTTTGGTTTCGATCGAGCTTAGCACTTCAAGGAGCCTGTCGTGTAAATGGAAGAAAGCTTCAAAGCAGTTTGAAGCTTTCGGTGTGGTATTCATGGAACTATGAACCTAGATTCGTTGTCTTTTGCTTTGTCTTATATTAGTTACTCTGTGGCCAGCTTGACAAAGAAGAACTTCAAGTCCAGTGTTCAGGAGATCTCTCGCGTAAGTAGACGCTCAAAATAGGTTTACGCCAGCGGCTGTCCTAGACGCTGCGTCGTTCTTGAAATGGCGGAACGAGGGACCGCCATTATCATTGACGTCATTTTACCTTGTCGATTTGGGCAGGTTAGAACGTGCTATTTAACTGAATACAAATGCCCCAGTAGTGTGGGTGGGCTGCCCGACACCTCGGTCTGTTATCGCAGTGGGAAGTGTTTTTCTGAACGGAGTTCTGGCTCTGGGGAGCTGTATGGAATGTCAGCCACATATCATTTCGGCACTAATTTGTGTGGTGCAAGACGCGACTACCTCATTGTCAGCGTTTTCGTTTGCCAAATATATTTTACACAGTGAGGCCGTATGTTCTGTAATTGGCCTGTGCTCCTTTATGATCCTCGGTACTTGATGAGCCAGAAAATAAAAAAAAAAAAAGGTTCTCCCGGAAACGAGAATATAATAATGTAGAGCATTTGAAGGTGCGTTCTTTAGGATCAGACTTCGTTCGGAAATTGGAGGCTGCACGACACCAGAAAGACCTGTGTGCCGCGATCGGGTGCCTAGTTGCAGTAACAAAATTGCGATCGCTCGCAATTAATTGTTCTAGAATCATTCAAATGAACGCAGTGTCTCGGAATTTTTTCGAGCACCCACAATGCTCAACTTGAGCGTGAATCTGGTAAACCTCTTGAACGACCCTCGAAGATAAGCTCATTTACGTGCTATATTTTCTAAAGCAAAAAGCTAAAGATTAAATAATGAACAATCACGTAGAGCAAAGCCGATTTCTCAGACTAAGCTCATAGTATTGACCCTTCATAGTATTGACCCTTCATAGTAATAAAACCCGAGACTCGGGAACACAGAACGTCTCAAACACAGCTGAAGGTTTGTCAGACACTCCTTGTCCTTCACTAAACTGACACCAACTCCACCATACACTGATGTGCCCCACTCTTGTTCACTGTGGTTGCTTCTGTTTCCCCAGATCAATGGTGGTATGAATGCAACATCATACAGCCTACCTAATGTAACCAAATGAAAAAATGACTTTCCACAATGGTTTTGCCATTCTGTTTGTGGTGCTTTTTATTTGAGGGTCAAAAGTGCTTTGTGATCGAGCAATAATTAATTGGAGACATTGTCTCCGGGCAGGCACGTAGCCAGGATTTTGTTTCGGGGGGGGGGGGGGGGGGGGGGGGGCACCCATAACAAAATGCTGTATGAGGGGGAGGGGGGAGAGGAGGTCGCAGCAAAATGGAAGATTTTTGGGGGGGGGGGGGGGGGGCCCATGGGTCTTTCCCCTGGCTACGTGCCTGTCTCTGGGATTACAAAGGGCCCATTCTGTTGAAGTGAGGGCCGTGGGAGTGTATGGAAGTATTTGCTGCTTTGTGAAGGCTTTATGGATGGGTGTGTTGACCCAATTTTGGATCTCGCTCTTTGGACATATGCAACATCCCAGGACTTTGCTGATGTGCAAATAACAGAAGGTTTCCTGGTGCTGCTAATGTCTATGTCCAAAGGGATGCATCCAAAGCTTACTGTTCACCCTTGCAGTTCTTTGTATGTGGAACGGTGTAATGCACCTTTTCTGAGAGAACTGGTGGCACCTGTCAGAAAGCTGGGTTCCAGGATTTCTTGGTGTCAGAGGAGAGGGAGGAGGCTTCTTTGTGCAAATTTGGGTGCAAAAGATCAGCCACATGGGCAGACAAGATTTTGGGAGAGCTCAGTGGAGCCAACAGGATCTAGCTTTTTTGCTCGAGGGGGCGACCTCATTTGCTTGTGCACACATGATCAACTTCATACAAAAAAACTCGCATACCAGCAATTAAAAAAAGGTGAATTGCCTGGTAGCATACAAAATTTGTTTTTGCCCATTTTCATGCAACTGTCGCAGCATTTTTGTGACATCTGTCTTGCTGCTTTGCGCAACATATTGTGCCAGTTGCGCAATAAAAATTGTAGGATTACGGTGACAGTTTACACCAGCTGCCCACATCATACTCTATTATATTGTTGTGGGAATCTTCTATGATCATTTAATGCAGCTTTAGGTGCTCTTAAACAAGGGAATGTTCGCATTAGCTCAATAAATTTACAGTTTATAGTATAAAGTTAAGTAGTTTTGGGTGGTGTTCTCTCAGAACTGGGAGAAATTGGGTTTCTAATTTGTTCCTTTTTGAGGTAGGGTTGCTATAATATGTGAGGAGTTCCTCTGAAGTTGTATATTGAAAACCATACTTTCCTTATTGCACAAGTAACAATATTATATATATATATATATATATATATATATATGTATATATATATATATATATATATATATATATATATATATATATATATATATATATATATATATATATATATATATATATATATATATAACTTGGTTTAGCGCACTGAAAAGAAATTTTTAATTTTTTTTTAACAGTTTGGTTGGGACACGCGTGTCAAAAAATTAATTTTACGCGAAAGAACATTTTTTTAGAGCAATATTGACGGCGCGAGACGCGATTTAGTCAGTAGTCACCTCCTGTCTGGCGCATTCACACTGGAAGCGGATCTGCGGTTGCGAACGCGGTTGTATAAAGGTCCAGTACAATTGCATGCGCACTGCATGTCATCGAATGCGCGTGCAATTGTACTGGATCTTTATACAACCGCGTTTGCAACGGCTTTGCGAACACGGATCTACTTCCAGTGTGAATACAGCCTTCCCCTTGTTTTCTCTCGGAATTTCAGTGCTGAGGAGAGGTGGGTTGGCTTTGCCTTCATGTTGAGGTGGAAAGACGGGACCATCTCAATGAGCGAATGACCATTCCGTGACGTCAAATCTCCGTCGTCAATATTCTAAAAAAAATTCGTCAAATTTATTTTTTGACACGCGTGTCCCAACCAGACTGTTAAAAAGAAAACATTTTCTTTTGAGGGGCCCTTTAAACCTTGGTGGATGTAACATGTGTGTGCTATGTAATTCCATTGAAATTCAAATCCTCTAAAATCTCCTTAGAATGTGTTTTAGGCAAAATCGTGTTTAACTAAAAAAAACATTGAATCTTTGCACAAATGTTAATGGAGGAATATTTTGTTTTGGTGCTGTCTTACTGCATCTCACTGTGAACTTGACACACTTAGGGATAAGGTAGCTTTGGCAGGTGCTTCTACTATACTATTTGGTCGCGAGTCAAAGGTTTGCAGAAGGCCCTTAACATAGATGAGCATGATTTGGCATCGTTTGTGGCATTTAGGGGGGCAATCTAAGTGATATGTCTATGCCACATATACCTCAGTTCGGCTTTGGAAGTTGGTGTTGGTGATTTTAGTGCGAACTAGTTTTTCATTGTTGCTCAAGGTACTTCAGAAGTGTGAAACAATTTTTGCAGTTGCTCAGGCATTTTTAAAGAGCCACTGAAAAGATAAAGATGTTTTTTTTTTTAAGTGGTTGGAAACATGCGTGTCAAAAAATAAATTTTATACGAAAAATAAACAACTTTTTAGAGCAATATTGACAGCGCAAGACGCAATTTAGTCAGTAGTCACTTCCTTTCCACTTCTGTTCTCTCGGCATTTCTGGCGCGTGGAGGAGAGGTGGATCGGCTTAGCCATCACGTTGTGATGGAGAGAGTGTATGACCATCTCTTTGAGGTGGAAAGAGTCTATGACCATATTGGGGCGACGTCATGGGCTTTGCGCGCAACTTTCTAAGTAAATCTCGCGCTGTCAATATTGCTAAAAAAAGAAATTGTGTAAAATTGTTGACTGTTTAAAAAGAATTTTTTTTTTTTTTTTTACTTTTTCTTTTTGTTTAGTGGACCTTTAAGGTGTTTCATACGTCGATATACTGTAAACGACTTATTTTTCTTGGGCTTCGTGGGGGTTCTAATATTTGCAACGGGGTGGGATCTCAATATAGGTTCCAATGAGTTTATAGTTTACCGGAATTGTTCGTGGGACCTATATTTTGCAAATTGTAGGCAATTAGCGAAATTTGCAAGAATTAGGCCTTTGCGAAAATTAAGTTGTTTACGGTATTAATTTCTAACTCATTCATTTGAAGCTAATTTTGTTGCAAACAAAGCAGAGTGTATGATGGAACTGATCTACAGCTCATTTTTACTAGATGATTGGCACATAACCTGGTGGGCAAGTACTACACTTCACTTTTTGTGGTTATTTTTCTCTGGCTAGCAGGCTAGATTGGATGACCCTGTGTGTGCTGAAAAGCAAGCCTACTTTGCACTTGCCTTCATTTTCTAAAGACCCAAAATTGTATTCAATTTTCAGGTGCTTCTGATTGTGATGACTGCATGGTGAGATCTAGCTAACCAAAGTGTTGCATCTGTCTTTGTTGCTGTTTTACTGTGTCATTTGTTGACTTCCTTTTTTTTTTCTGCACACGAATTGCACCGTTTACATTTCGTTGGAGGTAGTCACAGAATTTCAGAAAGCAAGTGTGGTTTATGTTGTATGTAACATCACATCTGCTGACTCCTCTTTCACAGCTCCTTGCCCTGCATGGGTTTGAAGCAGAACGACATCTGCTTCGTTGCCTTTTCTCCCACGTGGACTTCAGTGGTGATGGTAAAAGCAGCGGGAAGGACTTTCATCAGGTGATTCGAGGCATAATTTCACATTGCTAATTAACAAACTAGTATTTTTATTTTTATTATATTTTATTTTGACTCGCACAGTGAAGTGCTGATTGCAAAATAGTTTCTTGTGTTTATCCTTTTTGTTAACTTTTTTTGTAAAAGATGTACATTATTGTGTGCTTGCAAGCTGTCCAGATTAAAAGGCATACAAAGAAAAGTTGTCGCTTTTCTTTCGTTCGGTTTAATTTTGACGTGTCTGCTTTCGCAATGTTTCTGTGGTCTTGGACTCTGACTGAGCCAGAGGCACTTTGCAAGCCTCTCCATCTGATTTTGAGCTCTCATGCTTTAAATAAAATTCTGCAGTGTGTTAAAAAAGTCTGAAGAGCCAACACTCCGATTCCCACTACGGACTGAGCAGCCAACAATACATGAAGCGACCACCTCGCGTGTATCCCTGTGCTTGAAACGTTTTCTTTAGAAATAATAGATAGCCCCAGCAAGGCAAAAGGGTGCGAATACAATGTTTTTGGTTCCCGAAAGCCATATCAGATAGTGCGTGGGGTTTCGTGTTTAAGCGGGAATTTTTATATGTGTAATCGCCGACGTACACGCACACCAACGACCATCAAAGGGTTCACAAAGTCATGATGCACTTCCATGTTAATTTTCTTGTGTGCAATTAGAATGTTCCTGGCAATTAAATGTTTTTGTGTTGTTTTTTTTTCTAGACCCAGTATCTGATCCAAGAGTTTGCCTCTGTTCTGAGCAAGCCAAAATTTGTGTCCAGCATTTGCTTTGCCGTCGAAAACCCTCTTCATCATCAGAAGGTAATTAATTATATATTTCCGCTACTAATCATGTGCATTACATCTGGCATGTGCATACTTACTGCCATTTCTTATCTGGAAGACTGCTGGTCCAAGTTCAATTGCATCAACTGGAGACCAGAGTGTTGAACTCTGAATAATCTGCCTTGTATTTTTAGTCTTAAGGCCCGTTCACACTCTTGCAACCGAGTACGACCGAGAGAGACGAGACTTGTTAAAACCTCTTAAAATTTCTTGGGACAAGAGAACACTCTGGCGCCATCTATGCGGTGACCGTAGAACTGCATTTCACCAGAGCGAAGGTTTTGCGGTATTTCCGAGGTCAAATGTGCGTAATACCTATAAGAAAGGCTCGTTTATAACGTTGACAAAAGTTTTTCGAGCCAAGAAAGAAAGGATAATGTTTGAGAGAAATACAAAATATGCTCTACCGCCAAGTTTACACTGCTGCGCAATAGGTGGCGCCAGTGTATCCTCTCGTAAGAGGTTTCAGGGAACCCAGCTTTAAAGGGATACTTCAACGAAATTTGAAATATTCCTGTCGTGTTAAAAAATAGGTTGAATATGATCCACAATATCCGTAAATGACAATCGTATGTTTGTATTTTGAGCCTGGTGGCTGTATTTTTCGTTATAAACGGCCCACTCTGGCAAGCGCTCGGAGAAGGCCCAGCGGAGACCACGTGTAACCAACGCAATCGTGACATAGGTCGTCTCAGGACGAGCAAAGCTACGGCGAGGCTGACGTCGAGAGGATGGCCTAGTCGTTCCAGCCACCGAAGCGGCTGCTTTTGTACAAATTTTGAGTGACGGGTTAATCTTCTGTAATCTTGTAGGGGGACAATAGCGACTTCTGCGACACACAAAAGGCATTCTCGGGAAGAGGGGAGTTCCTCCTGCCCCTCTTCTCTCGTCGTGGCCGGAGGCAAGACAACCTCCGTCACTAGCTGTCAAGGGTCATAGACGGGCATTACAAGCGAGGCGTTAGCGACATCCACCAAGTGCTCTTTGCTAATCGTTTTAATTCGTTTTAAAATTGCTTTTCGTGACTTTTTTAACAAGATATTGGTATGTTCAATGTGATGCTGCTTTTTTGAACACATATAGACCAAAAAATGAGCGCCAAAATTTCGTTGTAGTATCCCTTTAAGAGGTCGCAATAGTGTGAATGGGCTTTTACCCACCACATGTGTGTCAGTTAGGGAGGTGTTGAGCAGTCTGCCTGTGCACTCGCATCCTGGGCAGTGCCTATTTGCTTTGTTCAGACTTTGTATGTAGAGTTCTGCTTTTTCTGGCGAGCCTGAAAAATGCTCACGGGCAGGAAGTTCTCTTTCGGAAACTCAAATTTGCATAGTTCTGCCTTGTCATATACGGAATGTGGCATTATTTGCATCATGCGATTCGAGACACTCTTTCTTTGGTTCTGTCTCTATTTTCATATGCTCGACAGATGTGTGTCAATAAGGAGAATGCAAGGTGACTATCTTGGTCGATCATTAACTATCTGGTTCTGAGAGCTGTTGTGTTGCAGACAGGGGTGCCTCTTGTTGATGCATTTAGTAATATTTTTGTGGCCTCGAAGAAAATTAATTTCCTTTGTGAAATTGGAACTCGGAGGCACATTCCTTCGAAGAAAGAGTGATGTGATCCCTAACCCGCAAATGAACTTGCACATAGAATTTTATTATTATTATTATTAGGAGATAAGGATAGTGTTATGAAATCAAACTTCTTCAAAATGGTGGATACTTGGGCTAGTTGGTGGTTGCTATACATAATTAAACAGCGCACAAGGAGAGGGACAGAAAAGGAAGACAGAACAGGCAAGCGCTGACTCGCAACTGACGATTTACTATGAAAAGGAGAAGGAAGAAAACTACACACATGAACATATATCGGAAAAGAGAAAGATGTGAAAAAGCTAATAAATTAAATAAAATTACACCTAAAATAATTATAGCTGAAAAGGAAAACAAAATAAAATGAAAATCAATCTCTCAAAGTCCTAGGCATGTCCTTTTCCTTTTCCTTTTCAGCTATAATTATTTTAGGTGTAATTTTATTTAATTTATTAGCTTTTTCACATCTTTCTCTTTTCCGATATATGTTCATGTGTGTAGTTTTCTTCCTTCTCCTTTTCATAGTAAATCGTCAGTTGCGAGTCAGCGCTTGCCTGTTCTGTCTTCCTTTTCTGTCCCTCTCCTTGTGCGCTGTTTAATTATGTCAAACTTCTTCAATGGCATGATGTTTTTTTCTTCCTACTCCCCAGTGAGGCACTAAGAAATAACCAAATTTATTTGCAAAGAAGCTGCAAAGCCAAACAAAAGTTCCGAGTTCATTTAAGTGAGAACTTGAGCAACCTACAGTTTTTCATATAAAATCAACTAAAAAAAAAAAAAAACTTTTTTTTTTTTTTTTTTTTTTTGAAAATGCACTTTACAAATGCCGAATCCAACTTTGTTTCTTTTTTTTTTATATAGGCTTGTGTATGTTTTAGAATGAAAGAATGATGAATACAATGAAACATTTTCAATGTTTCTTTGTATTCCATTTAAGGGTGACATGTTGAGGAGCTTTTTTTTAATATTTGGTTGAGCCAGAGCTTCTTTAACAAGAAAACATCACTTTTGCTTTGGCATAGTTAGGTTTGGTGCTGACTGCATCCATAGTGTTATAGTGTTTAAAGGCACCATGCTGCTCAACTTCTGTTCTTGCTTTTGCTCATTTTCTTTTCAGAGCCTGCGAGCAACTCCGTCACTCCTGCCTCAGATCAGTAGGGTCTTGAGGCTTAGCCGAGCGCACGAGGTTGTTCTGGGCACTTCTTTGTTACACTCGTCAAGTGGAGAACTGCGCCTTTGTGCCATCCAGTTTATTCGGCACAAGCTTCCGGACTTGATTCGCTCATACACCGACTCTGGTAGGTCTCAAATATCCAGACACTTGGGCAGCTCAGTAGTGGGTGGGTGGGTGGGTGGGTGGGTGGGTTGGTTGAGGGGGGGGGGGGGGGGGGGAGGAGGAGGTGGAGGGGAGGGAGGGAGGGAGGGAGGGAGGGAGGAGGAGGAGGATAGTTGGGATATTTCAACATTTACTTACATGTGCTTGGTAATAATTTTTTAGCTTGACTGTTGCTAAGATCTGGAGCCATGACCAGCAAGTAACAGAGCATCACCAGTATGTTAAAACACCTGAGACTAGGTGTGAAAAAACCTTGAAACAACCAAAAGTAGAAGAGAGGGGAAAGAAGTCAGTCAGACAACGGTCTCAAATTCTGCTAATAAGTTTATGCGGTAAACCTCTTATATACACCTTTGAAACCAAGGTTGTCACTAGCCAACAAAACAAACTAAAACAAAAAATCCTTTTCTCTTTCCTATCTTTTCTACAAACTTTGCAGCCACCTGTGTACACACTTCTGGCACACCATGACCTTGTGCGGTCATTCCATGTTCAAACAAGGCTCCCACTTCTTAGAACACCCAGCCTGGAACGACCTTGCTCGCCAAGCCTACCGAACTGATTTGTTATCTTCACACTGACACCTAACTTCCCCCAAAATTCTTGCACTGCTACACTCGACCAAGGTGAAGACCTTGGCTTCAAAAGGTGTTTTCAAGGTTTTTTCGCACCCAGTCTTGGGTGTTATAATGGTAAACTTACACCAGCTTGCCTGCACCCTCACTGTGTTAACACAGCATATTTGCATTTGCTGAGGTTGTTAATGGAACGGCAGGTCTGCACATCGTTGCTACCTTTGTGGTGGTGAATTTACAGTGTTGTTTCCCTTTGGTGTTCAGACACCTCATCGGGACAAGAAGGGGGCCTTCAGGACTGCACTCCAGAGGCTCTCCATCTCTTGTTGGTCGAACTGCTGAACAAAACCCCCGAGCACTACGGCATTAGCACGGAGCTGAAGGAAGCCTTCTTTGAGAATCTGAGGAAAGGTAGGGAAAGCTAGGAACCTTGTGGGGGAAAAAATTGACCGGATTTGAACGATAGTGGCTCTTGTTTGTAAGCATGCATTCTGTGGAGAAAGTGTACCTCACAGGACTGCCTCTTTGCAGACTTTCCCCAGGACCGGGTGCCAGTTGTACTAGCCCCACTTCTCTACAGCGAGGCTTCTGATGTGCTGATGGAGAAAGGGATGACCGAGCCATCCTCAAACATGTCCAAACCCGTGGGTGCACGCTTCTTTCGTTTCGACTGATTCTACATGCCACACATTTTCTCACGCTTCCTCTCTGGTATCCTTATCGCAGATGGAGCCCTCGCATGTTGAACTAATCAAAGAGGTGGGCTACGGCTTCACTGCAAGGTTTGTACGCTCAGTTTTTTGGTGGCTAGTTTGTCGGTTCAAGTTGCAAGAACTTTTGGCGAGTGGTGGTTGTAACCGTGTTCTGCCAAGGTTTAAAAAAAGAAAAAGAGAGAGAAATGCTTATTTTGCACTTATTCCTCACTAGCCTAAACCTGTGGTCAGTAAATGCCATTAAAACGTTTGGTTCTTGGTCCTTCTTGATGCTGACTGATAGCACCGTATTTGCAGCGTGGAGGAATGTCGCCAGGGGCTGATGGCTATGGGCCTTCGAGACCCCGGTCCGTGCATGGTGGCTCGGGTGCTGTGCATGATGGCCAACACTCACACGGGCCTCACGGAACCCCTCCAAGGTCTGGGATCCTCTGCGACGGGCTCGTCCAGTTGGGGCCCGGACAAGGACTCTGGCCACGCCTCGTGGAACATTGACATCTTCGTCCAGGCTCTCTACGACCTGGTGAGTGGCGGTACCGTTTCCAACCCCTTTTCCGCCGTCGTGCATCTAGTGCCACAGCTACCTGTTTTGAAACTGGCAGGTCCCGAGCTTGAACTGGAAGGATGTGGTGGGAGAACTGGACTTCCCAGGGTTCTTTGTGAAGGATCGGCAGGGCCTCAAGCTGCTGTGGCATGGCCTCTGTCGGGGCCTTGGTAACGAGCCGTTCCCCACGGACCGCCTGTACCGCGCTTGGCGCAACCCCGACTCACAGGTGGGGCCTTTTCTGCTCCTGAACTGTAGGACCCCAGAGGTGGCTGCGACACTGATTGGTATTGTTTCTTCTAGTTCTCCTTGTTCCATCACATCATAAAGAACTCGGACATAGTGTGCCTGACCGACTACAAGTACAGGCCCGTGTCCATGGAGATACTCAAAGCCCTCCCCGAAGACGACAACCGGGACGTTTCCAACTGGTGGGTCCTTTGAGGAAGCCTCCAGGCTTTCTTCGATAACCAATATTGTTAGGCGGTGCTCGGTCTGCTCGTCGGCAGCCATCTTCTTTGCGGTATCGAGAATTACATATGCTGTGTGTAGGAATAAGAGCAGCTTTCTTTGGTTATGTATTGGTGCTTTGACGTGCCAGATAGAAAATCCTCTTAAACCTTCTGCCCTTTGGTTGTCAAGTTTTAATTCCGAAAGTCTACTAAAAAAAATATCCGCAGTTTAGGTCACAGTTGTTCGCGGAGGCATGTTTGGGGATTTTTACAAAGATTGGATCGACGAATAATAAATAGCAGTTGGAATGTCGTTTTACCGACTTGCATATATATATCAATAAAAAAATATAGAAGCTCTCTTTTGAGTACTTTGAGATTGAGAATGGTTCAAAAATGCCACACACGACAATCGTCAAAACCCACCATCGGCATTTGCTCTTTTTTAGCATATTCAGAGGCTTAAAACTCGTAACCAGTGCAAATACCTTTAACGGAATGCATTCTGGGTGAAAGAAGGGTGTAAAAAAAATGTGATGCAGTTTTTGTACATAATAAAGGCACAAACTTTGCTTAATCTGGAAGGCAATGAAATGTTCTACACGTGGTATTATTTTAAAAACAATACTAAACCACGGCCGGACTGGAAGCGCGCGCTCTCTTTCTCTTCTTACGGCCTTTGCAATTGGGGCAATCTCCACCTCCCGCCGCAAGTCGCGGCGGGCGCTGTCACCTCACCCCTGGGCTACCCTTTGCCATTTGCATAGAGTGTGGCTTACAGTGTATCTCAGCGCTCTCGCAACTTGCGGCCGAGATCTTTATAGCCTTTGACACCTCATCCTTACGTTTAGACCCTCAGCCACTATCTAATGCGCTTCTGATGAGCCCAAAACGGTGAATATTTGACGCACATCTCAGAGAGATTCGGGAGTAAAAAGTTGTAAGTAGAGACAGCGAATGCGATTGCGGAAAAACTATACTCGTCTTTACCTCCAGGACTTCTGTTGCAACTTAAGAACAGGAGGAGACGGACCCCTTCTACGTGGAGGAACTTCAATGATAAATATTTCGTACAGTCTCGTGAAATGTAATAAGGTTCAGTCTATCTATTGCCGTGGTCTGCATCATCATTTCATAGGCCGCCCATGAAGTCGGTCAGCTGCTCTAGACAAGGGTGTAGTGGTCTATACAATTTTCGCACAGTACATATTACAGTCTAAAGTGCTTCTTCGAGGGCTTGTGCACATATCCAGCTGATTTTTCGTTTCTGTCCGTGATTGTCTTTGCATGGTCAATCAGAAGTATTCTGAGGAATTTGATGCAAATTAAACCAGCCAAGGACTTTGAGTGACTGTTGTCCATGCCCTCTGGGCAACTTAGGATTGGCGCGTCTTCAAGATAGGGTGCAATGAGTATTTGCAGAACTTCGTGCACAATTGTACGCGGAAGGTGCCTTAAAAAAAAAAAAGCCACAATGTTGTCCAGAAGTGCGAGGAACCTAGGATTTGGATAATGAAGTCCGCTTTTATCCTGGCCTTGCAATACGACGGACAGAGGATCACCTCTGTCACTCGTAGTCAACAGCATAACACAGGCGACGCACCTAAACTCACTAATGAGTTTCACCAGATAGCCACCGACGTACACGAGACCAGAGTATGTCACGAATGAAGCTGAAGTGCAAGGCTCTTTCAGTTTTTCCAGGTCAGTACAGAGGTTCCGTCCATGTCACAAGGGAACGCAGTTTGAAGACGATACTGCCTGTCGGTATAGAGTGACTTAAATCGGAGCGAGGTTCAATAAACCGTTGCCAAAACAACAACCTACGAAGCTCGAACACTAGCGCAAAGCAGCTCGAAGGGACTCTCCAAGTGGGGTGAGGTGGTTGCGCCTCTGGCGGCAAGCAAGTGAACCATATACGGAGAAAAAATGCCACTGACTCCCGGGCGATTGCAAAGGCCGTAAGAAGAGAAAGAGAGCACGTGCTTCCAGTCCGGCCGTGACTAAACATAGATAACTAAAAAAAAAAATCCGAAATTTAGGTTACAGTTGTTTGCGGAGGCATGTTTGGGTATCTTTACAAAGATTGGAGCGACGAATAATAAATTGTAGTTATAATGTTGTTTTACCTACTTGATATATATCACACTAAAAAGATATAGACGCTCTCTTTTGAATACTTTGAGATTGAGAGTGATTAAAAAATGCTACACACGACAATCGTCAAAACCTCGTCGTTCTTTCCCGCTTCGAGATTTTTTTTCTCAGAAACTAAACATGTCGGAACATTAAAACAAAAAAGGATTGTTCTTCTTAAAACATGCTCCACAAAATATAAAAATTTGAGGCAAAATAAAAAATATGACTGCACCTCGTTGCGTTAATCCAAATGAAACCGGCCATATATATATATATATGTATATATATAGAGATATAGATACATACTTACTAGACGCTGTCGTTTTCTTTTTGTTTTCCAGGAAGTCCTTAGACCTCATTGAGACGCTCCTGAACCTGACCGAAAAAGTCCACAGTTCGGTGCATGTTCATGACCTGTTCAAGTACCCTGTCCAGCACTGCCCCGACTTGTTGATGCTGGGCTTACTGCAGGCCTCGGTTAGTAGGCTGCCGTTCCGAGAGATGATCCACCCTCGAAAGATTGGCCCACTTCAGTGTTAGGCATGTTTTTGGGTCATGCAGAATGCCAAATGATAGCTCACTTCTAGCAGTAACACTGGCCAGCTGACCTCCGCATTAATGGGGCAGGATTTTTCACCAGTCGTACTGGTACGTTTGTCGCATTCATTGAGGCTTTTGATGGTGCTGTTGGGAACTACTTGAAGGACACGTTTGGCTGAGCATCAGTTTAATGGTAGACCTATCCGCGCAGTCCAAAAAATCGAGCAGCGGATTTAAAATGGCGTCTGATATTTCACTTGCTGTTATCAATTAAATTTATAAGGGAAATGACATTCGGTCGACGACTCTTTCTTATACCGATAGATAGGAACCTGCCGCGAGTTGTGTGAATAGACCATGAAGAAGCAGGCTTTCACGTTCCTTATGGGACTTTGCATCCCCGGCTTGGCGAATATGTTTGTTGCTTTTTGTTGTACTCTAAAAATTGTCCCACCCCTTATTTTCACCCAATTTATTCTCAGTTTAAGTGGGCCTTCCCGAATTATTATAGTACTATTGACCTCCTGCATATTTTGAATATGCTGGGGATGCTAAATATGCACCGTTTCGGCGTTCATCGCCCCTGCAGAAAGTGCAGTTACTGGGGCTGTCATGGAAGTGAGCTCTTGCATGTACTTTGAACTCGATCCACAATCCAGTAGATAAAGATACTAGCTCCCAGGAAGTGATTATTGGAATGGTCCATAGTGGTGTAGAGGAAGTTATACTTGGTTCAAATGCCTCATTTGATGTCTGCTGTGGATGATGGGACTATTGAGTGCCATGGTTCATTCAGCATAATCTGTGGCATTTATGAGACTAGGGTGTAGTTTACATTTTTTATATGCCTGCATATTGCCATCCACATATATATTCATTCAGTTTAGTTTTGCACATGCATAATGTCAAATGGCGCCTTCATACTGAAATTTTGCCTTTTTCAGGGACCCATGCAGGCATTTCGTCACGAGCTCTTGACCAACCTTGTGTTTTTGTTCTTGAGCAACCACCCCAACTCTGCCATTGTACTGCAAGCTGCCTGGAATGTTCAGGTACAATGGAGGGCCACCTTGTTCTCTCCCTTCAAAACACCAAGTTGGCTGGCCACTGTGTAATGAGGAAAATGTCAGTGTTTAGTAAGAACTAGGAACAGTAGAATCTCGATGATACGAATCTCGCGGGATCGCGGAAAGTATTTGTATAATCCGAAATTTGTATGAACAAAAAACAAGTCACATAAGTACATGAAAGCAAAGGGGGGCTACTTGCCATTTATTGGTCACATTTCCGGCCAAAGAAGTCAGTAATGTTCTTCTGAGTCTTCTTTTTTTTTTTTTCATTATCATCCAGGAGACAGTTTTGGAACCTGTAAAAACGTTCCGAAACTCCTTCGCCAAATCCTTGCATTTTCTTTTATGGTCCTTGTCCACTTTCCTCAGAGCTTCCGGCTTCTCTTTGAAGAACAGAAATTTTCTCTTGCGAGACATGTTAAATCAAGTCGGAACTCTCGCTGGACAGAAGAGGCAGGATCGGAATATCCTGCCGAAAGTTTGTTGATGAAAATCGCACGGAGTTCAACAGACGTGCACGTGCCCGTGCAAACAAGGGATGCTTGCTCGTTGGCGTTCACGTCATCAACGCCGATTCCGAATGTCGTTCTTCATGTTCACTCGAGTGACCGAGAGTTGCTAAAGCCCATTTATTACGTGACAATAAAAATAAAGCAACAACCCTGGAGTAGGTGAATGCGAGTTACTCCAGCAATCCGAATTCGAATCACGTGACAACACAGATAGTGCAGCAACGGTGGACGTGGGTATGTTTTCGAGTTTTGGAACGCAGCCGCGGTTATTATGATTACGGCGCGTATGTAGAAAGAACGGCAAGAAACAAAACGGAAAAATGGCGGCTACGGTTGTCGGAGCCGAGCGGTGCCTCCCTAAAAGAGGAGTAAACATTGTCGATCATTGTTCCTATGATCCACCGCGGCCCAATAAAGCATTTGAACTACCCCGAAACGTTTAAGGGACTTCGGCCGGGGGTTTTGAAAGTTCATATCATCCCGAAATTCGCATGAACCGTGATTGTATCATCGAGATTCTACTGAAATACCTGTAGAAAATGTTTACTTCATCTTGCTACAATATGGGAGCGTTGAAAGCATGCCAACTCTACTCCTTATCTCAATGTTTAGCTTGTCCTTTTGCTGCAAATTTTATCAAAAGAGGCTATAAGAGATGTTTCTGTGTTGCCCCGTTGTGTAACTAATTGAAGAAACTCGTTTGCTCGCAGAACCATGTGACCGTGGTGCGATCATTGATCATGCATGCTATGGCGGACTGGTATGTGCGTGGCGGAGAGTGCGAGCAAGGACGCCTCTCTCGGATCCTGGATGTGGCCCAGGACCTGAAGGCTCTGTCGATGCTGCTCAGCGGCAACTCGTTTCCCCTGGTCATTGACTTGGCCTGCCTGGCCTCTCGCCGGGAGTACCTCAAGCTCGACAAGTGGCTCACCGACAAGATTTATGAGCACAAGGTATTCCTCCCTGCGTCTTGCGGTCGACCGAGCACCACGTGGCTCACGGGAGTTTCCAGGCTTCATCCGCTGCACTGGAGCGTTTTGGGGGTGTTCCTGCAACTAATTCTGCGAGTTTTGGTGTTCATGGCGGTTTATTTTCATATTGAATTAACTGTGACTCACCGTGGAGGGGAAGGGGAAGAGAGTATTGTCAGGAGATTTGAAATTGGAGTTCAGACAGCGATGTAGTGCTTAAATGCTGTCTGTATGCTCTGCTTGTGTGACCTCTGATTGGTGCATTTATGCATTGCCACTACAACTTCAACCCAACGAATTTGAGAGGCTTAACTCGTGGGCTTAGATTTTCATCCTCATTTTCCCCAATCATTGTCTTCCCATCTTTCGATTGGGTTGCCGTATTGTAAGTAGTATTTTGCCTGCCAATCAAGTCCCGATTGCACCTCTTTCTGCAGGAGCCTTTCATTCAGCATTGTGTCAACTTCCTGAAGCGTCGCTGTCCCCAGATCTTGGGTGGCATTGTGAAGGAAGAAAACCTCCCAAAGAGTGCCCAGCTGCCGCCCGAGACTCTGGCCACTATGCTCTCTTGTCTCCAGCAGTATGCTGCGTGAGTGTCTCTTTTTCAGAACCGTTTTTGTTCCAGCTTCTGATGGGTACTTTTCGGAGGGGAATGTTTCACCACCGCTTCGTTTGGCAGGAATGTGAGCCAGGATCTGTCGGAGACAATTCTGACCATGGTGGGGAACTGCAGCATCCTGTTGAACAAGCCGCGACAACCACCGCCGGGCGTCGTCAAGACCCCCCGTGGCCTGGAGCCGGCATTCTCGTCTGCCAGCCTCAATCCACCTCAGGCTGCTGTGAGTGTTGCCCTCAGACTGCAGTTGTAGAGTTCTTTTGACAGACCACTGTTACTGTGTCTTCCTCACAGCAGCAGCAACAGCAGCAGATGGAGGTGTTGAACTCGCTGGGAAGTTCGATGGCGGGCCTGTCGCTGGGCAGTTCGGGTCCGACGGGACCCCTAGTGGGGCCTCCCGCCCCACTGGCGTCTGGGCCAGGAGGTGGCCCTCCACTGTTTGCGGGGGCCTTTGCCACTCCCGGCTCTCCTGCCAAGCTGTTTGCAGGACCCCCCGGCGCCGTAGGGGCTAGCACCACAGGGCCGCCGGCCCAGGGGGCCAACTTCTCGAGTGTGGTGCCCACCCTCGGCACTCAGCTCCAGGGGCAGTTTGGCTCTCAGCTGGGTAAGTGGGCTTTGAAAGGAACGCCTGCACCTACAAGAGCGAGCGGGTGTTCTGAAAATTGCCTCAAATAACTATTTGGCGCTGTCACTTGAGCTGTCAACCACCAAGCTGAGTTACTCCGGCCGTTTTTTGAGCTATCCACACAAATTTCATTTTCGGACTACCCGGACTTGCTCTTCACGGTATGCTATTTGTTTTCTCAAAATTTAAAATAGCAATTGAGAAAACCGTAAATGTAGATGATGCCGAAACCAGCATTCAAATTCCCGTGCGCGCTCTAGTGGTGCGAAGTCGGGAGTGGTACAGACACTTAGGTCTTGTAGGTAGTTTTAAACAGAGCATTTTGAGTGTTTTTTTGCATGCTTCTGAGTGAATCAGCTACCAAGCATTCTTTTCCCATCTTCACACGTCTTGTAATCAGTTGGGAACATGGTTTACTGCCCACTTTGTACCGTTCCTGTCATCACACTTCAATGTTGCTAGTAGGGTTTGAAAAATCCGGTGAAAACGAAATTTGAAAAGTCAATTTCGCGAAATGTTTTTCTTTTCCCGCAATACTTGGGCAACTGGTACAGCCGAGTCTATCGGTGTGTTCAGCCAATAATGAGGCAAATCGGCGACCATGAAGAAATTGCCGGAGTACCCCCCTTTAGGGGGGACATGGCCTGGGAAAGTCAACTTTTGAACCATTGCCTCAAATTGATTCAAACTTTCAGGGCGAATTGAATCCCATCAGGATTGTTGACTTCTAAAGTTTGTCTTGTAGGCCAATTCTACAACATACTATGCTTAACAAGCTTCAGAAAAAAGTTACTTTATTAGAATTTATATTTAAAAATAACAATTGCAATTCACAATATGTTTGGTTTAATGTGAAGTAGAATATTTATAGTGCAAGTAAAGGTAAAAATTAGTTGTATAAAATGCAATTCTAGAGAAAAACAATAACACCCAAAAAGAGCGGAAGATTTGAACAAACTTCTGTGTTTAAAAATATTCACTCGTTCCTCGGGAAAAAATAACTCGTTCCTCAGGAAATTTCAGTCCAGGACACCACTGAATGAAATCTTTACACTTTCGAAATGTCAAATGATACATTTCCTTATGCCACATTTTCTGCCAAAAAGTGAAACTGAGAAAAATGCATTTCAAGTTTCAACTTTAGGTTTCTTTGTTTTCTTTGAGTCCGATGTAGGCAAAATTCACCTCGAGCATTGTTAGCACCTTCCTCTTTGAGACTTTGTTGTTCCCAAGGTAACTTTTGTAGCAGGCATTCCAAGACAGATAAACTGGCAAGAACTAAGCGGCAAATCATACTAAGGAAGAACAGCAACGCAGGAATATGATCTGAAGTGGAAGATACTGTGAAAGGGTGTTACTGAAGATGGCACAATATCACGCCACCATAAGGACCAATCGTGAACTTGGTTTTGGGTCTCAACCAATAAGATTGCTTGAACCAAATTTTTTTTTAATTTGTTCCATTTATATATACTATAGTGTTCTCCTGGCCATTGATACTTTTAAACTTGGAAAGCTTCTGCGGGCTCAATCTAGAGTAAATGGCGCTGCTAATGAGGGTGAGATGTTCTGGCTATGCGAGCATGAAGCAGCGCTAAATAAAAAGCACAAAAAGACTTGCTCCCTGCTGATTTGGAGGGCTGCCGACATGTTGAAAATAATTTATTGCGAGATAAATCCTGCATGTTTATAAATGAAAGTTTTTGAAACCATTCTTTGGGGGAAGTTAACCATTAAAAAAAAGTGTGTTCCTTTGTTGCAAAGTATGCATATCACTTGTGGCTCACTTGTAACTTTGGTTCCCAGATGTGTCAAACATTCTGCCAGAAATGAACCAACCTGTGTCCAAGGAGATTGAAGACGAAGCAAATGGCTATTTCCAACGAATTTACAACCATCCACCTCACCCAACATTGTCTATTGCGGAAGTACTGGATATGCTCAAGCGCTTCCAGGAATCCCCGAACAAGTCTGAAAGGGTGGCTAAAACCTATATGTTTCTTGAGATTTTCCTTGTATTGGCTTTTCCACTTACGAATGTCTTCAGGTGTTGATACATTGTTTCTACTGCTCTCTTGCACTTATTTCTAGGATGTTTTCAACTGCATGATCAAGAACCTCTTTGAAGAGTACCGGTTCTTTCCACAATATCCGGAGAAAGAATTGATCATAACAGCCCAACTCTTCGGCGGAATTATTGAACAGAGCCTTGTAACGTGAGTTGCACTTTTTTCGTGGGGTTAACTGCCATTTCAAAGCCGTCATTGTGTGACCCCCCATTTCTAATTCTGCCTTCTTCACTGTTCAGGTACATGGCCCTTGGTTTGGCTTTACGATATGTGCTTGACGCATTGCGGAAGCCATACGGCACCAAGATGTACTACTTCGGCATTACTGCTTTGGACAGGTTCAAAAGCCGGTACATATTGATTTTTCTAGTTCCTTGGGAATTTGTTTTGACCAACGTATCATAGACTGTCATTCAATGAAACTTTACGGAGCCACAAATTTTGTTTGAATTATCAGAAATTCATATAAATATGATGCAAGATAAAATTATTATTTGCCATATGAATGGCTTCACATACAAAGCAGATATTTGATGATTTCCTCTACATAGGCCTACTGATCAAAAGCAGGAATACCACTCGTGAAACATTTGTGAAATGTATGACACAAGTTTATTTCTCTCTCAAAAATGTTGTATATTATGGACAACTCAAAGCAAAATTAAGTTTGTTTGTCAGTCCAAAAAGTTGTCTAATGTGGACTTGAAGCCGGAGGCACATGAGTAATGGAAAGGGGTGCTGCGTGGCAGTTTTCATCACAAAACTTGCGCGGATGTCGTGACGTGAACCAACGCTATGCCGCCACGTCACAGAGTCCGCGCAAGTTGCTATGGAAATTTCCGCATTGTGCCCGTTTTCATAGCTCTTGTGTGCGCTGCTTGAGCCCCGTTGAGTGCGTTTCTCACCGAGCACTGGTGCACTGTGGGTGTTGCAATGCACCGGTGCTCGCTCTGTGGGTGTTGCCTCTCTGCAATGCACCGGTGCTCGGAAAAAAAGCGCACTCAATGGGACCACGAGAACAAGAAGTAGGAATTACACATATTTTCCGGACTGTAGTCCGCAAGCAGTGTATAGTCCGCAAAGGCAACTTTGGGGTCAAAAATAAAAGTTTTTGCTTAGATAGTCAGATCCCGGTGCATAGTCCGCACCTGGTGCTTAGTCGACACGAAAATCTTCTCATTGATGGCACACCTTGAGGGATATCTGCTTTCTTAGCTCAGAAGCAAGCTTGTATTATATATAAATCATCATTAACACTCTTTCATTCACAAAATCTGTCTCTTCTCGTCATAATCAAGGATGTTGAAGAACAAATTCCTGTATTGTCTGCACGCGTAGATAGTCGCCACAGTCTAGAATTCCAACTTTTAAACGTGTATGGTCCGCGGAATATAGCCCGGAAACTACGGTAAGCGGCTTATGCTTCCATTAAAAATATAGCGGGATAACCAAAATTTTGAAATTTGTTTTAATTAACCAGAAGTATGAAATATCAGTTTGAATTATCACGAGCCTACTACTGTATTTGCATAGTGGGCATAAATGCTTACAAAGCTAGGTGCTGTACATGACTTAAACAATGTAGTTATCTGACCAAATAAAGTGAAAGCTATATACAATTTTCTTCATTATCAAATTTGTCAGTTTTATAATGAGAAATCAATAATTAGCAGTCTTGTATGGAAAACATGGATGGTCTCCTTTAATGTTACTTGTAAACCACTTTTTTTTATCATGTCCACAATAATAAAAATACTAATATAATAATTAAGAGCACCAGTTGGGTAGGAGTTAATTTAGTCTCGTAGATCATCAAATGTGCGTGCCAAACCATCTATCGTAAGCAATGTTCACAAGACGATGCTGCACTTTTTCAAAACTTAGAGGACAGAGTCCCTGGACTGGTTCCACACTACTGAGTAGTTTCAATAACACGGGAACATGAAATAAATTAATCGTGCATCTACTCTCAATAAAGGGGGGGAGGGGTCTTCACCTTTCCTTAATTTTCTTGGCTCTGCCACAGGTTGCATCTTTGCTGAAATAAATAGCGGCAAGGGCTGCTTTAATACATTCTATGTTCTTTGTGGTCTAGGTTGAAGGACTACCCACAGTATTGCCAGCACTTGGCTTCCATCGCCCACTTCAAGGACTTTCCTGAACATTTGAAAGAGGTGAGATTGTCTTTGTTGGCATTACCGTCTTTCAAATAAACAGTTTGTCTTTCCGAGTCCACCAAGCAGCTTCCAAAAGCTACACACTGCCGGGGAAAAGCGGCGCTTGCCTAGGGACAACAGGAGATACCCGAGAGACTGGCATTATCACCAAGGGTGCTCCTTTTTGTTCCAGTATGTGGACTGCGGGGCACGTTCACAAGAGCCCCTTAACCGACCCCAGGGTCAGACCCTGCCCCACAATCTGGCGATGTTGGCCCAGGGCCTGAACCCGGCAACCACGACAGCAGGGGTGACTGTCCGTCCACAGCCGGCTCCGGCCTCTGCGCCCTCTTCGGGTACAGGCCTGTCTGCAACCGCTGGAGGTGTCGCCAAGCCCACTGCGGTAGGCGCCAAGGTCAGCAGGGCTCTTTTCTGTGCATCAACCTCGGAGGGGTGTTTACGATTGGTTCTTGTTACTCCGACATTCCCACTTTATAGATGTACGAGGCGACAACTCTTCTGTGCATATGACTTTTTTTTTTAATAAGATCGTTCATATACTTGACAAGTCCTTGCTTTTGTGGGAATGGTTCCAGGAAAAGTCTGCATCTTGTTTTCATTGATACTGCTTCCTGTGAAACGAACCTACCAGAGGCACACAACTCGTGTTTAGGTCGGAAGTTGTTGGGATCCGAATGTATTTAAGTGCAATTTCTGATTCCCTTTGTCAACAAAGAGTGAACAGGATGTGCGACTGTTTTATCCAGGCTCCAAAGTAGGTTGCCAACCCTTGGGAAAACTGTGTAGCCGAGAGTGCAAGGAGGATGATAGGCTGGATTGTATAGACACTACCTGGGTTCAGATTGCAGTATGAATCACCAGTGTGTTACAACATATCTCGGACAAAACAGAACGTCAGAGTGTCTTTGGGTGAAGGTGGATGGGGGGGGGGGGGAGGAAGTGATGGTGGATGAGGAAGAGGGGGAATGCGATGGGCGCATGCAAAAGAGCGCCGCTGTATTGGGCGGCAGCCTGTGCCCCCTTGCCGACAGTGCTGGCAGTGGTGAAAGGCATGCACATTGCATACCTCTGCAGCTCTCAGCTAGGTGGCACGAGCTGCCGTCCGATGCATCATTCGCACGTGCTCTCTCTCCAATTTTTTTTTTTTTCTTTCCTATTATCATTTTGTTGACAGGCACCATTGTTTGTGGTGGTAAAATGAACTTGTGAAGCATGCGAGCTCATTATTAAATTGACTTTAAAAACCAACTATGGCAAGTGTTCAAATTCCTAGAACAGATTTTAAAAATTTAGCATGCTCATTAAAGCACAATAGACTTAGACAGTAAATCAGATTTCTTGGTAACTTGCTTGAAGCAGTCCTTTGTTACCCATATTTTTATCATCTGTTGTTCATTGCGATCGCAAAATAATTAAGTTGCTTAATCTCACGTTGGGCATATGGCAAGTTAATGGCAAATCCTACTAGTAATCTACCAATATTTTACCCTCAGTTTTCTTCTTTTTTTTTTCTTTTTGAGTGTGAATGGGCTATTTTGAGCAGTGGGCATTCATTTGGTCCTTTTGTGGTGTAGTAGATTAGTGGTTCTTTCACTGAACTTCTGTCGGTTGTTTGATCTAGCATTTGATTTCTCAGAACATGCGGTACTGTTTAGATGGAGTAAATTATGATTAAGTGTAGAATTGCTATATAGGGTTGGAACAATTTTTTTACATGTAGACCTTGTTTCTTTATCGCCCTGAAGGAAACCTTTGTGTGGTGGACCAAATTAAAATCAGTTATGACAATATAGTATACATAAGCACTAACAGGGAGTGTTGTGTATCTTGTATATCTAGTGGAGGCTTGGAAAATGTTTTGTGCTGTGATGTTGCAAATTGAATCTACTGTGGGCATAGTCAGACTATTCGTGCTATTTTAGATTTTATTTTGTAGTTGAGTCAAGTTCAGGAGTGTCATGAGGCAAGAGAACAAAGTTCAGGAGTTATGAAATGAATGTTTCGGGATAACTGTAAAGTTTTCTGCAGACAAGTGTTAATGAGGTTACCACTTGAATAAGTTTGTATTAAAATGGTGTTGAGGTATCACTGACCAGTGACCTTTGTGTATCTTTAACATGTGGCACACGTTCCATCTGATGATTTAGGTTAATTCGAAAAGTTTATTTGGGGGGGGGGGGGGGGGGTGGCGGGGCGGCAAGGCTATTAGCTTTATTCTTATCACGAGTAGTGATCGGCCATCCCTGTAAAGGCGGGCACTAAGCTTCATGCGTAGAACAAGCAGCTATCAACCACCCTTGTAAGGCTGGGTGGTAATGCTGCATTTTAACCTTCCTGGCATTTTAGAACTAAATGTGCAAAATCATCTATCACCTTCTGCATAACCCACCTTTTTTTCTTTCACGGTTACATGTCCTAGCTGTCTCTTTCTTGCACTCTAAGCATGCCTGCTTTGCTGAATTTCTTGGCACACATTTCATTCTTTTACTGTTGACACTCCATTAGTGCTCTGCTCCCTCCTTACCTGTGCTGTTGCTTTTACGGCCCTTTGCTGTCACGCTTTTTTTCCTTTCCCTGCGAAGTTTGTTGTGATGTTTCCCTGTCTAATCTGTATCAGGCATTTCTGGGCACGATTATTGCATGAAAACAAAAGGCAGGGAGGGTGCTGGATGGCTGGCTGTACGGTGGAAGGGGGATCGTCATGCCCAGAGGAATGCTACTCATCAGCCTGCTCTGCTTGGCACTTGGTGACTGGTTGTGAGTGAGAGTGCTGGGTACCAGCAGGTTGCATGCCTGCTGGACTTGTCGGGAGTATCCATATGTCACGATTCTCTGCAGTCCTGCTCCCGGCCATTGTTGTGTGCTCTGTGTCTGCATGTAATAATATGATTGCTTATTTCTGCTTGTTCTTGCTGGCGGTCTTGTGGTGTTCTCATGCTTTTGTGTTGGTGTGCATATTGACAGTCCTTAGATGCCTCTTGTCTGGAATCTTTGTCACGCTAGGGGAGGGCTTTTCCAAAGACTGAGAATTCTTCCAAGTCGCCACAAGCTTTTCCATTTTTTAATGGAAAAGACAACCATAAGTATGCTTTCGGCGTTAGAGGAAAACCAGTCATATTGGTTGAAGAGCCTACAAGGAGGACTAACAAAACGTCTAAACTCGCCGAGCGTTAAAAAAAAACCCGGCTTTTTTTACTATTTCAAGAGGCAGTGTTCATAGCTCGCAATATGCCAGCATGATCAGAAGTGCATCTGAGGCTAGTGACGGGCACTCGACGCCACTGCTGCCTATAGACGGCAGGGCTTTGCAAGCTGAGCGTATGCAGACATCGGGACTGGAGACGTCGTCTATCGCATCAATCTAACTATTAACTGTATCCAAATAACTTTTTGTCGAAATGTGCAAGTAATATTGGTTTGAAGTGTTCTAGACAATCCTTTAAAAAAAAGTATTGGAAAGGGTTTTCTTCAAAACTATTTGTGTCCTCGAAAGTTTCTCCTTCTCCCAACGTCCAATCTGTGACTCTTGTTGCTGAAAAATTTACTAGGGTGAAAAATGGTGGAGTTCCCAGACCAGAGGCATTTAAGTACCTTTATATTGCCAGGCATGCGCATGGGCAACTCTACGAAGATGCCTCATCTCGAGAAACTTAGTAGCCGTAACAGGCAAGACATGCTTGCTTGGAATGCCTGTAATTAGCTTGAAGGTCGCCGACTTGCCAACAGTAAAGTTAATTTGGAATTGGGAGTGACCCCGTGCATGAGACAAGCATGGTCATATGCATAAAACTCGTGAGGCAAGTACGATCAGATGCTAGCCCTATACACCGGCAGCCATTCTTGTTTGCAGTAAGTGATGATTGCGTGGACAGCGTACGCATTGCCACGTATGTAACTATATGGCCAATTAGAAGTTTACAACTTAAGTACCTGACCCTGCAAACAATAGTAGTGGGAGGCATTGTAAATGTAATTGAAGCCCAGAACACATTGTCTCTGTAAAGTGCATTTGAATTAAGAAGGCATATGGCATCATCCTCTCGTGTTGGTGGCATCTTCGTGAGTTTTAATGAAAAAGGCTAGCCATGAGGATAATGGCAGAATCTGGTAATTCTGGAACCCCGAGCGCTTCACGTTTGTTGATGCTGCTCAGCGGACTTGTAATCCACTCGGCTCGACGACGAGCAGCCAGTAGTTGGATTGGCTGGTCGTCATGCTTATGTGCATAAGTTATCCCAATGACTTGCTTGTTTTCCAACCATACCCATGGCGCCGCTAACCATACGCAACGCCTGCTGCGACTTTCATGGTAGTCGAAGACGATTTTTCTTCCTGTGGTGCAGCACTTCAAGCTGCAGGAATGCACTCCATACCCCGGTGAATCATATAAGGAAGCTGCAGCTAACCAGTGCCTGCCGCCACAGTCCTACATAAAGGGGATTGTGCGCGATTTCTACTTGAATCAGCTTTCACGGAAAGAGAAGATGGTTAGTGATCATCATGTGGGGCGTGCCGTCACTAGCTTTTCGTCGCCACTCGTAGTGGTGTGTGAGGTGTCTAATAGAATTCTCTTGAGGTTGCCATTGTTTCTAACCACTTGACTACATGTGCACACAGCCCTCCATAGCAAATCCAACAAATATAGACACTCTGCTGGGAGCCACGGAGAAGGACGACAAATTAGTGATTCCCCCAGAGAGTGTCCAGGACAGAGTGTCGTTCATCATCAACAACCTGTCGCAGATGAATCTCCCTCAAAAGGTACCAATTACTTAAGCTTGCTAGTTTTTGTAGTTCTGCTCGTTCGAAGTGTGAACTGGGCAGGAAACACTGTCTGATATGAATAGTTGCAGATCTTGCGTTTGTAAATATGAAAATGATTCCATATCCAGTTTGACGCTGACAGTACCCGTGACGACCTGTGCATTTGGGTTGAGACCTTGCCCTACATCAAGGTTCTATTGTCAATTTGTTTTTCAATCTAGACAGAAGAGTTCAAAGAGGTGGTGAAGGAAGAGTACTGGCCCTGGTTTGCTCAGTACTTGGTTATGAAACGGGCTTCCATCGAGCCCAACTTTCACACGCTGTATGCAAACTTCTTGGACACTGTGAAGGTTCCAGAACTCTCCAGGCTAGTTATCCGGGAGACGTTTCGGAATATCAAGGTAAGCTCTTGTTGCAGTGTGGAAGGACTGCTATTTGTTCATAGTCTAGGTAACGTTTTCCCCCTTGTCCTGCCACCTTTTCCTTTCTTACTAAAGGGCTATTCTAGCATTCGCACCATTCTCCTCGTGTGTCTCGTCTGGTGCAGAGTATGGTGCATCACGAAATATGTGGCTCCATCTGTTTCAGGTGCTCCTGACAAGCGACAAAGCACTGGCCAACTTCTCTGACAGGTCTTTGCTCAAGAGCCTCGGACATTGGCTCGGAATGCTCACCATGGCAAAGAATCGACCCATTCTGCTAGTTGTGAGCATTCCTTTCACCTTGCTTGTGGATGCTCGGTTGGCTTCGGAACAATGACGCTAATGCATAATTTTCGTTTCAGGACATGGATATCAAGTCCCTGCTGATCGAGGCGTTCCACAAAGGGCAGCAAGAGTTGCTCTACGTGGTGCCCTTTATCGCCAAGGTCGTGGAATCCTGTTCAAAGAGCAGGGTATGGAAGGAACCGGCACTCCTGTGTAGTTCTTCCCATGTCTCATACTTTGACATTCCTGTTTTTAAATCAATTTTGGGCTCCCTTCTTAAGTTGTTGGATGTGCTGTTTTGCCCAGGTGTTCAAGCCTCCAAACCCATGGACAATGGGCATTCTGAACGTGCTCTCTGAGCTACACCGAGAACCTGAACTGAAACTGAACTTGAAGTTTGAGATAGAAGTCCTGTGCAAGGCATTCAACCTTGACCTCAACGTAAGAAACATTTATAGTAGTGGTCACACTGTTATCCTTAAGATTCCCTGCTTAGCAGAAGTTCTGAATGAGTTTCTTGTTTTGCTGAGAACTTGTACGCGTGTCAGGCAAAATATTCCATCCCATAATGGTCAAATTTGTTCTTCCCTTTTCATTTCGCTAGAGTACTTTTCATAATTCTACAAATTTATTTATTGAAGAAACTGTTTTGTACAATTATTAAAATTTTCACAGCTAGTGCTGTTGACAGCTGTGGTATATGAGGCATTGTGCATTTGCAAATTAATCCAAGGTCTGATACTGTAAAACCCTTTATTTTCGTGGCCCTGATTTTTCGCGAATTGGTCAGGGGGTCATGTTTGCGACGATCAAATTTTGTGATTTCTAAAGGCTGGAATTACCTCTACAGGCAATAGAATTATTTGCACCCATTAAAGTTTGCAAATTTTACAATTCGCGAAAATTGGGGGCTTGCGACCAGTAAGGGTTTTACAGTATGTTCTTGCATTTTGAGCACAAATTGTTGCATTGGAATAGAGCAGGGGTGGTTAAGCTCTTCAATCCCCTGAATGGTAGCCGAGAAGCTCCTGGTCTTGGCATTGATGCAATAATGTAGCAGCCTACAGACCTCGTAAGCAGTAGTGTGCATACTCCTAGGGAATGTTTCACTCGTAGTTCTCCATGAATTGGTGGCTCAAATGTGCTAAATTAGTGCTTAAACCAGAAAGACGCCTTCTTTAAGGGCACAGGATAAGTCTTATAATCCCCATGCATTTTAGGCCATGTTGAGGAACATTTTTCTCTGCAATTATTAAGATTATTCCTGTCATATGTATCATCTTGTTCCAAATTTAGTGCTTTTTATACTGAACTAGAGTTATTTATATCAATTAACAATATTTTTATTTATTTTTATTGTGCTGAAGTTTTAGCTTGCTTAGTGTATTAAAAAATTTGTAACGCAAGAACTGTTAGGAGCAAATTTTAATTCTAGTTCAGTACTTTTCAACACCTATGTCCACATACATAGTGCATAGGTGTTCAACACCTATGTAGGTGGCAGGAATAAAAAAAAATTAACCCTCTATAGTGGCAGGTTATGGAAAAAATGGTACCTATGTACTGAAAAACACTGTTTTGAAATAATTGAGTTTAAAGTAAAAAAAAAAAAAAAAAAAATGCTTTTGGCACCAACACTCTCGGGAGTCATTTCTTCAATAGCCACCAGCTTTGTAGTCAATGTTACAGTCATGTCTTCACTTTTCGGCTTATCGCCGTGCTTGCCGGGCCTCTTTTGTGGCCTGTTGTGTCGCTCGGTTCGCAAAGTATATTCGAGTGCGGCCAACTTTCCCCCAGCCACTTGGTGTTCCACCCAGGGTTCAGTCCTCAGGACTTCAAAATATTGGCTCGTGCGATGCTGCCACCATTTAACAAAAGAGCAGCATCCAATGTCGCCCTTTTGTCGTTTGAAAACATGAGTGCTTGAAAGTACACACGTTGAAACAGATGTGCATGGCGTCCTGGGATTGTCTTGGTCAAAAAAGAGCTATGTTGGAAAATTTATCGATAAACGGGGAGCACAAAAGGAATATGCTCCCACCTGCTACTTGCTTTTGGAAAAAGTGTTTTTCAGCCCGAAATATGATTTTCTAAGAACAGTGTAACAATGGAAAATGTGCAGAAAGAAATAAATGTTTCAACCTGCAAACCTAATTTTTTATTTTTTTTTTATTTTAAGGAAATTTGGGAGATTGGGGAAGCTTCGAGGGTACTCAGAGGAGCTTGTGGATTTGAGAAAAGCCCCTACTTATGGAGGACCCCTTGTTTGTACAGGACCTGAAGCCAGGACTGGTCTTGAAGGACATGGAGTTCCGCAAGCGGCTCGACCCACAACTGTCGCCGCGGCACAAGCCTGACAGTCCCCCTCTGGCACCCTCAAGCACGGCGGTAGCGCCTCCAGTGGCCGCTGCTGTGGCACCCACTGCCCTGGTTCCTTCACTGCCTCCAGGGGTCTCTGGAGGTCCTGGGGGGACGCCGGCTGGGCTGCCACCTCCCCAGCCCGAGGAGGCTCCAACCTCCCTGGGGGCTGCCGCCCTGGGACCCTTTCCCCAGCCACAGTTTTCGTACCATGACATTAATGTTCTCTCAATGTCCAACTTGGCTCAGCACGTCCAAATCAACAGTAAGGTGAGACTTGGCCACCTTCTCCGACTCTGGAAGTCTCCATTGTCTGCCTTTGACCAGCACTAATTAGGGGCCATAAGGAATAAAGATGTTTGTATTGCTGTTCATACCATGCAGCACATGGCAGCCATTAAGCTTGGTTGTTCGTCTGTCTCTAGAGTCTAGGGAATGTTGAAACTTTGCCATTTCGAATTGTTTTGCAGATCTACTTAGCCAAGGGCTTCAGAATAATGGAATCTTACAATGTTTGTTGTTGTTTTCCCCCAGCTTCCACTGTTCCAGGCACATCCACATTTGAAGCAGTACGTTCGCACAGCAGTTGAACGTGCCATACAGGAGTGGATTATGCCTGTCGTAGAGAGGTCACTGAAGATTGCTCTAACGACGTGCGACCAGATAGTTCGCAAGGTATGCTGTTCTCACTTTCAGCCTATGCGGTCTGCTGAATCTGCCCTTGCCAGAGGATTCTTTACTTTTCTGAAATGTCTTGTTCCTTCCTGTGTGCCAAGCTGCCTGATTACACACCTTTTTGTAGCTAACACAGCCTCGGGTTCAAATACGGCAAAGTCCGCAATCTGCCAAAGAATAGTTGCGTCGGAGGCATCCTGTAATGATAGCTTCACACAGAGGATCTCAATGGGTACCAATCTGATGCAGTCCCAGGCCGTGGTGCATGCTGACGAAACATGCTGTCGCTGCTTCTCAGTGCTGGGCATGTTTGGTGCCCTTCTTAATGTTGGGACCCCGAAAATTTCCCTTGTGACCAAATTGAAAGCCTTGGAACCTGATGAAACATACCTGTAACTCAGGATCTGACTATGAGAAGAACTTGATTGCAAGTGTTCCTTTTCAGGACTTTGCCCTTGATCCCGAAGAATCTCGACTTCGTGTGGCAGCCCACCACATGGTGCGCAGCTTGACTGCAGGCATGGCAATGATCACCTGCAGGGACCCAATGTTGATGACCATTAGCAACAACCTCAAGGCGGCCTTTCATACAGCCCTCAGGGTCAGTACCTTATAGTGTGCTCCTAGCTGAATTTTGTTTTTAATGTGGTTCTTTAACAATTACCTGATGCTTTCAGCCAATACTGGTCTCATCGGTGTGGATTTTGCAAGGGGTAGGAAACACCTAAATGAAAATTTGACATGCCTTTTTCGGTAGCTGTTAGGGGATACACAAGTGCTGAAGGCATACACATACATTTGTGCTACCACTTGGAGGGGGCAGGGTGCTGAACCTTTGACTATGAATGCTACGTAGAAATTTGTGGTATGTTTTCGAGCTTAATTATTGCACATATTTTAATGTCTATTCTTTGATTTTTTGCAAGTGCATGGGCATGTTATACACATACAGTTATTAATTTCTTGAGGGCCTTTTTCTATGGGCAATGCAGAATCAGTTTTTCTCAATTGTTTTTTTTTTTTTTATTTATAATCTGTGATAATCATTTTTTGAGATACTGGTCATTTAATTGTTTTGAGGGTCACTGCCATACATGTATGGTGGTGCAGAAGTGTCCCAAACTTTTGCTTTTGTTTTTTAGGGGGAAGGTATAGAGGCAGGAAAGGAGAGTGCTATGTGGTTTACACTAATACATAATGCAGATGAGGTGTCTTGGAAACTGGAATTACTATTGTGTCCTAATGGCTTAAAAATGTAAAAATCTTGAAGTCCACTCAAGTAACGAAGAATCCATGTGCTCGGTTTGCATGCAGAGGACACTTGTAGTGTTACCCTTTTTCCTTTTAAATGCCCAACAACCGAAAGTTTGCTAAAAAGAAAGCAAGTTTAAAACGCCCCAGCTTGATGGTCAGTGATCATACTGGGTTGTTTTCTTTTTCCAGCTCCAAGGAGCAAGCCTTCCTCAAAAGGACCTCTTGGAACAAGCAACAACAGTTGTGTCCCAAGAAAATGTGGAGTTGGCCTGTTGTTTCATCCAAAAGACTGCCATTGAGAAAGCTATTCCAGAGATTGATAAGAAACTTGGCCAGGTGAGCTCTGTTCCTTTAGATCTTGTTTCGCGGGTTCTACCTGCTTCACTCACAGCCGCACCTGCTCATTTTTCAGGAATATGAGTTCCGTAAAGGTGCCCGCGGTGAGGGCCGCCGCTATTGTGATCCCGTGGTTCTGACATACCAGGCGGAGAGGATGCCCGAACAGATACGACTCAAGGCAAGGACGCAGTTTATTGTTTGGTCGTAGACGCCCAGCCAGAAGCGTGTGTTGCTCACCGAAGTGGTATCCCCAACTCAGGTCGGCTGCGTGACGCCTCAGCAGATGGCTGTGTACGAAGAGTTTGCCCGCAACATCCCGGGCTTCCAGCCCATCTCGGAGCGCGACCAGCCTTCCCTGTTTCTCCCCAAACCTGTTGTAAGTTTCCGAGTGTCCTTTGTATTTTGTAGTTGCTGTAGCTAGACAGTGCAAATCAAGAGTACAAATAGCCAAAAGGTGCCTGTGTGACTGTTCAGATCTTTCAGTTTGACTGCATTCTGGCGCAGTATGGTGTGGTTGCAGATGCACATTACCTAGCAAATTAATGTTACTTGCCATCACATTTGCCATGACATCGCTTGCTATTGCTTAGCTGCAAAAACAGATACTGCGTTCTATTGTTCCCTGCAGTAGACCGCAATTCACCATAACTGCGTACAAAATTTGCTGAAACATGTTCTGCAGTGTTTTGCATCAGTCTTTTCACAACTGAATGTATCGCCCTTAAACATAAATGTGTGAATGTGAAGGTTAGCAACAAAACCTGCTCTTCCGTCTTCTGTCCTCTATTTTGTTTGCTTAGTCACCATTGACCCCGTCGGCTTGGATGGCAGGTTCGTCAGACAGGCTTCAGCAGCGGGGTGGACGACATGACCCACCTGTACGACAAGATAGTCACGGATTTGGAGCAGCAGGTGCACGGCCTGCTGGGCACGGTGGTGCCTTCGAACCCACAGGTGGCTGCGCTGCACGTACTGCACGAGGCCGTGCTCGTGGCTCGGAACTCCCGCGACGCCGTCACGGCCATGGCCCTGCTCCAGAAGGTAAGTTGGTTTCTGTGAGACGCTTTGATGGAGGCCTGGTTTCTTTCTGGACGGAAGGCACATCCCGGCAGATGCGCAGTTTGCCCACTGGTGCGACTCCCGGGGTGTTCTCGTTGCAGACAGTGGAGAGCATGGCGGAAGGGCTGAACCACTCCATGGGGACGGATCCCGAGACGGCGCTGCGCTTCCGGGAGGCCCACTTGGCCGTGCTGAAGGCCCTGGCCGAGGGATACGGCCACCCCTGGGCCGCCAAGCACATTACCCGTTTTCTCCTCGACCTTCGGGAAGAGGTGCGCTGGAACGTGGACATGGTGGACCCTCTGCTGCGCTCGGGACTGCTTGTCCTCACCACCTTTGACCTGCACTTGGCACAGGCACGTGCTGCCCGGGACTGCCCTCCCGACTGTCCCTCATTGCTCTCCCTTGTTCTCGCTCCCACAGGCGATGGATAACGGGATGAACTATCCGGCCGTAGACTTTGCCAAGCACCTGGTGCGGCTCTATTTTTCGGAAGGTCGCCACGGCGACTACAACCTCTCCGAGTCTGACCTTGGCAACACCTTTGAGACGCTCGTCCGCATCAATGCGCAAAACAGACAGCCTCAGGAAGGGTAAGTGGGATGTCTTCTCGACCGCATGGTTGCCTGACTAAGCTGGAAAGTTGTGCTTGGAGCAGTCTCACACAGCCTGACAATGGCAGCCTGCTCGCTGGGGACCAGAGGTGGCGCTTCAGAGCCAGAAAGGCAGTCTTGCATGCAAGGACGGGGGCTAAAACTGATTTCGATCGGGAGGGAGAGAATTAAGTGGGGCAAGTGATCACCTTCCTATTGCATGATCTTGCTCATCTGTAGTGTTAGGGGAAACAAAAGCTACGCTCTCACCATGCAGTTTTTTCATGTGTGTACTTGTTCAAACAAACTTGGGTATAGAGCTTGGGAACATTGGAGCCTATAGCTAACATAACATGACATCCATGTCGTCTCTTTACTTCGAGGACACCTACAGAATTGCAGTCAGACCCTCTTTTTACTAGCTGTGGTAAAATTGCATGTCTGGTAAAATTTATAATTATGTCAGTAAAAGTTGAAATACTCTGCTTTCAATAGGAAATTTTATCAAACCAGCTAATAACATCCAAAAGCTATTTAGAATCCAATGGTGTAGGTAGCACATTTGTCAGGAAGCACAAAGTTGTGATGGGATTCTTTAATATCAAATCTTGTCTGTATGTATAACTAAACATTCAAAATTTGCTCTTTGCCTCCTGCCAGTGCTTTATCTCAGTCTTGCATACATTATGCAGTAAAACTAAGGTTATGTCTAGGAAAGAGTGTTTTTGCTTAAGACCAAAATCGCCTTGGTGAAATGCAGTCCGGAATAAAGATTGAGAAATGGGCATTGACCCCAATTTTTTCTTGAATCCAGGAATGTGGAGTGTTTCACGTGGTATGTCTGTTTGAAGCTGTGTCACTTGGCAATTGGTGCTAAAAGAATAGTTGCAACACATTTATCGACACTGCAAGCGGTAGACTAGCAGTGCAGATGAACCAATCTCTGCACAACAAATCTTTTTCTTTACACGAATCGAGACAGATGTACTTTTGCTTGCTTGTAACTTAAAAATAATCTTCATTGGGACGAAGCAGTCCACATCCTAATTTAGATGGTATTCATACCTTGCATGGTATTCAGAACTCTAACACGGTTCAAATCCCAAACAAACTTCCCTCTTTGTGAGTCTTGGGGCTCCTCGACTTTAATTAAGAAATTAAATGTCGGGAACAAAAGTTTGATGTGAACACGTGCAGAGGGTACAGATAGAATTTTTGGGGCTAGTTACAGCATTAGAAAAGTGGACGACTGTGCTTGGAGTTAACATAAAAAAGAGTATGCTATGAATTATAATTTTATATCCAAAAATGAAAATTGATATACGGTAAAAGTGGGTTTGACTGCAATGCTGTTATGGAGGAGAATTTCGAAATTGATTAGTATTTATAGAGGTACTAACCCACTTTTTTTCCATTTATGGTGTGGTCTGCAAGGACTGGATAGGCAGCCTTTTTTTTTTTTTTTCTGTTTTCCAATAGTATGCCTCTGTCAGTCTTAATTTTAAACTATAAAAGTGAAATTTTGGTTTTAATACTTTGGTTAAAATTAAGCTCAAAAGCATGATCCAGATGACCACAGAGTGTGCTCGAACTAACACATAAACAATATTTGCTTTCAGTTTATGCATTAAATGGAGTATATTGCATTAGGGATGTTGCTCTATGTATGCAGATTGTTCATATTCATTCGCGTGTTCTATCTTGTAGGCTTTTGTATAAGCAGGTTTTCAAACCTCCATGGTTCGGAGCAAGAAGTGGGTTAGTACCGTCGAGAAGCACTAGTTGTAGCTGGACCGACAGCGTGGGTTCCAGTCTTGTAGCGCTGGCAACTCTGCTGTCGGAATCCACGCTTGGGCCACATTGGTCTTGGATTGGCTTTGTGGCAGGTGCCCTCGGTCGGGCATGCAGACGGGCCAAAAGTTAGCTGGGACACGGGCTGTTGGGGCGGGGCCTGGTTGGCAGCGGGCACGAGAGGTGTGCCCCTGTGTGTCTGCAGGCTGTCCCAGGTGATGGAGATGCTGCGTGGTGGGGGCGGCGGGGGCGCGGTGGAGTACGGGGGCGTGCCCAGCAGTGGGCCCATGTCGATGATGCACTCGGGTATCAGTCAGGCGCGCGAGTACGATGACCCCCCTGGCCTGCACGAAAAGACGGAGTTCCTGCTGCGAGAGTGGGTCTCCATGTACAACACTCCGAATGCGGGCAAGGACTCCACCAAGGCCTTCCAGATCTTCGTGCAGCAGGTGCGTCCTCGCAAGGGGGGAGCCCGCCACCTCACGTTCGCCGGCGTCTACACGGGCTCTGTGCCGTCTTGCAGATGAACGTCCAAGGCATCCTCAAGACCGACGACCTCATCACTCGCTTCTTCCGTCTGAGCACCGAGATGTGCGTGGAGCACTGCTACCGGGCTCTGCTGGAGCAGACGCCAGCCAACGTGACCATGGTGCGCTCCAAGTGCTTCAACTCCCTGGATGCCTACATGCGCTTGATTGCCCTTTTGGTCAAGCTGAGTGGAGATGCTTCCAATCCAACAACCAAAGTCAACCTCCTCAATAAGGCAAGTCTTCCCATTACACCTCTCGCTGTGGTATGTCTTTATGCTTTTTGGATGACACTATTTGTGGAGCTAAATGGACCATTCCAGAAATATACATTCTGAAAATTGCCGTAGTGCGTCTTTTAGACGCTGTGGAAATCAGTGTATGACGCATCAAGGAGTACCTATATATAGAAGGAACGGTTTCGTGTTTGCTTAGCATTTTGAGGACGCCAAGAAAGCAGGACGAATGTGAAGAATGGTGTGTATCAGCTTTGTGATGAGTTCGCTCCGTTTTCTTTGCGTTCTGAAGTCGCAGGAGAGAAGCAATTGAGTCGCTTCTGGGATGTACGGAGCTTGCGAGCCAGATTGAACATGCGTCTCACATCGCACCGTGCGATGCGATGTGAGATCAGCCCTTTCAGTGACACTTTTAATGCAAAAGCATTATCTGTTCCATGGAGTGCAACCGGTGTTGGCTGTGACTACGAAATGGGCATCTAAATAAACGGCAGTTAAAATGACTGCGATGCGTTTCCATTGGCCGCAACACATCATATCAGATGCTTCGTCACAAAAGTCGGCGGGGCGCTCAAGGTAAAAGTGGACGTACCTCAGAAAAATAAGCACAGCAACACAGATGCACCGTCACGGAAGGCATGGAGCCGGCGGAGTTCACCGCGCCTGCGCAGTGAGGGAGCGTGATGTCACCGCCGGAGCGCTGTGTGCAGTAGGAAGACGTGGTGCGGTGCTTGTAGGAATCTGCTGCGCGTAGGAATGCTTTCGCATTCCTTCACGTAAGCAGTCTAAAGGGTGTGTGTTAATTTTTTTAAGTGACCAAATTTTTTTTATTGGGGTGTTTTATTCATTTATTGCGTCACAGGTAGAATTCCAAAAGTTTAGTATGCAAAAATGTGTATATTTCTGTGTGTACATAAACCTTGTTACAGTTGTGCGCATGCGCAAAGCATCTTGGGCAGTCCTGTTGATGTTTCCGTGCTAAAACACCAAGTATGGATTGGATTGGAATCTGCGGCTCTCCCCTTTGTATAGGGTGATCAACAGTAATGGATACCACCTTATTTAAGGTTGCCAACTGTGTGGAATCGCCGCCACCATCGGAATCGTTGTCGTCGTTATCGGATTCACTTGAAGAGCCAAGTTCGGCAACAAAGTCATCAACATTGTCTTCACTCGACAAACAAAACTCTGCCTCTTCCAAGCCACCCTAGCTTTCTTCAGCGATTGCTTTTCTTTTTCGCGATGAAGTTCCGCATGCTCCGTTGGCTAGCGACGCCATTTTTAAATGACTGTTGCCAGAGTATCCTCTCATTTATCTTACCAAAGGTGGCGCAACAAAAAAAATGTTAACTAAAACGAGTGCTGTCATATATGATCAGCACCGCAAACCACTCGGGACAAGCTACGCTCATCCGTGGAATTGAGGGCTACCTAAAAATCCACTGGACGAGCTGAGCTGGTCCATGGCATTTTTTACCAGAAAGCCGCCGACGAGCTCAGCTCATCCAAAGCACTTACAAAGCCCCTAAAAAAAAATTTTTTTTTTTAACAGTCTGGGAGGCACGCAAATCAAAAAATAAACAATGCGAAAAAAAAAAATTTTTTTTGAAAAATGAATTTTTTGTTGTTAATATTGACAGCGAGAGATTTATTTGAAATTCTGCGCACAAAGTCCATGACATCACGGAATGGTCATTTGCTCAACGAGATAGTCATTCGCTCTTTCCACCTCAGCATGAAGGCGAAGCCGATTTACCTCTCCTCTATGCGCCCGAAATGCAGAGAGAGAAAACAAGTGGAAAGAAGGTGACTACCGACTAAATCACGTCTTGCGCCATCAAAATTGCTCTAAAAAAAATTTAATTAATTTTTTGACACGCGTGTCCCTACAAAATTGTTAAAAAAATTTTTTTCTTTTTAGGGGTGCTTTAAGGGGTTAACGAGAGAGGCCTTGTGGCTCAAAGCTCAAAGTGCCTGAAACTTCCTGTACCAAACGATTCCGTAAATGCAAGCTTAAAAAGCGACAAAGATGACGGAGATGATGTGTTTGTACAATCATAAAATTTATGAGAGGGAACACGCGACCGCGTGTCACTCACTACAGACATAGCAGCCTAGCGACCGCTGTGCACAATGCCACTTCCAAAAACTGGAGGCACTGATGGCTCGGGGTGGTGTTATTTGTTGCGCTTGCTGCTAACAGCGTGGGGTGACCACCGCAATAAAGGCGTGCGTGCGAAAGCGCTGCTCTATCACCATGTGGCACACTTCGGGAAAGGGGCATTTGGTAGCATTTCTTGCTTTGTTTTTTAATCTCTGCATTCATAAATTCAACCAGTCATAATCTTTGGTTATCCAGTAACTCAAAACCTCGGGCAAGATGGCGTTCTCAAATTAATACTTTTTTTTATCGTAACACAAAAGATGAGAGTTGGACGGCTGAAAAAACGCTGTCAGATTCCCGTTGGCCATTACGCGCAGCAGACGACATATCAGCGCGTGCCGGAAGTATCCCCATTGTTTGAAGAGCCAGTACTCTAGACTATTCTGCCTGTACCAAGTGACATGTGCTTGCTTGTTCCCTTTCATAAATCTTATGACTGTACATGTGGGAGTAGAATATGATTGTATGCTACTTGTAAGTGATCTCCAGAGCTGCACTGTGACTCGAGATGAATGCCTGTTAGACTTTGCCAAGCCGACATTTGTTGTCTTTAGAGACGGTTATCTCTGCTGCATTGATTGATGGCTTCCACTGGTCAGGCTTGCCCTGTTGGGCCAACCGCTTCTTTTGACCCACCTGGGTTGCAGGTGCTGGGCATTGTGGCGGGTGTGCTGCTGCAGGATCACGAATCTCGCGGGGTGGAGTTTCAGCAGCTACCGTACCACCGCATTTTCATGATGCTCTTCTTGGAGCTGAGTGCCCCGGAGCCCGTACTGGAGGCCATAGGCTTCCACGTCCTGATGGCCTTCTGCAACACGCTGCATGTGCTGCAACCCTGCAAGGCGCCGGCCTTCGCCTACTCATGGCTGGAGCTCATCTCGCACAGAGTATTCCTGGGCCGGGTGCTGGCCCTCACGCCGCAGCAGAAGGCCTGGGGAATGTTTGCCCAGCTCCTCAACGACCTGTTCAAGTTTCTGGCGCCATTCCTGCGCAACGTGGACCTCGAGAAGCCCATTCAGCTCCTGTACAAGGTAGACCCTCGAGTCTTCTCGGTGCTTTTGGCCTGCCTGACTGCAGCCTCGCTCTCCTCCCGCAGGGCACGCTGCGGGTGCTGCTGGTGCTGCTGCACGACTTCCCGGAGTTCCTGTGCGACTACCACTATGGTTTCTGCGACCTGATCCCGGCCAACTGCATCCAGATGCGCAACCTGATCCTGAGTGCCTTCCCTCGCCACATGCGCCTGCCGGACCCCTTCACGCCCAACCTCAAGGTGGAGGTGCTGCCCGAGATCACCCAAGCGCCCCGGGTGCTCACCAACTTTGCCTCTGTGATCCAGCCGCAGAGCTTCAAGAAGGTGAGCATAGGCAGTCCGCCACTTGCTCGGCTGCCGAGGCCCTCCACCTTCGAAGCACTCTGACGGAGTGTGGTGTTGCTGCTCTGACGCAGGATCTGGACTCCTACATCAAGACTCGGGGTCCCGTGACATTCCTGTCGGAGCTGCGGAGCAACCTCCAGGCTACCACGGAGCCGGGCATGAACTACAATGTTCCCCTCATGAATGCTCTCGTGCTCTATGTGGGCACCCAGGCCATTGCTTACATCCAGAGCAAGAGCCTGACTCCCAGCATGAGCACCATCACGCACTCTTCCCACATGGACATCTTCCAAAACCTGGCTGTTGACTTGGATACCGAAGGTGTGCAAGCTTGCCGATTGTCAGTTTCTACAACTGAATGGCTGGTTGCCAGAGGGGGCCACGTAGCTTGTAAAATGCAGCAATCAGGGGTTTGCATGCATGCAGATTCATTTTATTTCACTTACGGTTTTGATGACAGCCTTTTAGGCATTCTCCTTGTTTTCTATATCTGGTGTTAGTTTCGATATAGCTTGTTTTATTCATGTTCTTGACATACCGCAAAAGTGCCCACTTTGTTCAAGCGCCCACTATTAACATTTCCCAATCTTGGGAATTCTGCAAATTATACTTTAAGCGCCCGATTTGACCAGACAAGTGCCCATGTCCAGAATACCCAGTTTTCAGTGAAAGTGGGGTGGGCGCTCCCCCGGTGTTTTACGGTAATACACATGCAAAAAACAAACATGTCCTTGTGCATGCGTGTGGCGTAACAAATTTATTTGCATCATAAAATAATCTGCTTTGCTTCTTGTGAACCACTGAGTGCTATCAGCAACAAAAATAATGTGTGCAAATTAATTTTATTTTAAAATAATTGGATATTGCAACAAGGAAGAAAAAACGGAATCTTGGCAAACTTTTTTTTTTTCTTTCTTGTAACTATAGGTACATACGCTGTAGTCAAACCTTCATTGTTGCATCCTGCAGACCTAAACCATATGCATGCAAAATTTGGTTGTGGTAGGACAATAATAAACATAATTCTTGTATAGAAACATTACATACAAGAGAAAATTTCATTTGAATACAATTATAAATGTGTAGTGACACTCTTTCGGGGCAAGACATTTTTTTGTAGTATTATTTTGCGAGAGAATGAAGCTATAGAACCATGTGATGAAGAGAAGACGGCTAGGCCTACCTCTCAAAGTGAATCCGATCGTGAGCGACACCTAAATTTGAAGAATTGCGCACACGAAAAGGGCTTTAATATGAGCTTTTCTGGGCCGCTACGAGTGCTTCAAATGCATATTGGACTGATTTCGTGGCGATATCCAGCCTTAATTTTTCTATACATAAAATAAGGTTTAAATATATTAGACACCCTCACATCTAAAAAGAAAACAAAGGTGCTGTTTTTCAATCCTCATCTCCCCTTAACCAGCTGTTGCTTTTGTTCCGCAGGGCGCTACCTGTTCCTGAATGCAATAGCCAACCAGCTTCGCTACCCGAACAGTCACACTCACTACTTCAGTTGTACCCTGCTCTACCTTTTTGCTGAAGCCAACACTGAGGCCATCCAGGAGCAAATTACCAGGTGAATTGTCTTGGCTTGCTTGGCTGGATGAATGGGAGTCGCCCAGTTCTGGGTATGGTTAGCCTGATTTCCTCTTCATCTCGTCCTCTCACAGGGTGCTGCTGGAACGCCTTATTGTAAATCGTCCACATCCCTGGGGTCTCCTGGTTACCTTCATCGATCTCATCAAAAACCCAACTTTCAAGTTTTGGACCCACGAGTTCGTCCGCTGTGCTCCTGAGATTGAAAAGTAAGACTTGTGCTCTTTTTGATGCAATAGAAGTTGCAGCGTAGTTTCATTGCTACATTAGCTGGCCATTCATCGCAACTGGCACTTTTTCTTGTGTGGTATCTCGACGGGGATGCAACACTCTTAGAGGCAAGTTGGGCCCAACTTGGTGAACATTCATGTTTCAACTCTGCCCTGCAGGAAAAGTTTCATAAATAAAACCGCGGTTCTACATTAATACATGCTATGCTGCAACGACCCGACAAGCTGCGTGTGTCGTTGTTTTAGGTTCAATGTGAGATAGGATATTTAGGTATAACAGGAGATTCGGGATTCTCCTCGACTAATTACTAGCGGGCTGTATCCTAGATTTTTGTATCAAATTCCTCGTTTACTAACCACCTATTCAATGAGCTTTTGCACTTCAAAATAACGGAGAGAAACAAATAAATAATCTTAAGCAGTTCAGTTAGATTTTCATTTAATATTGCCGACATATTGATTTCACATTCTCAAAACTATATCTGCATGCAAAATGTTGATGTGCATAATTAAATTATGAATGTTTTGTTTGCGCCCAAGTTAAGAGCTGCAGTTTAATTGCAACTTGCATTAAATATTGAACTCAAAATTCTATTGATTACTGTTAGCTTACCTTTTATTTCATACCTAAAATTACAATTTGCTTCTGCTCATCCTACTAAGCATGTCTCAAACAAAGCTGCTGCAGTGCAACCTTCTAGACAAAAAGGGAAGGCTCATGTTAAAATACTTGTGTTCCAGATACATGTCTGGTGCTTTTAACACAACCAAACTCTCCCCTATTCGCGTCTCCAGCTCCTTGCTCGCCCTCCCGCGGCGGAAACGGAAAGCGCTCTAGTGAGGGTCCCCCGATTCTCCTGCTGAGCGAGCACGGCGGAACTGCACGCGATCATGGCTCGCGAAATGTCATTTCCAAATGCAAACAACTCTTCACTGTCCCAACGTAGTGCTGCAGCTGGTATGGGGTCGTACCTTACTGGAGAGTTTTAGCATTGCGTGTAGAAGCAAACGCAAGCGGTGTGCGTTTGCGTTAGAGTTGCGTGCCCCACGTTGGGTGCGTGCGCCTCATCGCCATGCACCATCCAAGACCGCATTTTTAGGCTCCTCGCACGCGCAGTGTGGAAGACGCAAAGCTAACGCTAACACACAGCGCTCGCTCGTATACGCAATACAAAAACTTACTACCGTTTTACCAGCTTCCTACGCCAACGAGACATGCTGCAGTGAGCAGACGTGCAAGCAGGTAGGCGTTCCCTCGAACTGGAAAGGCTGAGAGCGTAAACGTTAAAGTAACTGAACATTATAAAAAAATTAATACGGTAATTAAAAAAAAAAAAAAAAGTTTTCTTTTTTCTACTTTTGGGCACTTGGTCTGGAATGATATTGGCGGAGACTTTAGACGTTTTACCGATTGTCAAAAGTTGAGACTTTGATAGGAAAATATACTTTACGCACAATTAATGCAATTTTACATGGATGTCTCGCATTAGCTGGAATGTTTTCATTGAGTTTAGACTGTTTTTATTTTATTACTCAGCAATTCAAAATTCTGCACAAACTTCTGCAATTGGCACCAGTGAAGATAATTAGCACACTTTTGATTGTCATATTTGTTTGCGCGTTTGAAATTAGATCATGAGCTACAAATTATATTAGAGCTTGAAAAATAATGTATTAAAATACCTGAATTTTTATATTATTAATAATACAAATCGCGGCAATGTATGCCTCCAATTAACGCCAAGATCGCGAACATACGCCATTTAACCAAATAGTCTTTCCACAAAAATATCATTTTGTTTTCCTTTTAGCATATGAAAAACTCTGTCATCGTTATCAAGATAGACAAACAGTCAAATACTGGATGTAATATAAAGTCATATTTGTCGCGCATTGCTATAAAAAACGCACACTTTAGCAGTCTGACTCGGATTCCGTCTTTAGGTTGTTGCAGTGAGAACAGCGTTCATTAATTTATATGTTTTGTGGACATATTGTAAAAATTGGAATTATTCTCTTATTCTTGTGCTGGAAATAATGTTAAACCAATTAATCATCTAAATACCCCAAAAAACATTAAAATTCCTGCAGTTTATTATTTCCCAGGACAATTATCTGAGCGAGAAAAGGCAACGAGAACACACAAATCTCAGCGCTGATTTTTTTCAACAACTACACCAACTACAAATATCAGCCTGGATCGAACATGTATGTCACAAAATAAAGTTTCCGCAAACAACTTCTCTAACTACATAATTACAATGTGAGACACATCTTGAGTTACGAAAGAATCCGAAATTAAGACCTATATCGAGAAATTAAATCCGAAATAAAGGTTAGTTTCGGTTTCACTCCAGAATTGAAACAATATTACGCTGAACACCGCTCTTTTTCTTAGGATAAAGAGGTGACCTGCGCTCACAACACCCTAGCTTCCTCTTATCAGCAGAAATAAGTTGTCGCTCAGTGAAGCCAGCACACTAGACAGGCTGGACAGCGGCACGCATCTCAGACCCTCACTATAACCGCCATTTTGGAAAATGAGTGGCACCACCTATAGTTAGTTGCAGTCGTGAATATACTGGGTGCTAATGAGTGGTTGCACACCAGTCTGACAGCAAAGACATTATATTTTATGGCGAATTCCACTGGGCGTTTTGGAGCGCACCGGGATCAGTTGACCAGATCCGGAATTAAGCACACGATCCGAACGGGGTCGCGCCGCCTACGGGTCCCCAGTGGAACATGACCACTGCTCCGGGATCGCGGATGCCTTCCCGTGCTTCCCGTTATTCAACTGCCCGGGAATCCCATTTCTGCGGCCGCCACGGTTGTTTCGAAATCGCGGCGCTAAAGCCTGGTCCAGACAGTTGGGCTTGACTGCGTTTGACTGCGTTGCGGCTGCGAGAAACCAGGACATCGCTGCTGCTTACATCTCGTGCCAAGACGATTTCTTGAATTGGATTCCACACCTCATACGAAGCACAGATGTGCCGGGGACTCGCTTTTGGTTCTCGACGCAACGCACTCAAACGCAAGTGTCTGAACCGGCCTTAACACGTGCTCGACTCACGAGCGGCAGGAATGGCTCGGGAGCTTCTAGCAAAGATTGCCGGAATGCCCGTAGCGCCGGCAAAACCTTCTCTTCTTCCTGGAAAACGAACCGGCTGTCGAGCCAAGGGGTAAGCAAGCGGCCATTACGAATTCTGAGGCGAGATGCCCCACAAGAAAGGAAGTCACGTGTTTGCGCCTTAAGCTGGCCCGGCTGGCTTTTGGTTGAATCCCCCGAAATCGTAGGAGCGACTTTTCTCGGATCCAGATCGAGATCTGGAGCGGGAGCTAATCCAAAACGACCAGTGGAACACGTCCGTCTCTATCCCGATCGCCCAGTGAAATTGGCTCGCTCTAGAAAAGTCGATCCCGGCGCGCTCCAAAACGACCAGATGAATTCGCCATTAGTTTGAATGAATGACAGCAAAGTAATGCTTCTGCTCCAAAATAATTCGGACCAATTGCATCATTGTAACTATGTTTTATAGGACTCTGTTCTCTTTCCCCCTTTGGTTGCATCTACCAGTAGTCGATGGGCTTGTACAAGTCTTTTACATCTATCGTTCCATTTATGGCCCTTATTGTTTTCTTGTATGTGTCGCGTCCATATTTTTGTTGATGCACCGCTAGAATGCAACAACACCGTTTGCAGTATTCTGATCACGTTTTGATCAATCCTGCTCCTTTCCCTTGTATTGAGTGTCCAAAGGCAGCTCGCCCACGACACGCCAATTGCACATCCCAGCTACCCACCGGGCATTCTAGAAAGGAAGGAAAAGGCAAGAGGTGCTGATCTGGCAAACAACTTGTATGCAATTTTTTTTTTTTTTTCCTCCTTTTGAATATGGGGTAAGGCCAGTCAGGTGGCACACCTTTTGCCTTGTATACCTAAGCTCGTGTAAATAAAACGATTTTCCACTGATCGCAAGTTACTATCCTTAGTGCAAGTTAGAAAATTGGTGGTCAAAGCAAGAAATTTGATGTGATACATTCGTTGCATTGTTGAGTCATGCGAGCGTCTATTCTTTTGCAGGTTGTTCGAATCAGTGGCACGGTCCTGCATGCAGCAGAAGCCACCGACGGAGCCTTCGGGTTAACCCAGGGCAGCAGCTCATTCTTCCTTCACAAGATTGTGTTCCTCTGTTTTTACTTGTATCGACATTGCAGTGCAGTGCATTATTCCACGCAGTTTCCCATGACCACATTCACTTTGTACAGGAGGGAAGACGTGCTAGGTGCACCCTGGGTGTTTCTAGTCCGAGTCTCGTAAATAAATGGTTGTGGGCATGAGTAACTGTAGCACAGTTGTTTATTTCAATGACAAGAAGGTTCAGCTGCCAGAACACCATTGTGAGTGGCAGTACGGGTATCTGGGTAAAATAGTAGTATAATGTAATGTTTACAAAATGGGAAACGCCATCCAGCAGTACCATAAAATGCAATACACGGGCTTTGCTAAGACACAGAAAATACTAACCAGTACTTATGCAAAAGTTTAAAATCTATCTCATTAAACCTCATGTGCGTAGCACTCTTTGGGCTAAGCTGGACACCTTAGAAAAGGTTGTCAGGAATGTGGAAATGACTAGACAGTTGCTTCTTAGAGCAATTGAACCCTTCCCTGGCAAGCACTGGTCACATTCACAATGTGTACTTAACTCCAGACAAAAACTTTCATTACTTTGGTCTGGGAGCACCTGAGTGCACACTACTTGGGAATGTTTGGTGTATTTAGGATTGGATACAGCGGCAGGACCAGGGGTACTGGTGTTTTCATGCATTACAATAAATTAATCTTTCACCCCTATTTTTTATTTAAACATGCCTAGAAAGTTCAGCACTTTCACATAAAACTTGTTCATTCTCTGTGGTCAGGAGAAGTGAAAGCACAGTGCTGTCAATCGTAATTTCAAGTCATTAGATTCACGAGACAAACCACAACTATAGGATTTCAATAAATGTACAAAACGACCTACCCTATACAACTGCTGTTGTGCTGTTAGGTTAAATTGGAATTAAATAAGACATTCTTGTAAATGAGTATTCTTGCGAGTTCTTATGATTGTCAGTTTCTTAAAGCAAGTTGTCTTGACAAACGGAGCACTGTTTTGAGAAGTGTATCTAGGCATGCACACTCTAGCTGTTTTACTGTCCCTGGGACCACAAAATACTGAAACAACAAAAACAGCTCCGTGTCTCAAGCTTTCAAGGTAAATAACTGGGAAGCTCTGCCCAACAAGTCCAACAGGGATTCAACAGCAAACTTTCCAACACCTGGGAGTGCAAACCTTTGAATTTCACAATTTTGCTAGGTATAAACAAAAACATAATACTGCATGTCCTAGCCACCCATAATGCACCGAGTTGTGCTAACTGTACACCATTTTGTCCAGTGCATAGAGGACACGCATTCCAAAAAAAAGAGCATGCTTGTAGCATTTAATGCGAGTCGAGATTCACATTTTAACTGATCGCAATCCAACCACTTGTTATGGCAAGTGAAGTCCGCTCACAACTGAACTAGCCTCTACTTCTCCATATCTGTGCAGACTAAATAGCTGAAGACTGCACATGTCATGCCTTCACATGATCCATAGCAGTGACAATATGAACCTAAAATGTAAAAAAAAAAAAAATTCATTTGTAGAAATTGAACATTCTTTGGGAAGTTCGGTATTAACTTTGAGTAAACCGTGTTTAGAAGGGCAGAGCTCCCCTATAGCAATGCAAGGGAAGTTTGATTTCAATTAGGTTAATCTCCACATCAGTTACACAACAGAAATTGTGTAGGGTGCAGTCAACTTCAAAGCAGATAACACAAATATATCTGGTTGCAATGCATGTACATAACACAGCTGATGCAATACTTGTACTAACGCTTCCACCAGGAACACTCAAGCCAACCAGCCACTGAACCTGTGAAGTACACAGTAACAGCACACTTGGTTTGAAACTGTGCTTTGCCCCAGTCTGTACAGCAGTCCCTGTGGTTTCACTTGGCAAGGACAAGGACTAACGGTCATGCTGGACAACACATGTTGTCAGTGATAAGCACGATGTCTATGCCGTAGCGTTCAACCAGCTCCGTGAGGAACAACTTGTCTCCATAAGGGTCCAGGCCCACCCTCTGCATATGCTCTTCAGTCCACAGTTTTTCAGGGCTCCTGGAAACTTCCAGCAACTCTTTGAAGAGTTGAGTGTTCTGGGCCATGAAGAACCTACCCAATTAAAAGTCCATAAGGCAACAGCTATGTCATCCATTATGAGGGCATGCAAGGTGGTTTCAAAATTTCAATTGAACTGTAGAAATGTGTAGTACTCCATGCTTAAATAGACAGTCCAAGCAACTGCTCACTGGAATCTTGCAAAATAAAATCGATACATGGAGGGTGCAATACTAACTGCATGACCGCCGATATAATGGCACGAGAAATACAAATAGGTCTGCGGTGCTTTCACGGCAACATTGCCATAATGGTGGAGCCTGCAGATTAGGAACAAAATGTAATGGAAACTGGAAATCATCCACAATGTCTCTTAAAGGGAAGCTGAAACGGTTCTGTATATGAGGAAACACTTAAGTAATTTTCATTTGACCTCCAAGATCTCGAATAATTATTTTAATTTAGAGCATGGAGGCTCGAGAAAATCATTTTCAAAGTACCGCTGAAGGCCCTCCTTCCCAGAGCACGACATCACAAAAGGAGTTTTTTTAATCTCCGCTCTTGCGCATCTTCTCAAAGCTAGGCACGCACGTCCTCTCCATTTTTAAAAAGGGCAGAAAAAGACATTGTGACTGGTGCCAGTGCGGGGGAACATACATGGCAAGCTTGCGATTGCATGCGCGGCCCTCGAGCGACATGTGCTTGGCGGCCGAAAGATCCTCTTATGACATCACAACTGGTCAGAGGTTTTAAGTGTTTTCTCGTGTTGTTACATCTTCGGGGAAAACAAACATGATATTAAGAGTCATGGAGTAAAACTACGCAAAAATCAACCTCTATCTCATTTTTTTAAAGTGTTTCAGCTTCCCTTTAAGACTCTGGTGCAAGATCTTAGACCTTCCGTACCCAGTGAACCAAGACTCGTCCACTGCCTCCAGATCTCCAGCCAGTAATGGCTGACATTTAGACCTAGAAGAATGCAAACCGTTAATCAGTATTTCTCATTTACAAAACTGATCACAATTTATGGTAAGAGACGTCGGTTGGATACCTGAGGTCTAGGAGGTGGCTGTACTTTAACCTGTCCGCAACACTCAATTCCAACAGTCTTTGATGCATGGAAGAATTTGGTTCCAAATTTTGCTGGTCCACATACAGATCAAACAAGTTTTGTTTTGACTCAAAAATTTTCTCTGTGGTGCCTGGAATGAAGAAGTATTTTACAGGAATTTGACTAGGTGCTTGTCAGCCCAGAGAAGGCAAAACATTTCTCACAAGCAACGTAAGCAGACTGTTTTGCCAGGACGTCCACATCGGTGACGTTGATGTAGAAGTTGGGCGGGCAAAGGCACGTTTCGATGTCGGGATAAACATGTGCGACCAGAGTACTGGTGCAGTACACTGCAAGTCCAAGAGAAATAAGCAATCAGACATCTGCAGGCTGGGAAGTGAGCAGGTACCATGCACTTACCACGGTAACACACCACCCCAATGGGTGGAGGGGAGAAGAAAAGAATGCGTTTCTTCAGCAGTGCAAACTTCCACAGCAGAAACACTTTCTCCCCAAAGTAGTTCAAGAACTGAGAGAAGCAACCTGCTGGGTGAGTTATCTGAAATAAAATGTAGAGAAGTCCTTTATTATTTGATCATGGCTAATTTCAACTAAGGTAAAAAATAAATTGGCTTCAGCGCAACTCGCGCTCTAAAGTCACTAGATTCTGGGAAAGTAGCGCCATTGCCTTCCCTAGCCAGGCACAAACATACTAACATGATGCCCAAACCTCGCAAGGTGATAGGTTGATCAGTCTCTTTTGGCATGGTAATCGCCATTTCGGTCCACTCAAATCCTTCGAAGCCTTGAACGGGTCGTTCTGAACCAATTGCGCCAAGATCGCTATTGGCGACGTGTGACAAAAAGCGTCGCTGTGATCCGCCTTCTACAATTGGCCAATTGCTCACTATAACATCTTAAGTAGGGTTATTTCTGCTCTCATCGACGGAAATAAGACTCGGCTCTGGCGACGTTGATGTAGGAACGACTAGGCTTCCACCGCACTTAATTCTCGCTCCTAATAATCTTGGTCATAACATCGGGGACAGGAGCCATAGCAGAGCGCCACCGAAACATCTTGCTCCCAATGGAGCATCATCGTACTGAAAGCGTTCTTCGCCAACAAATGCGTCTTTGGCTCTGCGTACGCACTGCACTTATCATGCTTATCTCCACATCTCTTACAATGGTAGTATTGTTCATGCCTATTTAAAGACAGGAAAATTAGTTTTGAACACTGCCAAACAATATTGCCCATTTTTGGATAACAAAATCTCTGTATTCAAGAAATGTCTTTTATCAAGCAACCTGTCACTGGGAATTTGGATCAGCTCACAGAGAATGGATAGGTCAAGGAGAAACTGCTCAAAGTGGCAACCATACGAGAAGCTTAATGCTACTTTCCCAGAATCCAGAGCCGTATATACAGAGAGTTTGGCCATTCATTGGGAAGTATAGAAGGCAAATGAGGAGACGTCATTGGCCAAAAGCGGGCTGGGCGTGTTCCAGGGCATCTTCAGAAATTCGAATGCGGCCAACCAGAAGCCGGAAATAATACTTTGACGGTGGTAGCAAGAAACAGAATAAGTGCGTCGGAGTAACTCTCGGTGACTGAAAATGTGGTGCAGGTGATGTTACAATCACGGTCATCCAAAATCATGGTGTAAGAGCGCGACTAGCGGAATATTCGACATAATCCATACACCAGGCGCCGAGGGCCGGGGATCTGCCGTCCGAGTGGTCACACACTGTCCAAGCAAAACAGAGTTCGAGCGGCACATACATTTCTTACACCGTTCTGCATGATCATAATCAAAACATCACATGCATCCTAATTTCAACCAGGAAGGGTTACTACATTTAACTCTTACGCGCTTATTAAAACCATATACCTATGATTAAAACAGTTTCTCGCTACCACCGCTAGGGGATTCTTTTCGGCTTCTGGTTGCCCAAGAGAGCATGTCAAGCCCTCTTTCTGCATCTAGTGCACGCCCTGGCTCTGCCCACGCCTACCATTGACCAAACTCTCTCTATACACGGCTCTGCCAGGATCCAGTGACATCAGTGCCCTCTATGCGACTGGTGGCTACTAAAGAAATCTACCTGGTCCGGGAAGACTAGCGGAGCGTTCTACCAACTGAGCTAATCGGGAGCTGGCAGCCGGTAGAGAAAACTGGTGTTGTATGCCACCAGTTGTGATCATTACCACCGCAAGGGTGAGAGATCAGACGTTATTTGTCCAATCCAGTCTCCACTTGGGGACTTCCCCTGAAAATCACTATTTCAACCAAAATAATCTGCTTAGTTTGTGTTCTTTATTTTCTTTTTCAATTTAATGTATAATATGTATTTTTCGTAGTAAACTGCATGAGCTGAACTAGGTAATCAAGATCCATGACTATGACCCCACCTGCATGGAATGCATGCCATCACAGATAGTCTTGTAGGGACTCAGCTCACTGCTGGCTTCTAGTGTGGGGCGACTGCAGTGCTTTAAATAAAATTGGTCAAGATCGCTGTACAGCCCTGGGCTTTCCAGCAGGTGTCTGAAATAAGAAATATGAGATAGAGCACTACACAAAGTTGCACCAATATGTAACAAAAGCTATGAAACCGTATCACAATACAGCATAATTGTACCAAACGAGTTGGGTACACTGGTGCACACATACCTAACTTGCTTTTGCAGGAATGGCTTGTAGAGGTGCAACAATGAGTAACTCTGTGCCAAGACTCCTATTGATTTCATGCGTGCCCCACGCTCTTTCTCGTTTTCTACCTTCATATTCTCAAAACAAGAAAGTCCGTAGAAGTTGCCACGCTTGAAGTAGCTGGGAAGGTAAAACAGAATACCAATGTTCCAGTTGACTCGCACTGTGGTTAAGAAAGCTGGGCCTGGTGATGGCTTACATAAAATCTGTATGGACCCTGTGTGCTCCACTTGCCATAGCCTTGAATTCTATTCCTGATATGTCTAGCTCTTTGGGTGTCCACCACTCCACGGTGTTGCCTGAAAAAGAGAACAGTGCAATTCTGAACGTTTCGCTTTCCTCGCGTTACGAATGCCAGAACTTCAGCATTACCCGTCCACCCTGAAACGTAATTCCTAAAAATCACTCAACAATTTCAATCGCTAATCCGATCAGAAAAAAAAAAATGTAAACGAACAGATTACACCATCTGGCAGCCGAGCCAACTGGGTTGCTAACGGCAACTGCTGACTTACCAGCTCGCGTGTCAAACGCAATCACGAAGACTCCGACGACATCGCGGTATATTTCACCGACTACTCTGTCACTGCTGAAGTTGTTGGATGTGCTCGGTGGAAGCGGCGGGTCGAGCTGGCACTTGAGGTGGCAAGCGAGATCGGCGTAACTACTGTAGCCGTCAATTTCTTCACCATCTGAAAGCAATGGAGCTCGATCCGTAGCACCTCTTCTGCGCGCCATGCTAGTTGAGCGCTGCTTCCACGGACTCGTGCACAAGCTATTACACTATGACTGCATCACTGCATTCGCTCCGACCAACATACGACACCAAGACCAGCCATGACCAGCGATTTTGCGCAGGTTTGGGCGGTTTTGGTTTGGTGGTTTGGTTGGTTTGGTGCGCGCTGAAAAAAACTAACCGGAAGTCCCGTGATCTTGTGACGCGTGCACACAGGACTCAGGAGCACGCGACGCGACTTTCGGATTGGATTGGATAGAAGAGCGCATCCTTTCCAAGCTCGTTGATCCTGATCCCACTGATCCTTTCATGGATAGTGCGGATAGTGCGTGTTGGAACTCGCTGGTATGCTGAAGCAGGCTGAAGAGTGGCAGGTTGTGCAAGCAATACGAAAGGATCACTGTGAACCAAGCTGTGTGCTATAAACCCAACTGTGGTAAGGTTTTGTTTCATGTTACGCTGGCCGGTGTAAAACGTGAAAGAAGCGGTGGAAGTATCCTTCAGCAAGCCTTCAGCGCTTTTGATCAGTCGCTTTTGTCTTTTTTTTTTTTTTTTAGGTGAACGGGGGTAAGGTTTTGTAACAGATGTTTTTATTTAGCTAGCGCGTGTTCCTTCAGCATCGTGAAATGTAAAAAAGATGAGGAAATGTTGTGCAATATGTCGTGCGGGTGCATTCGAATACATTCGAACAGTTGGAACGTTCGAAAACTGCTCAAACCTTTCTCTATTTTTTTTTGCAGGGGACTGACGACATGGCCGAGATTAGCAGCAAAGAAAAACGAGAGTTGGAAGAAGAGATCCTCTACCTTTCCCGTATGTTTATCCATGCTCATATGTTCCTCTGATGAAACGTGATATCATTGCAATCTTGTTATTCCGAGCATTTGTTGCCTCCTGCAGTACCGCTGAGGCCTCCCCAGCGTTTGCAAAGCTCCCCGTCAACTCCAAGGTCCCCGCATCGTCCCTGGAGTTTTCTCTCTGTACACATCAATTGTCTTTGCAACACTGGGCGTTTCAAACAGTTCTTTGAAATTTAACACTGCTGCAATTTTGTCTATAGTGACGCCTGCAAACATTGTATACGGTAGCGCCATTCATATTTAAATCAATATACGTTTTTGTATGAGCCTCCAGTATTAGCCAACACCACCACTCCTTGTATGCTAGAGGCTTCTTGCCATTGTTTTGACTATTTGTGGCAGTTCAGGCCAACATTTTTAGATCTCCACAAGCTCAAAAAAAAAAAAAAAGTGGTGTTCGTAATTTGTTCTTTTCTGTTGCCTGCTGAGCAGGTAACAGAGAAGAGGTGTTTCTAGCGCACTGGCGTAAACACCTACATGGACAACGAAGACGGACCATTTTCGGACACAACACTCTTTTTGCACCGACTTTCACACAAACTTTATGTTTACCATAAAAACCCCGATAGAATTTCTCAAATGCAGGTAATCTGGATTCAACATTCTACCAACTCCGCAGCTTCTGTCCCTTGGGCAGTGTAGCGGGCGCCACAAAAGGCGCCAGGCGTTCTAGAAAGCTTGTCACCTGACTGATCGAGTAACATTGGTTCAGGTGGCATGTAGCCTCCAAAGTATGCAAGTTTTTATTAAAGTTTTTTTTTTAAATATAAATTGTGACGCCGAACAGCACTTGAAGTTCTGGATATCTGACAAGGCATGTCTGTAAATCATTGAAATAATGGGAAGGTTTGGCCAACCAATTTTGGAAACTGATACTATCGATCCATGCTGCAGTAGCTGCTGCATATCCGTCTTCACTTCGATAAGAAGTTTAATTCCGCTTGCAGAGGGATGTTGAAGAGGCTTGAAATACGATAGAAAAGAACTGCGACCTTGCACTTTGGAAGCGTCGTGTGAAGTAATTGCTGGGGAAGCTTGCACTAAAAGAAAACTAATGAAAAACCTCACCACCCAAAGGCTACTTCTTCATTCATGATTTTTATAGAATTGTACGTAACTTTATATCAGCTTTCACTTGTGAATGAGTGGATAAATGCGCATTACTTTCATTTCCTAAGAGTGGAGGGGTGGTGTGCGAACCGGTGGTTCCAAGGCTGAGCGCTGTCCTTCGGATCCCCAGCACACGGCTTCGAATCCCAGCCAAGTTGCCCACAGTCTGTAATCGGAATTTTGGTTGCCTGTCAAACGATTGCTAGGTGATTGAAACTAATCCTCAGTCCTTTGCTGGGGTGTGCCAGATGCCCTTCGTTGGTTTGTCATGTAAAACCCCCAAATTTGCCTTTAAGACGAGCAAGCGCACTCAACTCCGGTACCTTGGACTGCATTCATTGCTACGGAAAGTTGTCCCTGAGTGTAGACCATTGCACTGTTTGTCACCTGCCAATTAGGCAAGCAAAGAAGCACACACAAAACACACCAATATTTAGAATGGCAGCTTCCAGAAATCTATTTCTGGAATCCTACTTTGAATTATAATTTCTTCTATCTATTCTGTGTTTCTCACAATTTTACAATGCAACATAAACACCACAGCATTCTCAGACATATTTTCAATGCACTATTTCGGCTCCTTTGCATCTGCCTGGAGCTGTGCCTAGCAGCACACTGTCCCCTCTATCGACTTCATCGCTTGTTAACGGTGCTGTGCACTCCTTTGCTAAAAGAGCATTGAACCTGAAAGTGATCAAATCCGCAAAAGAAAAAAAAAAAAAAAAGAAAAAGTTATGATCCAAAGGATTCGGACCCAGACATTTCTCGACAAGAAGAAAACCAGAACTGCTCGTGCACAACTGAAGGGAATTTACAATTGTATATATCAGGTTTGCGAAGTAATCCTTGACTGTTGAGGTTTTTCATTTGTTTTCTTTTAGCACGACCTTTTCCTAACTTTGACTTTGTCACACATTCATATCGCTTGTATTTGAAGCATCTTCAATCTTCCTCTGCAAGTGGAATTGCATGTTTGTGTTATGTTTGTGTTATTGTTTTAAAGGTCACCCATCACATTGCGGTGCCTCCTGTCTTATGGAACTTTAGTGTTTGAGGCCTATTCAGGCATATGTGTCTGCTAGGACCTGTATTTTGCCACCGAAGAAGTGTGGATAAATGTATGAATGTATGGGGGCAAATCAAGCAGGAGCCCATGTGATTTCTTTGCAGGTTTAATAGAGAGCCACAAGCGAGAGTCCAGGAAAGAAAGTGAAGGAGTTAATGCAGCCGCGAGGCCGAATCGCTACAAACTGGTTAACTCCAGTGGTGCCAGCCAACCATCCATCAACAAACCATCAAAAAACCTTGTTTGTAAATCGGCACCTTTTAGAGGACAATCCAGTAGTTTCCTGTCAACTAGTACTGTGCCTGCAATATGCTCATCTACTTTTAAGCATGTAGCTACAAACCAGAAGTGCACCTTGCAGAAAACTTCCACAATGAAACCCGGTCCTGTAATAAAATCCAACCATGATGAAAGGCCGAAGCCTGCAGCAAGACCCAGTCCTGTGGTAGAGCCCAATCCTGCAGTTAGGCTTAGTTCTACGGGCAAGCAGAACCCCACTGAAAAGCCCAGTTCTACAGTAAAGTTCAGTGGTGCAGTAAAACCAACTCCTGTGGTGAAACCCAGGAAGAGATCACTGTCGACCGTTGTTCGGAAGAGCCGATTCAAGCTACAGAAGACGTACGCGATACCTAGTACCCCGGCCGACGTTTCGGCGTCCCCCAATGCAGCTGGGAAGACGTCGCCTGCGGCTACCAGAGGGCTCCCCGGTCGGCCAGTTCGCCGCTCACTGTTCCCATTCAAAGTGGGCTCCGTAGGACGATATGTGTATCGCAAGAGCAACGTCAGTGCTGCCTCTCCTCATCGTTTTGTGTCCGCACCCAACAAGCCTGGTGGGAGGAGCATACCCCCGAGAACTCTTGTGTCCAAATACAAGTTGGTGCGGGACAAAACCAAGGTACAAACCCCAAGCAGAAGCCTCGTGACAAACCTGGCCTGCCTTGGTGCGAGACGAATCGTCAAGAAGTACAAAATCAGCAATGTGAATCGTACCAGGTCTTCATTGTCCCATAGCAGGGGCCAGTCAGGTTTGTACTTTGCTCCACTATCTTGTGTCCCATTGTTTATACTTTGCTTGTGGCAGGTCACGTAGCCGCTCCAGCTCGAAGGTTTCTTTGGCCCCCATCATACGCAAGCACCCATTACTTTCACAAGCTTTCACAAGGAAACAGGGTTGGTCGGTAAGGCTAAGTTCTGTTTGCGTAAAGTAATTGTGAACTGCAAAATGAACAGATGGTGTGAAAGCAAGCTTTGCTGCTTCATTGGCATCTGGAAATCTTGGTAGCTGTTATGTAATATTCAACTTAATTTTTTCACAGGCTGTCCTATAAGAAAGCAGGAACGGAGGCGAGGGATAGTCGATCTCGGTACATCAAAATCGGCAGCATCACCTACAGGGCGTCACGAAATAAGCTATCCAGGACACGCAAGCGCTCCCTTCCTCCGACCCCTACTACTTCCAGAGGTAAAGCCATCATTTACATGAGGAATTTCAGTAACCTTGCATGCACCTTTATTAATGGTCTTAATGGTTTTGCTGTGGACTTTTGCCGCTTTTTCAACATTTGTTTGCTTTTAGGTTATGTACTATTAATTGTTGCACTGTTTTGTTTGTTTATTCATTTTTATGTGAAATCTAAAACCGTCAGGATTGTTTAGTGATTCATGGTTTGTTGGCAGTTTGCAAGCTTGTTCAATAATTTCCAACATGTTTCCAGCAATTTTTTTTGTGTGTGTGTGTGTTACAATTTGCGTTTCCAGCTGGTTGCTCGCCCTCCAGCGGTGGAAATGGGAAGTGCTCTAGTGAGGGTCCCCGGTTATCCTGCCGAGTGGGCATGGCGGAACTGCTCGCGATCATGGCTCGCGAACAGTCATTTCTGAATGCAGACGACACTCCTCACTGTCTCAATGGAGTGCTGCAGCCAGTATGGGATTGTACCTTACTAGGGAGTTTTAGTATTGTGTGTAGAAGGAAATGCAAGCGCCATGCGTTTGCGTTAAAGTTGCGCGCTCCACGCGCCGTCTGCGTGTCGTCACTATGTGTCAATCGAAGACCGTAATTTGGGCTCTGCGCACGCGCAGTCTGGAACACGCAACGTTAACACAAACACACTGTGCTTGCCTTCGCTCGTATACACAATTTTAAAGTTAATTATACCGTTTCACTGGTGTTTCAGCGCCAACGAAACTTGCTGCAGTGAGCAGATGTGCAAACGGGTAGGGCTTTCTTTAAAATTATAAAGGCTGAGGTGGGCAAAACAATGGAGCGTAAAAATTACAAAAAATAAATGTCCAAGAAAGTTTTTTTTTTTTGGGGGGGGGGGGGGGGGGGGGGGAAGGGAAGGGGGAAAGGGGGGGGGGGGGGGGCATTTGGTCCGGAAGGATTGGCGGCGAATCTGAAAGTTTTGACAATTGTCATCACAACTTTAATAGCACCATATGCTTTACTCACAATTAATTTCATTTGATGCGGATTCTTCACACTAGCTAGAATGTTTTCATTTATTTAAGACTATCTTTATTTTATAACTTGTTAATTAAAAATGCTCCAATTGGCACCAGTGAAGATAATTTTGCAACGTTGGATTGCCTTAGTTGTTTGAAGTTAGGTCATAAGGAACAAATTATATTAGAGCTCGGAAAATCTAGGTATCAAAATATATTAATTGTATTATAATTTACACAGCGGTAATGTAGGCCCTCATTAAACGCCTCAATCACAAAAATACGCCATTTAACCATAATGATAATATTAAAGGTCTCACTTTATTTTCCTTTTAGTATGTGAAAAACTCTGACATTGTTATCAAGACTGACATAAACACCGGATGTAATATAAGGTTCTATGCATCATGCATTTCCTTAAAAAAACACACAGACCTCGGTTGTCTAACTTGGATTTCGTTTTGGGGTTTTTGTAGTGAAGAGCCTCTCTTAATTTATATGTTTTGTAGACATATTCTAAACTCGTCCCACTTGGCGTTATTTTGAAAAATGTTTATTTATTGTTCTGGGAATAAATGCTAAAGCAATTAATCACCTAAATGCTCTAAACCCTATTAAATGGCCCGCAATCCATTATTTCAAATCACAATTATCCGAGTGAGAAAAGGCAGCCACAACACACAAATGCCAGCGCTGATTTTTTTCAACAAATGCAATGTTCTATGATACGCCTAAGTGTATGAAAGACCCTGTCTGTAAAGGGACACAGAGTTTGAGTTCGCCAAAACATGAAGTGCCTGGATTGGTCACTAATGTCACAAAATAAAGTTTCTGCAAACTATTTCTTTAGCTTAATAACTAAGCCGTGGGACACATCTCGAGTTAGAAGAGAAACTGAAGTGAACACCTATATGAAGAAATTCAGTCTAAAATAAAAGTTAGTTTCGCTTTCGTTCCTGAAATAAAAGGTGCCTCCTGGCGTAAATTGTACGCTAAACACCATTTTCGTTTTCAGGATAAAAAGGTGACCTGCGGGCCCAACACCCTAGCTTCCTTGTATAAGCGGAAATAATTTGTGTCGCTCAGTAAACCCAGCACACTGGACAGGCTCAGCAACTGGTATACCCCAGCACGCATCTCCGACCCTCACTATAACCGCCATCTTGGAAAAGGAGTGGCGCCACCTATAGACAATTGGAGTTGCGAATAGCTTTTCGTGGTTAAGACTCGAATAGTCAAGTGGCTATTCGTAGGCGACTCTTTAAAAAAAGTCATTTGTTTCAAACGCTGGGAAGAGTCAATGCATTGCTTTTGCATTGCCTAAAAGGAATCCACAATAAACCATAATATCTTGCACGCATGTCCAACTTGTAGAAAAAATGCAGTCCAAATGAGGTATTTGCACGGAGAGGAAATTGGATGGAGCAGAAAAAATCACTATGGTCGGTTACAAGTCAAAAATGTAGAAGCTCCTCCCATAACCGTGATGCGCCCGCTTCAAATCCATCCGCAGTCGAAAGTATAGTTCCCTGGAAACGCCCCTTATTCCGCTTCAATGAATAGATAATGGCTACAGAGTGATGCCAGCTTGTCTCCGAACAACACTTTTTAAGGAAGCGACCTTTGTATTCATCAGAGAGGGAATCGAGCCCCTGAAAGTGGCTTTTGTATACATGGCTTGCACTGACGTCACATTGCATACTTTTGACCACCATGTAAGAGGAGGAGAGGGAAGCTGCTTTTGTAAGAATTTTGAGTGACGGGTTAATCTTCTATAATCTTCTGGGAGGAGAATAGCCACGACTGGTGCAAATCCGGGAGGCACAAAGGAGGATCCTGATAAGAGGGGAGCTCCTTCTTGCCCTCTTCTCTGGTGGTCATCGGAGCGCTCTTTGAATGACGTCACGTGCAAGCCATGTATCCATCGGAGGGTGAACCTAACCCCCAAAGTTGTTTTTGTTTCCACCGGAGGGGGAAAATTCTAATCTCCCTCTTGTGGCTTCCACAACGCTAAGTCAAAGTCGAAAAATAAAGCAAATATTCACAGGAAGGCAAAACCCTCTCCCGCGTTGGCCTAGACATTACGGAAATGATGGGACGCTATTGGATGTGGAGGTGGCGGAGGGATATATGAATCCCTTTGAGGGGCATTTGCCGCTACCTTCTTGACCTGTAACTTACTATAGAAAATTGCCTTGTGAAGTCGTCGTATCACAGTTGATCATGTTTCCTCATGTTGTTCTCAGCAAAGAAGGCATGTGCATCCGGTGCTGTTGTTTGGTAGCATGTTGGAGAAGGCTTCACGAAATAATTTTTCAATGTTTGTATCTGCAGGGTCTTCGAGGCAGCAGCGAATTCTAGTGATCCGAGGCACGACCTACCACATGGACGTCTCAGGAAAGGTGCTCCGGAGGGCACCCGCGTCTTCGCAGAGTCCGGGAGCTTCCCTGAGCCGCATCGACATTGGCGGCAAGACGTTTGTGGAACGGCTGCCGGGAGTCTTGTCGCAAACTCCCTCGTCAGAGACCAGAACTTATCTCAGGTTGGAACTGTGCCCTTGTCTCGAAAGTAGCCTCGGAACACAACTAACAGTGCACCTCTTGCAGCCGCACGATCAACCGGAGCATCCACAGGATGCGTACCGTCAACACTCGCAAACTGGAGAGGAGGTCCGACAGGTACTGCATGTTCTTCAACCGTTTTGGACGGTGCAACAAAGGAGCCAGCTGCACTTACATCCACGACCCCGAGAAGATTGCCGTTTGCACGAGGCGAGTTATTTTCCTCCTCAAGTGAGGCTCCGCTCATGTCCCATTGACGTTGCACTACTGACATCTGATGCAGGTTCCTGCGAGGCACGTGCAAGTTGTCCGACTGCCCGTTCTCGCACAAGGTTGCCCCCGAGAAGATGCCAGTCTGTTCCTTCTTCTTGAAAGGCCGCTGCACCTCAAACCCGTGCCCCTATCGCCACGTCAAGGTCAATGCCAAGGCGGAAGTGTGCCGCGACTTTGCCGTCCGTGGCTTCTGCACAGAGGGAATTAAGGTGCGCCCTTACTTTGTTCTGGGGCTGGTGCAAACAGTTTTTCTTTCAGTGCAAGCGGCAACATGTCCTTGTTTGCCCCGAATACGCCGCAAACAAGAAGTGTCCCAGAGGAAACCGCTGCTTTTTAGCCCACCGCGACCAGGCAGCCAAGCGCAAGCACCGTGAAAAATCGGCTTCCCCTGTTGACTTGGAACAAAGGTCAGTGCCACAGTGGCAGTAGTCTGGGCACCACATTCTTGCTAACAGCTAGATGAACCAAAGGCTATGTTCCAAATCTTGCCCGAGTAACCGGTCTCCAATGTCAGGCAGTAATACCACGCGACATTGCGAGTAAACGATCAGAGACTCAATTTTGGAACGGCCGGGTTATCACCTGGACACTACACAGATTAGCTTCGTCTTGAGCTATGGCAAAAAGAAAACGTAGCTGCGATGGCGGAAATTAGCAGACGATTGTTTTGATTAGTCTCTAGTTTTGATCATGGAGGAAGCACTCTGAAAGAGAATAATATTAACCGCTGCAAAGCTTTTTTTTGACAGTGACGACGTGGTGCTTTCGGAGGTGGCTCCACTTGCTTACCATCCTTTTGGGCTGTATATTGAGATCAAAATCACTTCTTTCATTTAGACATCCAAAATTTTTTTTATTAATCATCACAATCACTTTAAGGGGGGACACTACCCAAAAAAGTAAATTTTTGAACCACTTGTCCGATTTAAATTATATTTACAGGGCTTGTTTCTGTTTATGTTGAGAACATTTCTGCCAATTTTTGCTAACCTGGGTGAAGTACAAAAAACATTGCAAACATTCAAAGACGAAAGTGGGCGTGTCTGCGTAGGAAAACTATCGTTTTGAAATGACTTATAAATTCTCGTTTTCATGTGTTACATTGCATTAGGACAGTTCAGAGCAGATAACTATGGAGCTATATTTCTATATTATACCATCTTTCATGACAAAAAAGCCACATAAACACAAATACAGTTTTTTAGATTTCCATCCTTTGTCCAAACTTTTAGTTCTTGAGCATGAAAAATGACAAAAATAAAAAATACAAGCTCATAGTTATCTTCCCCTTAAAATTTCACCCCAGAAAAATTCATAAAAATGAATCCAAGTTGCGTAATAACAAAACGATAGTTTTCCTAAAGTGAAATTTATGCCAAAAAGTGGGATGGAGAAAAATGCGTTCAAAGTGCTCCAACCTCCGCCTTTTCTTTAGCATCGGGGGACCGAAAACAATTTATAAAAAATTAACTATGCAGTGTATACTAATGAAACTTTCTGGGAATACTCTCTAGATGTTGGTGGTTGTAAATATGACATTTTTCAAAATCAACTTTTTTTTTGCAGAAATTGTTTTTTCTGGGTAGTGTCCCCCCTTAAGTTTAGTCCAGGTGCCCCAAACATATACGTTCCACGCATAGTAATTTGCACCGATTACGTCTTTGCTGAAATTTAAAATCTGCTTCCACACGGTGTAGCGGTACAGCACAGAGGGCTTTCTCAACAGTGAGGTTCTCCTTCTCTTAGTGTAAACTTTCATATTCCTCGGTCTCGTGTTATAGTAATAATCAGTATACACCAGCACATTTGTGCCATTACATTCCGTTTGCTATAGGGCTTGTTGACTGATCCTATACATAAAATCTTTGAAGCCCTCACTGCTTTACAAATGTTATCCTCTCATTATGCACACATTGGGAAAAAAAGACTTCTGCATCATCTACTGTGTTCAGACATCTTCAGCCTTGAATGTAAGAATACGGAGTTCATTCCAGCACCGAAGACGAGGATGGTGCACAGTCAATTTGTGCGTTGAAAATAGAAAATCACAATAACCACACACAGATGGCTCCACCTCATTTTCTGCCATTTCGAACGTTTGCCATCAAAGCCAATGAAGCAGACGAGCTTTGACGGCTGTGAGCGCAGAAAGCCACTGATCTCTGTCTATTTGCTGGATCGCGTTTGACCAGCTCGGTCTATGAACGGGAATGCGGCCACAGTCGGCCATCTTTTTGGTAGAGTTATATTATCTCTAGCCATCGTAGCAATATGGCAAACAGCGCAATGGCGGCAGGCTGCCATAAAATAGCCGTGGATCTAGTACTCTGTACCGTGGGTGATATTTCGTGCTTGATTGAAGTTGTTCAACGAAGCAGATTCTTGAAACCCGTCGTGAACGGCAGCCTCATCTTTGAGGACCCCGCGAAAGTTCTATGAATGCGCAGCACCGGGGGAAAGGAGCGCAGCTCGCTTCGAAAGCAGACTCCGTACCGGCGTCTGCTTTCGATGCGTGCTGTGCCGTTTTTCTCTGGTGTTGCGATTTCACAAAACTCGGGCTACCATTCACGCCGGGTTTCAAAAATATGTTTCGTCAAACAATTTCAATCAAGCACGAAATATCACCCACGCTTTTTTGATGGCAGCCAGCCACCACACCTGCCACAACGCTGCCTGCCATGGATGGATGATAGTGGCCGCAGCAGCTGTACCTTGGCTAGAGGTAATATAACTCTACCAAAAAGATGGCCGCCAGTGGTCGCATTCGCCGAGCGGGCAAACGCGATCCTGCAATTGTCATAGAGATCAGTGGCAGAAAGCAGATGACAAGCACACGGCGAACAGATCACGTGACGTCTTTATTCTGCGAGTAAGAACCACAAGAATGGGCATACGAAACATTTACTTTCAAGTCAGATCGAGTAAATTTTGGAACACAGTCAAAAAGATGCAGGTGAACTGGTGAAGCCCGATGAGCAAGCAGAGAGGAGTGTCGTCCTTTTAAAGAAACCTGTGCACAGATGCCGCTTTGACCTCGCTTTTCTATAGAGATGAAAATGCGGAACGGGAAGAGGACGAGGGGCCTGGTTGCAAGATGGCCCGAGGTCCCCAGTTCATTTCGCTCAAGCCCTACGAGTCTCCTTTGTGCACCCCAACCTGCCGACCTCCTCAAGGTATGTAATGGGTGCTCCTAGGGTGCCTACATGTTTCCGCTCCGCTTTAGGGTGGCGCCAACTTCTTGTTACACTTCCCAGATCCTCTCCCACCGCCATTTTTTCCCGCTTCTTATTTCGCTAAACGTAAACAACGTCGAGTTTCTGTAGTCTCGACACACCGGCAACACTGTGAGGCCACTTCCGTTTCCGTTCATGAGAGGAGTAGGAGGCTCAGCGGGATGGCGGTCGTCGTGGCTGTCGCTCTCTTTATTCGGGTGTTTCATATATTAAAGTTGCGAGCAGGAAGTGTGCGTTGCTTTATCGAAACGCGAGTTCCCGCGACAAAATGGAACACAACAGACCGGCATTGAACGCCGAAACCTCGTCGTCGGAACGAGAGCGGTGAGCGCTCCCTAGCCCTAACGAGGATTAGCGACTTAGTCCAAGCGCACGACCGGCGAAAGTGACAAAATGGTCGACGAAAACAGCGTTGGTTGCCATGGTGACGAGGTAGGCAACACTGGTTTGTCGGCAACAGGTATCACAAACGTTGTCGCCACCCTAAACAGCGGAAACATGTAGGCACCCTAGGTGCTCCATGTGCCGCCACCCCTTTCCAAGTCTTGCACAACCATTGCGCTTGACCCCTTCTGAACCAACAAAACAAAATTAAGTATTTTTACAAAATGTATTGCCTATTTTTGTTATTAGTATTGCTTTCTTTTCAAGCTCGCTAGGACCGTCAAATTTAGGCTAGTTTCTATGCATGCAACGGCAGATTAGTTTCGTTGGCATGCGGAAACGGTTCTATAACCTGTTAAGTGCAATATGTACACTTATAAGGTGCAAAAACATTATAAGTTAACCTTAACCTTATTGAACGCCGCCAACGAACGATCATACGGCGCCGAGAGCCGGCGTCTTTAGCAGACAATCTTTTCGACTCAAAAGCGGTGCACGTTCCGCAGGCGGCGACAGTCGCAGAAACAAAAACAGACGCGGTAACAACAAGGAACTGCAGTTCCTTGTCTGCTAAACACGCCAGCTCTCGGCGTTGTATGCTCATTCGTTGGCGGCAGTTGGCGTCGCGACCGCTTGCGCGTGCGCCAACCGTGCGAAACGGCGCCGTGTTGTTTGAAGACCAGTGGCGTTGCTGCATTTCCATAGGAGCTAAGCCTTTTTCTTTCTTTACTTTTTCCTCAGGTAAGTTCGCTCTTTGCAAATTTTACAAAAAAAATGCACGATCCGTGGGCAAAGCTGCACAAAGTCGTAGCGCGATAGGTTAAGAAACCGAATTTTGCGGTCGATTTAAGCCTGGCCTCTTCTTGAATCACCCTGTCGAGTCACTGCCAACTTGAGAAACACAGAGCGGGGCCTATTTTGTTCACGCTTCTGGCTACGTGATTTGTGCTTTGGCGTCCATGCCGGCTAACACCGCAATATCAGTGGCTGCGGAGACGTTTAAGAAATGTCTTGCATTTCTTGAATTGTCAGAGTATGCACCATGACTTCCTTCTTCCTCTGCTTTGCGAGTGAATTGATAAACGCGCTGAGCTAGATCCTTGCTACCGGGAGGAGCACATTAAAATGTTGCCGATATTCTATAATAGATTTTCACAAATGTGCTCAAGGGTAGATGTGCGAGTATATTATCATTAGTCATAGCATAGGAGCAAAATGTTCCAGCTTTCCATTTTTTTTTTTTTTTTTAACATTATATGTTGTGCTTTGGCACAACCACGTCAGTTTTTTTTTTTTTTTTAATGCGTTTGTGTGTTGCGCAAGCTCATGAATAAGCTAATGTAATAAAACCATAGCATCAATTTTTCATCTGAGAGATTCAAAAAAAAAAAATTGCATTCATACTGTACACACCAGATGTTACCATATACCAATTAAAAGCAAGCTGTCACACACGGGCTGGCGACACTGCTAAATATATAACAGAAATTCCCCTTGTGCTAAAGGGCATCATCCGCTGGTCGGGAAAGTGAGCATACGACTCTGATATAAAGGTGCGAGTTCGCCTGCTTTAATGTTACAATGAATCTTATTTTTAATTTAATTTTTAAAAAAAAATTTAGTAAAATATTTAACAAACTTTAGCTTGATCATAGTCATAGTCTTTGCAGGGAGTGAGATACGTATTGCAGCGGGGAAGCATATACAGTTACTCTAATAAGGTCTATTGCTTCACTACTTATGCCAATTGCCTGCTTTAGCAAGCAGCTTCAGTGCAGCTGCAGTGTCTTCAGCCGTGATTAGGTGGTTTTCTGCATTAATTAATTGAGCTCTTTTCATCATGTCCAGCATTTGAAAGGTTACACATGAATTAGTCCTAATGTATGTTTTTTTGTTTTGTCTTTTACTCCATATTTTGAAAATCCAATGACTTGCAGCGGACCAGAAAGGGATGAGAATCCGCCCGGACTTCCTTTCATGAGGGGCTCGAAGGTCAGCGTTGCCTGCTGCTAGTCTAGTGTTCCTGTTGGTAAGACAAGCTATAATTGAACAGTTTTTCAGAATATACCAAAACACGGCAGAGTGTATATGTCATCTTGTTTCACAAAATTATGCACATGTGTGGCTGGAAAAAAATAAAATAATAATAAAGTTCATTGTTCATAGTGTCGGGATGTCCAGTCGTGCAGAAAGTGGTCACTCTCATAACACAGTTCCTCTTGCAGCATCTGTGTCCTGCAAAGTAAGAATGGAAAACGAACAACCATTAAATGTGATTTCATGTACAGCCTCGTAAATAAAGAAGTTTTTTTTGTTAGAAAAGATGGTCATAGTTTTCCTCACAACGCCGTAGTGGTAGAAGTCTGGGGCGAGCTCATAGAGCCAAGACGACTCGACAACAGTGAGGTTCCGCATGAATTCTCGACTTGTGTGCACCAACTCGCCAAACACGACCCTGCCGGGAAACGCCCAATTAAAAAGTGGGAACAGTGCACGGTTCATTCCTCCTACCCATTGCATACAGCAACGCTTCAATGTCAACAGGAATTAGGGCCCATAAAATATATCGAATGGTACCACTCGCTCCTTCAGACTACACATAACTGCGTGTTTGCCACTTCACCCAAAGCACACCGTTCTACCTCTTGGTGAAAATTGTTGGGCAAACGGTGATTTCTGTCTCGTGTCAATGCAGAGGCTTTTGCTCCATTCTGAAGCAATTGCGAGTTCACGAGACTGCAAACATTTAACAGCCCCTGCTGTATGTGACACGTGGCTTCTAAAAGAAAAGTGACCTCGGAAACAATTAAAGAAAAAGCTCACCACTTGGGCTGCTTTTGGGTGTATAGCACAGACGTTGGGTGAATGGCAAGCGTGTGGTCACCACAAACTGTCCGGTACTCTCCCGAGTAGTGGAGGTATGCAGCGTTGGCAAAGTACCCTGCTACGATACACCTGCACACTGCATCGGTGTCTCCTGCGATGAACGACGCAAAACAGCTCTGTAGTGGCAACAAGCATGGGCTGTGCAAGTAAAAGGCCCCTACCTTCGCAAGAGACGATCGGCACTTTGCACTTCTGAAGGAGCTTGTGAAGCTGCTTCCGAATTTCTGTGGCCCTCATTAGTCCCTTGTAGTTGAGGTACATCTGGCCACACCACTGCTTGTCTTTCCCTTTCTAAATCAATTTGACAAAACTTCAGCTATATGCTTGTCTTTCCCTTTCTAAATCAATTTGACAAAACTTCAGCTATGTGAGAGGCTAAAATAAAATCACATTCCTACCTGGATGAAAGCATTGTAGACATTTAATAGGGTCAGCAGGTCCCCTTCGAGCACAGAAAACTTGTACTTTGCTTTTCTCTGCAGAAAGGCAGTTACAACCAACGTATACAAATAAATATCACATTTGGCATTATCAGTTGAGCTGCTTGAAACTTCAGGGGCTTCAAAGTTTGACCCAAGAGCACAAACATGTAGCTGTGGAACAGGGTTCTCCCCAGAAATGTTTGAGATGTGGACATCTGACAATTTTTATGGTGTTGGAAGGAGAAGGTGTGGTGTGTGTGTATGGGGGGGGGGGTGCGACGACGATTGCTGCAATTTTTGGTCTTCATGGCACTTGCTCTACCGTACAACAGTGATTTTGTTTGCAGGGATTATGCAGTTCTGTTACATAGTGCCACACAAGTCTGCTAAACAACAATCTGGGATGTCATGCATTTTCAAAGTCAGCATTGTCTTGTCCAGTAGAGGCAAAATATAGAGTTTGGCTGGTCATGGTAGAGATAGGCAGTCAGCCAGACTGGTGGGTGGCAAAACCACTGTCCCCCACTGTGGGGAGAACCCTGCTGTGGACAAAGCTCGCATGAACCACACACAATCGCAACCAAAACACCGGAACCTAGAGCGCACATGTTCCGCAATGTTGCGTAGAGGAGACTGTCGTGTAGTATGTATGCAATACTCCTTCATGAACTCGGCACTCGAGCCTTCCAGTGTTGCAGCTCTCTGCCACTCAGTGTGCACGATGATTGCAAAAGGTAAAGGGCCTGCTTACCGCTTCTGCTCTCCTATGAGATGGCTGCAGGAAAATAGATTCAATCTGTAGCATTGCGACAATTGTCAGTGCTTCTTGGGAGCACCCAAATTCGCCTATACAAAGTGTGGGGAACAAAAAAGTTTAGGCTTTATACAAGCTTGTGGGTCAATCCTTCTTTCAAGTTGTAATTCAAAAGAGCTTACCTGATGCAAGCAGCATCTTGGCCTGCATTGTAGAAACAGGAAATGTAACCATCTTCATTCCAAGCTCGGTGAGGTTGCCACTGCTGTCAAGCGCTGGAGGTGTAAAAGTTAAAACAAAAGTATGTCCGACCAGTTGGTTCATCCGAGAAGCTAAATGTGCCAAATAACATGGACGAAGGAGAGATACAACAGGGGACTTTGGTCTGAAATACTACACAAAATAAAAGCAACATACCTCCAAGAGCATAATCCAATTCCAGTGCATTGATGACAATGTTGGATGGGGGTGCCTAAAATATATATTGTATCAAACGACGAGATTGGAGATTCAGATACGGTATGTAAAATTGGTATAGAAAGAACATACAGCAGGAAAGCTAAAATGAGCAATGTTATCCACTCCTAGGGATTTCAGTTGTAAAATGAAAGTTGCCAAGTTGCTGCGCTGAATTTCAGGAACGGTGTGCACTGGGAGACATTTGAAGTCCTCCTCTGAAAATGACGAACTGTATGACCATTTCAGACTTAACGAGTGAGAAGCTCAGCCTGAGCTAGGATGTCTACTAACCCCTGTACAGCCTGTACACTTTGCCCGAAGATACTCTGCCTGCACGGCCTGCTCTCTGCTCCGCTGAAGACTGGGATGCCGGGACCACAACTAAGGCATCTGTGCTTGTCTTTGGATTGAAGAAATTCAACTTCACAAAGCCACTGTCCACCACTGAAATGGAAAAAAGATGGATGAATGATTTAAATGGTGTTTATTTGTTTTGAATTTCACATGCTTCTGTATTTCGCTTTGAACTTGGTGGTGATACTTGTAACACCACCAAGTTGTGCACATGCTTCCCTCTTCACTGAATAGGAAGGTGTGATTCAATGGGTGATGTTAGGATTATAAGGACCAATTTCTTCCAGGCAGTTAATATTTAATATATGAGCACCATCTATCTGAAGCCACAAAAAAATAATAATTTCTAAAGGTGCATTACATAGCTACAATGGCATGGGCATCACAAGACGGCTGACCTTTCATTCTGATCATTTTATAGGCTTCAATATTATTTTATATTAAAGTTGTTTTCAACTCAGGAAATTCCTATTCACTGTTATGTTCACTTTGACCTCATACTAAAGTGTTGCACAACCCTAGATACTATTTCAAATTGCAGCACTTTGTTAAAATAATCACATTTTTTTGTTAAAATACTCGCATACATTCAACACAATAATGTCCCACAGCTATACTGATGGCTCACCATAGACAATTCCATTAATAGTCACCGACGCTTCGGCAATATTTGTGGCGACCACAACTTTTCGGACCTTGGGGCTGAACGGCTCGAAGACTTTCATCTGGTACAAACGGAGAAACCAAAGTGGTTTGTGCACTCTACAGAATTATACTGGCAGCTCACCTGTTCAGATTGAGGTAGTGATCCATACAGTGGCAATACATACATACTTGGAACACCAGGTGTGTTCTTTGTGTTTCTCGAGTAGTCCCTACAGAAAAGAAGTTTCAACATCATTTACTAGAACTACCTTTCAAGTCAAAAGACCAGTTAACTCGGCTTCAAGTTACAATATCTGTGGGTAAACCCATGTGGATAAAAGTAAATAAATATTGACCTACTTCAGGAGGTTGGTAGCCTCTTCCACTTCATCCTGTCCAGTTAAAAAAACGAGTACATGACCCATGCGCTGGCTTTCGTGGATTTTCATGACCGTTTCGACAGATGCCTTGACATAGTTTGCAACAGGATCGTTGAGGTAGTAGACTTCAACAGGATATACTCTTCCCTGAATGCTGAGGATTTCAGCTGAGATGCTCTTGCTGAAAGAATAAACTGATCTCAATGACTGCCCAAAAACTGAAATAATCTTGTTCCAGTTTAATAAATATCCGTACTTCTCAACCTCGTCTTGGAAGAAATTCTGAAGGGCCTCTGCTTCGAGCGTTGCAGACGATACCAGGAGCCGGAGATCGGGTCTTTTACGAAGAATTTTCTTCATCAGGCCCAGGCACATGTCTGTCAGAAGACTTCGTTCGTGGGCCTCATCCAGCATTATGACAGAGTATGACGGCAGGAGTGGGTTGGCCATGATTTCATTGACGAGGATTCCTTCTGTCATGAACTGCGGTTAAATCATGTATTAGGGAAACGCAAACTTGTGCAGTATTTTTAGCATCAGCTAATAGAAAAAAGTAGATTTTGATTTTATGAACCCAGAATGGAAACAAGAAAAATGACAAGCAGAAGGTCTCTACATTGTGGTTGTCGTCGTCTCGGGTTAATCGTGCACGAATAGAACTCTTTACAAATGCATTCGATTTTGATGAACGTTCTGAATAGATACAAAAAGTCGAGCTAAAGCGAATGTATGCAATACTTTTCTGAAGATGCAGGTCTAATTTTTGTGAGAACGCAATTTGCCACGTTCTTGCATATGTTTACCTTTCTAAGACACGGCCAAGAAGTCTAGCGTGTGTTCTCTACAGGCATGACAATGCGTGACGATAGAACACTGCAAAGCATTTGGGCAAATCCAACCTTGATTTTTGTGTCTTGCTTGTCAAAGCAGTCGTCGAAACGAACGCAGTAGCCAACCTCCTGACCAGCCAAGCATCCTTTCTCTTCTGCCACTCGCTTTGCCAGCTGCATGAATTTCGTAAGAAAAGGAACAATCACTTCACCGGTGCTGATTGACAAAGTGTCGCCTAAAGCGGTATACGCACCGATATGGCAGCAACTCTGCGTGGCTGCGTAATTCCAATCATCTGGCCTCTCTGTGCCCATCCCGCTTCCATGAGGTACTGCATTACAAAAGAGACCATGATAATTGGTTACATTCGGGAGTTGCTACTTAAATACCCCTTTCGAAATCCTAAAGTAGAGTGGTGTGTGCAAGACGCACGATGAACTGGCAAATTCGTAAGTTATATAAATTGTCACTTCTAGACAACTGTGTTGGCTGCCCTGAAATATTACGGAGTTTTCAAAGCTTTTAAAGGGGCTGATGATGATAAGAATTATTTAAACTAGAAAGTTGCAGCACCGCAGTAGGGCAGGTAAGCCCGTAGCAGAAGGCCTGCGGTGTCAGCACATGTGAACGTAGACTCTCCTAAGCTAAGCGTACCTGAGGAATCTGAGTGCTCTTGCCGCTGCCCGTCTCTCCGGTAACGATTAACACCTGGTGTTTCTCCAGAAGGTAGAGGATGTCGGTGCGGCTCTGTAATCATCAGCAGCTTTAAAACATCTAGCAACAAGAAATCAAGCGCGTATGCAATTACCTTGAAAACGGGCAGCCTTTCCCGTTGCTGGCGAATAGAAAGCGATACATTGGGATTGTACACCACGTTGGTGTGCTCCGGGGTGCGTAGAGAGTCTTCGACAATCCATTCTTCGTTCAAAAACTCCTTTTTCCCCCCTAAAAGCGGTTTGTGGGAAAGAGCAAGATCACAATCGCTCGTTACGTCAACGCTCGCGCTTATCAAAACTACGGCTCCGTTCGGCCTTACCTGGCTTCTCGAAGACTGGTCTTAACATTGTTCAATCAAAGCTGCTGGCTCGGATAACCGCCCGCTGTACAACAACGAAACATTTGTTTCAAACCTTCAACGAGCTACATTCACGCGCTTCCCACATTTCCAGAGATTTGAGCTTGTGTGCATGCTCAGGTTGCACTCGTTTACACGATTAACCAGCCTTTGAGTCGCGCTGTCGTCGTAGAATCGTAGAAAACTCCGTCAACTCCGTGTTCCGTGTTGTATAATCGAACACAACTTGACGGATAGATGGATGGATAAATAAATGGTTACTCTTCTCTTTGAATCGGGCGGCGACTTGCGCCACCTAGCCAAGTAGTGTTTTGAGTTCAACATTGAATCTTAACTACGTCCAATTAAGCTACTTTAAGCTATCCATCCCTTGATTTTCGTTGCCATTCCTCTAACCTTCTTTTACTGATTTCTACCTCCTGAAGACGGTTTGTTTCACCGTTCTCCTTGACTCCCAAATCCCTGAGGAAGTCAGCCTCCACGCGCGATGTCCTTGGGTGGCCGAGCCCACTGGTCAGTGGCCGAGCCCAATGACATGCTCTGGCATTTCGACACTCTCCCCACATACCGTGCAGGGTGTATCCACCTTTTGAAATTTGTCCGGGTTCTAGGAACCCCCGTCCTAGCCTCGAACAATAACGCACTACCTCTAGAATTAGCGAATCTTCCTTCCTTTCTAATGTCAGTTTTCTTGCCCTGTACGTTTCCAAAGCTGGTTTCCTCTGCATTCTTGTTTCCCACCCCCCCATTTCTCTCTCCCTCTCCCTTACAATATTCACTGTTCTTGTCCGCCCATCTTCCTCGGTGTTACACCAGTACCATGACGCGAGCCGCCGGGTTCGTTTTCTCCATCTTGTGTCTACGCTGCTCATTTATAGGTACCTAAATATTCTGCCTGCCCATCTCTCCTCATCCGTTTCCGGCAGCTGCTCCAGTTTGCTATTTGCCTGCCTTGCCTCGAACGACGACCAACACACACCTCCCTGTACAGCTGTACAGGCTTTATGCACACCTGCAGAGTGCTGCCCTCTTTTGAATTCTACAACAGTTAGCCGTGAATAGAGAGACGACGCGGGAAAACGGCAGATTAAATGAAAGTACAAATAGCAAAAGTGACCTTCCACATAAAAAGCCGCGCGGACGGGAAAAACATTAAAAACAAAAATGTTTCGTCTTCGCGGCGTTCCGCTGGCGGCCCAAGCCCCGCCGTCCCCCACTCTCCTTTGGCAGAGGGGGCAGTACTTCTCAAGCGCCGTGGAAACTATCCTGAACATATACAGGGTGTCACAAAAGAAAATTTACACGGTCTTTTTCTCCGCAAAAATAAACTAGGCATCGCAGACCGCTCATTCTCCGCCCAAAGGTAGAGCTAGAGGTCACAACCAGATGCCAAAGTTTCAGCCCGATCCGATAACTTGATCAAAAGTTATAAGTGATTTTCTTAAAATTTCAATGGGAAAATGGGGCCCATTTTTGCCCGTTTTCGGTTTCTGGTGCCATAGAGCCCCATGCGTTCGAAAACTCCGTCGGTAGCCATTTTCCATTGAAATTTTCAGAAAATCACTTATAACTTTTGATTAAGTTATCGGATCAGGCTGAAACTTTGGCATCTGGTTGTGACCTCTAGCTTTACCTTTGGGCGGAGAATGAGCGTTCGGCGACGCCTAGTTTATTTTTGCGGTAAAAAAGACCGTGTAAATTTTCTTTTGTGACACCCTGTATATATATACATCCATAGGCATAGACTATGGGGGGGGGGGGGGGGGGGGGGGGGGGGGGCATCGGGGCTCGTGCCCCTAGAGCCACTCGATATGGCAGCGTAGCTGCCAGAGTAGCGCCACGCTTTTCCCTGTGCCGCCTCTCACCGCGATTGGTCACACGCGGTACCATAGCAACGAGCTGAGCTGGCTCGGTTTCCGTAGCAACCGAGTGACGACTCGTCACGTGACCTCTCAAGAGCCGTGATGTCATCCGTAAGATGGCAGCGCCCAGAGCTGGTGGATGCGAGTTTGTTCGGTACGCGGAGTCGTGATGTGCCGCAGCTTGCCGACGATTTAGGGCTTCTTCGTGCTTTCTGACGTAGGTACAACTTCCAGATCTGAAAGAATGATACTTTATACCCTTTCTGCGCTCTGGATATTAGCACCTGTCCGACAGCATCAGTAATATCGCCTTAGCAGAGCTCGGGTTTTCGAATGTGTTTGAGGATCGATAAGACATTTAGCATGCAATTTTCGCATTCTCTTAGCTTTATTTGAACGTTGGAGTGTCTGAGAATCGATCCGAAATCTATGCGTCGCATGTTGGACCTTGGGAAATTTTTTTTTTTCCCAGGTAACCGCATGATTACAAACTTTTAGCGAGGAAGCTCCTGCGATGTTTACGTTTTGTACTAATCAACCAGGGAACCTGGGTTCAACCCCCAGCCCTGCCCGTTTCGATCTGGATGAGCATCGTACCGGCCTGCGGTTGTGTATAGCTACTGCGTGGTGCACGTTAAAGACCTATAGACCCCAGGCTAGCGGTTATACTGCATTGGCTAAATTGCTCATCTACAGCGAGTGACTCGTCGCAACTTTGAAATGGCTGACCAACTACACGCTGTATAAATATTCACACAACTTCCAAGCATACTAATCAACGATTTTACGATATGCGCAGCGCAAGTTCGTCTGCTTCTTTTAGTAGGGGTTGTGGTGACATCAGAACGCCGAGCTCTGATTGGTTCTGAATAAAGAATAGTGGGTAGGCCTCAAGCCAGCTTGGTTTTAGGTCTACCCACTATGCTTCAATCGGAGCCACTCAGATCTCGGCGTTCGGACGTCACCACAACCCCTGCAAAAAGAAGCAGACGAACTTGCTCTCCACATAGCTTTTAGGATAAAATTTTCGCATTTTTCTAGCTTGCTTTGAAAGTCTTAATTTCTGAGAATCATAACGAAGGGAATACGGCGCTTGTAGGGCCTAGGGGAAATTGTATCAGCCCTGGGTCACCTATTAATCACAACATTTTTTAGCGAGGAAGCTCCTGCGATCTTTAACCTTTTTTACTAATCGCCAATTTTACGAATGGGCAGTTCTGAAGATTTTGATATAACTTGCTTTCGTTGCAATAGCTTGCATTTGGTCGCAGTGTTTTCTGGTTTGTTTTTCAGGTGAAAAACTGGCGTTTGCTCAAGTGACTTATATGAAATGTCCTGCTATATAACAATGCATCAACACATACTATTAAACTTAGATACTCAGAGGTGTGTTTGTCTTTGTAATTAACAAGTTACAGACGTATTTATTTCTTACGAGTGTAATATTTATTTTCTGTAGTTGGGCCCGTTTTGTGCTCCTTATGTCAGTGTGCTTGGTTCCAAATATCCTCTTTACAATGCCTACAAAGGCCAAAATGACGTCAGCCGACCCCAACTCACGCATTGGACACGAAAACTGCGTCGCTCGGATGTATGCGCTCGTCAGCAATCAATTTGTCCATGGATATTTGAATTCGCTTTCCTGGCCAATGAGTGTTTTGACAAAACTTATCATCACCTGCGAATGTCAAGTTCTACGGTGTGCTTAAAAAGCACGGTGAAAGCTTGGGATCATCGCACCGGTGCCCTAGCATGTCACGACTGCGTGATTTCACAGTTCTCTTTTGAGTTGAGGATTACAGGTAAGGAAGAAGAAGTTTAAAAATAATTTCGTGGCCCCTTTAACACGGATATCTGTTCTGCACCAGATAAAAATATTGACTTTTTGAATGCCGGTAAACTTCCGAACGACCACTTGGCCTAACGGCAAGAACACCTCATATCCGGCGTCCGTCTCTTTTGATGGCGTCAAGGATTTCCTAGAGACCACCATGCCGTCCTTCTTGGTTGAACCCCGTCGACGTTGCTCCTCACCAGTCGGTGAGAAAATCTCATCTTGAAGAGATAATCGGGTCTTGGAGAAGTATGATGCTAAACATATACTCGCTCAGTATGGAGCAGTCGAGCAGCAGTCATGTCCTGAGCCAATCGTCCTGTCGTGGCCGGCGTAATCGGAGTTTGTTCCATCGGAGCGAGGTCCGAAAGTACTAGGACGGTACGTTCGTCCCACGAAGCGGCTGCCATCCCGGCGGCGCCGAAAACCACTCGCCTTGTCCGTGCACGCACGATACCATAGCAGCGCTCGTCGCCCGACAGTCTCCGGGCTGCAAATCGCCTCACTTTTCAGAAAAAAAGCAGGCACCGTTCCTCCAGAGGTTCTTGCCGTACCGCGATGCCACGCGTCTTATACCACTTTTCAATGAACGAATGGAGATATCAACTAGACTAGAAAGGTTGCCGCCCGGCGTCGCTAGAAGCACGGTTACCATGGCAACCTCCCAGGCCCAAAATGGAGATCACTATCCGCGCTTCTGACGTTGTGCATCTAGATAATTTTGGGTCGTGTCGCTACTCTGGCAGCTACGCTGCCATATAGAGTGGCTCTACGTGCCCCCCCTGGTGAGATCCGGGG